AGAAGCTGGCCTTGGTGCTCTGTTGTCTCCTGAACTCTGTCCAGCTGGCCCTCTCTTAACACACCACTCTGCATTGTTCTCGCACGGCTGAGCAGAGCAAATTCCACTGAGGTCCCTCAGCTTTAATAGGTGCCACAAGATTGGGAGGTAGACCAGGTTGGGGGGAGGGGGTCTCTTTCCCCAAACCAGGTATTTAGAATGCAAAACAGAAGCCTTTGATATCTCTTAGGAACTTCAAGGCCTTTGGAATAAACAACTCCTGGGTCCCAACTGAGCACCCTCAAACAAATGCGAACCTGCCACACGTCCAGAGAGCATCAAGGCAGACCATTCCCTCCCTAGCTGAGTTTTGGTCATCTGGGGAATTCTGGGAGTTGGAGTCCCCCTATCTTAAAAGTTGCTGCGGTTGGGAAATGCTGTTTTAAAACTCCGTGAAGACTAGCTTGTTACTGCTGCGGAGCCTAGGATCCTTTGCACACATCCCTTGTGCTTGGAGCAACAGGAGGGTTCCGGCTGTTGGGCGCAGGCCTGGAGAAGCAACTGGCAGGGGAGAGTGTTCCCAAGCCTTCCCCAGGAAGCAGCCAGCAATGCCAACTGTTCTCCTTGGAGACAGGACGTTCTCCCTCCGCTCTCTTACTGGCTCTGAGCAAATAGATTCTTGGGCACCGGCGGCGGTCAGCACAGACAGGAAAGTGGCTACTCCAGTTACACCTTCCTGGCTTGCGAAAGCTACCAACCTTAGAAAACGCATAAACAAACAGCTCAGCCATCCTGGCAGGCGAACCCTCCCCACCTGGAGCACGCTGGATGGCATCTTGTTCAAGAGGGAACATGGAATGCACTGGGCAGGTGGGGGCTTCCTTTGTCGGTGGTCACCTTGTCCTCTGGTCAGTTTTGTTCAGGGCACTCAGGACTAGAGGTTCCCATCCATTATCATAAGCAAAGCTCCTCAGGCAGCTGCTCCTCCTCCCAGGCTGCTGCAACTCCTTTGTTCCTTTCTCCTGTTCTCAGCCTTCTTTTTTTCCTCTGCTTTCTGAGGTGATGTGGTCAGAACTGCTTACAGGATTCCTTGTGGGAGGAGAGCCATGTTAGTCTCCAGTAGCCAAAAACCAGGAGGAGGTTTGGTTACTTCGTTTCCAACTCACCAATATGATCCAAAGGCAGAAGCTGGAAAGGGGCTACCAGACTCCGGATATTTTGCAAGAACCCTTGAATGACACTCAGTGAAAAGATGTCACTGGAGTCCTTGAGTGATCTGTAGGAGTTCGGCAATAGGGCGATCTTCCTAGGGGTGCTCAAGGAACGCAAGCTGGAGGAGGATAGGGAATGAGCTGGCAAAGGAAAGCCCTACAGCCAGCGTAGCTCATGGATTGGTCATGCTCAGGTGCCGTGCAGCTTCCCAATGGATGTGTCTTAGCTGTCCGGAACAAACCCCAGTTAGGGATTAAGAACCTGTTCAGTCTCAGTGGCTTCAGGTCAGCCGTCAGCCAGTCACTACTTCCATGGTGCAAATACAATTCATCTTCCTCCAAGGGTTCTGGGGATGCGCAAAGAATCTGCATCTGTCAGTTGTGTCGCTGCAGAACACCTGAGCACACCAAAGGCCAGAAGTCCATTGAGGAGGTAAAAGCAGGTGCTCTCTGTGCACATCGTTTTGCATGTTGAGAGTGGTATTCAGGTTGTCAGGTTGCCTTGATTAAGATCCAGTCAGCAGAACAATCGGCCTCATTTTAAGCATACTATTGCAATTGTCTCGGAATGTGCTTCCATGCTCATATGTGCAGGAAGTCCTGACAGGTGTGAAAGGGGGCGGAAAAGGAAGTGGGGCTTGAGGTGCCTTTTGAAGGACAACCTGTGAATTCAGGAATGACCTTCAGAGCACGGCTGTAAACATCAAAGCAAGGTTGCAGACTGGCAAACCTTCTGTTATGCATCATACCTTTTTTGTTCCTAAAAAGGAAAAAAATAATAATGTGTGGCATGCACAAAAGCCAGAACACTAGAGGAGTGACTCACAGTGATCTGCTGTGGCTGAACAGATAAAATATTATTTCTCAAGAGTGGAATGGATCCGTTCGAAATATGGTTCCTGAAATGAGCAGACCCCTGCCTGGCTCACTGAATCGTAGAAGGGTCTGGTTTGGGGTGGCTGATTCATTTCGTTTGGTTTTTTGGGTGTGGGGGGTGTTAGGATGGGTCCAAAGCCAGTGATGAATTAGGCTGTCAGTGTATTGTTGCCTATAAACTCATCGGTGTTTTTTCTACTTTAAAGACCCATTTTAAAGTGATGGCTCTTTCCTTCCTCTTCCCAAGCCTGAAATTAAAACTCCAGCTCCATCATGGGCAATCCGAGGCCAGGAGAATACCAACACATTGAGGCAAGATCTGCCTTCGAGGGTCGGCTTACCAGGGGAGCACCAGGGGGGGTTGCATTGTTGTGGATTTTAGAATTATCCTCTCTGGGCTGAAAGGCAGAGTCCAAAACAATGTGTTGGGACAGACCAACACTGCTATATATGGCAATATTGTTTTTATGTTGCTCGGGACAACCAGGTGTATGAGTCCACAGCTGCACCTGGAAGATCATCAATGAGGCTTAAATGAAGATGGCAAATTGGCCATAAGCAGCATAAAAAGCACCCTCAGGCACCCAGCCTCAGAATGGCAGCTCCCTCCCCTCCCAAAGGATGGATGGATGGATGGATGGATGGATGGATGGATGGAAAGATGGATGTCCCTGGCTAGAGAGAGGCTCCCCACCACCAGCTGGGGCAGCTGAGCTTTCTTCTGCCTCTCCCGGACCAGCTGCCCTGGCTGGGGGGGGGGGGGGGCATGGCTTCCTGCAACCTGAGACCAGACTCATCTTCGACTGCTGCCGAAGCTGCCCTTTGCCTGATTGCCTTCCTGCCTGTCTGACCTGCGTCTCTTGGACCGGCATCCTTCCCTAGCCTGACCTAGGAAACTCCTGCCTGGCTTATGGCCGATGGAATCCTGAGTGCTGTGCAGCTGAAGGGGTCAAGAGGCCATGAAGTCTCCACAACTTGAAGCCCTCAGAATAACAACACCTGCAAGGAAACAATATTTACCACTTACAGGCTGATAGGAAGCATTTCAAAGGTATATCTGCATTAATCTTTTCTTGTTTGGCTATATAAGATTGGCTGTTATTTATTATTATATTCACAATGATGTGAAATCAGAGCTGCAGGTTCTTTAGTTGGCTGTTGGCCTTCATTTATACTGAATTCTTCCCCAAAACCGAGCATGTCAAAATTTGGTATAGTAGATGTGCGGATCCAAACAGGGAGGCCACTTGCAATGGACAGATGGAAATGTCCTCAATGCCCAATGTCAGATTTTCTAAGTGCTGTCCAAAATTTTTCTGTGTGACACTCAGTGTGCCAATAATCACTAGGAACACCATAGCTGGTTTATGCCATAATTATTCAATTTCAATTTTAGATCTTGATACTTTGTGATTTGGAATTCTTTCTCTTCAATTCTGCTGTCCCTGGTACTGCCATATCCATTATCCACACCTTCTTGTTTTCAACTACAGTTAAATTTGGTGTGTTATGAGCCAAGACTTTATCAGTTTGTATTCACAATATTTTAATCTGCTTATTCCCAACTTCTTTTCAGCTCATACATTCTCACCAATTGTTTATTATGATCATTTTTACAGATGTTCCAATGAATCATTTGGAGACTGTGTGATGTCATTGTTTATTAGTGTGATTTTCTTGCATGAGCTGAATGTACAATTTATTTTCTTCTGCATTTTTGCACAATCTGTACTTTGTTATATTATTTTTATGGTTGGTCATGTGGTCAGCCAGATGTTTAGACTGGATTTGGCATTTTTGTCCACCTATCGAGTCCTTCCCAATATCTGAGATGCGCAGTTGTTACTGTTTCATGGTGTGGAAGGAACCATTGCACGATGTAAGTTGTTCCAAGTTAAGCTGCAACTATAAAGTGTATATATTATTTATTGTGCATTTATTGCTACAGCTGCTGTGATACTCCATTGCCAAAGACACATAAACATCAGTACAATTACCAATGCACATAATGTGTTAGTATTCAGGGGTAGCATGATCTCCCTTGGCTCAGAATGTTTTTGGTGAAGAGCCCACATTTTGTGGTTCTACCAAAAATATAGTAAGGGGGTGAGATGCAGGATGCCTTGACAGGGAATAACGAGAAGCTGAAGGCTGGCAGACCAGGACCCTCAGGTGTGCCCTTGGGACTTGCTTTTGGGGCCCTGGAAGATGGTGAAAATTGTTCCTCCTTGCAACTTGAAGATTGTCCATTCTGCCCTTCAAGCAGGACAACACAGAGGGATGGTGAGTTCCTGCAAAGAGGGCTCTGCTCACCAACGGCTCCCAACTTCTTCCATAAATAAGTCTCAGATGAGGAGCCTCACCTGGTTTCCCACAGCCTCTTACACACACAACTTCCCAGGCAGCAATGGTGCAGCGTCAAGAAGGGTAAATTGTGGATAAATGAGCTGCCACGGGGCACTGTAAGCTGTAGATTTCAGCTTTTCCCAAATTTAAAAAATGGTAGCTGAACCGAGGCTAGTTTTGTCTCTTATGACATCACCAGCCAAGATATTTGTAAGATGGTGGCGACATCAAGAGTGCAAACTGATCGTCCAAAGGATCAGACTGTGAGGCGATTAACCCGCAAAAGTAATTTTTTGGTTATTTTCAAGTGCAGGTTAGCCTCGGACACAACCTCCGAGGCAAGCCTTGTGCTGGACCGGCCAGGTTCCCCACCAAATCTTGCCAATGCTAAGTATGACTGGCGCCCCTCCCTCGCATCAGGATCTCATGTTTGCAGCTTCGGGGAGGGGGCTTGCGGGGGGGGGAGGCAAACGGTTGCTTGGAAGCGGAACCTTAGAGCAACTCAACTGCCTGGTTTCCGCCGGAGAACTGCCAAGTCAAGAGCTGGAAAGTGGGGGAGGAATGGTACTGTCTTCCGCAGGAGTTTGGGGCAGGGGCTGATGGGCTTTGGGGCGCCCAGGGGCCGCGAGGGAGGCGCGAGCACCGGATGGTCCGGACCGGCGAGATCCGAAGGCGGCGGCCGGGCAGCCCCTTTGCCTCGGCGCGGCGCGGCGCTACCCGGGAAGGGCGGCGCCTGCCCTGACCGCGCCTTCGCCCGGGTTGCCTGGCGGGCCGTCGAGAGGGAGCGCGGGGGTCGCCCGGAGCGCTCCAGGAAAGCATTTGCGCCGCCAGCGCTCCTCCGGCGCCCTCAGCCTCCCGAACGGGCGCGGTCGAGGAGGAGCAGCGGCGGAACCGGGGCTCCCGGGGCGCGAAGCGGCGTCTCCCCCGGCGGCGCCGGAGTCCCTGGCCAGCCCGCGAAGGAGCGGATGGACGGGCTCCCGAGCGTCGGCCAGCCCGCGCAGCTGCAGCTGGTGAGAGCGCAGGGCTCTGCGCGGGAGGCAGCGCGTGGAGGGATCCGGCCGGGCGGAAACGGGCTGCCCCCCCCCGAGCCCCGCGCCGAGCCCGACTCCCTCCCCGCCCTGCCCCTGAGCCTCCACGGCCGGCCAGACGCCGAAGGGTTAACGCCGCCGCGCGCAACGGAGAGTCTCGGGCGCAGCCAGGCTGGCGAGGAGGCGGCGGCTCCGAGCCCGATTCTCCGGCCGGCTGTAGAAGCGGTAAGCCCGGCGTGGGCGGTGGGGAAGGGGGGGGGGCTTCCCTCCCGCCCCGAACTTTCAGGCGGCGGTCGAGGGGCGCCCCACACTCCCCTCTCCCCGAAGGGCTCGGCTGGGTAGCAGTCTGGGCGGCTGGAGGAGGAGGAGGAGGAGCGAGCTTTGGGCTGGCAGCACCGGGACTCGGTTCCAGCCCTGCTGGTTCCGGAGAAGGAGCCATCAAGCCTCGGGGTCCTGCGTTGGCCAAAGGCAGCCCATCAGGGTCACCCTGCAGTCCCAAGGCTGAAGCTCATCAGCCTGTGGAGGTGCCCCGGCTGCCTGGAGGGAGGGGTGCATCCCAGAAAAGCTGGATGGCCCGGCTCTCAAGAAGCAGCCCAGGGTGATCCCAAGGAGCTGGTCCGCTGGGAAGTTGTCTGAATGTTATTTGGTTGTGTGGAAAGATTCTTGTCAGGGAAAAGAGGCTTGTGTAGGAATGGAGCCCCTGAAGACTCTCAGATGGAGGGGCTGGTATTTCTACAATGTGCTCAGGAGCAGCAAAGAGAGTTTGGTTTTAACCTTGGTGGCTGAGCCCAGCTGGTCTGCTTAGGTGATAAGTTGTCATACTTTGCAATTACCAAACCTGGATTAATGCAGTGGTCATTGTTAGTATGTTGTGGAAACTCAGCCCCAAAGTTTAGTTTCATGCACCCTTCCTTAGTTAGACTTAATCTGTTTTGGTCGATTAAAATGCCAACATGTGGGGATGTGCTGCTTTGGCAACAGAGCACATGCATGATCACAAATGTGCTGGTGGATGCTTTGATGACATCAGTTTGTAGGATTCAGCAAAAGATCCCCTCCCCATCTGGTTTCTTTCCAAATGTGTGGAACGCAGTGCCCATAATTCCCAGGAAGGCCAGAGGGACGAAGGGGACCTGTGGGGAAGACGGTCGTCCACCCAGAACCACTGACAAGGTAGGCACCAATTAGAGGAAGAGCCCTCTGCCCTTCTACCCAGGGGACCCCTCCCCTTCCTGGAACTGCCAAGTGCCCTCAAAAAAGGATCTCCCACCAGTCCAAGCCCAGACCCCTTCCGGGCCTCCATTCGGGTGGGAAGGAGCAGGGATTGCCCACAGAGCTCTCCTCATCCTTGGATCAGAATGGGCCAAGCAGCAATCGGGGGGTGTTTGTGTCTCACAGAGAAGTGTCAAGACAAGCTGAGTTAGGGCTGTTGCAGAGCTTGGCTGGTGGCTGCTCATGGTGGGCCCTCGGCCTTGGCTCCTGGCCTCCCGCACGAGCCCTGGGCTTCAGCAGCTGTCTTTGTTCCACCTGAGCAGTGGAGTTCCCTGCCACGTCCCCCTCTCAGCAGCCGCGTCCTGTTTCGAGAGCAAGGTTCCTGGCTGCCCTGCTTCCCTCTTGTATTTGATTATCCAGAGTCAGGAGAGAAAAGGGGGCTGGGATAGGACGGCAGCCACCTCTGCAGTTGCTCCTCAGCCTTTACAGAGGGGGCGCCATGGCAGACTCTCCTGGCCCAAGAAGGGCTGCCTGTCTGCCCTGGGCAAACCACCTGACAAGCTGCTGACCAGGTGTGTGCATTGACCAGGTTCTTGGGTTTTGCCATTCCTGTGTGGTGCAGGAATGTCAAGATTCTGGCTGGATTTGGTTGTGTGGAAGGATTCTTGTCAGGGAAAAGAATCCTTCCACACAAAAGACAAGTTCTGGTGGGTTGAAAGAAAATACAACCAGTGGAACCAAGGACGGCAAAAGGACAGATCCCAGAATACTTTTGCTGGGAAGCAGCTGAAGCTTAGTGGCATCCGATGCTTCCATTCTACCGTTTCTGGCACAATCTGGGTTCTCAGTTAGCCAAACCAGCTTCTATAGGCAGCTTCTTTGCACAGGCACCCAGGGGTGGCAGGAGGCAGATGGGGACACCTGCAAAAGGCAGTTGTGTGTTGAGGGCGACTGAGAGGTCATTTCCCCTGTGTTTCTTCTGGTATCTGCAGGCTGTCCTCTTCCTGGCCAGGGCAGCCTTTCCACGAAGGAGCAGGGAGGCTCGTGGGATGCTGCTTCCTCTCCTAAGGCAGTGCACGTGGGTGTCTCAGCACGGTAGACCCCTCTTCTGGTTCCGCTGAGGGGGAAGCCTTGCAACCCAGGAAGCTGCAGGCAAGAGCAGCTTCTGCTGTTGGGGAAGTGAAAGGGGGAGCGTCCCTCCTTTCTCCCCCTTCACTTCACTTCTTTGGAGGCCAGAAGACTAAAGGACCCCACCCCCAGACCCAATTTCTAGAGAAGCCAGGCACAGATGCACCCAGGTACCAGCAGCAACGGAGCTGAGTGGGAGCAACATCAGGGAAAGGAAGAAGAACCACCGCTCTTTAATTTACTCTGAGAAAACCTCTTAATTAGCCTCATTTGGCAGCTCCCCAGCAGGCACCAGCGCAGACCGGGGAAGCGGGCATTTGGCACTTGGGGATGCTCTGAGCAGCCAGCCGCTCAGCGTCATCAGGCTCTGCTGCTCCTGCCAGCCCCACCGCTCGCTCACTCTGTGGACTCGGGCCGGGCCTCAGTTGCCTACCGTGCAGCCAGCTCTCCCCAGGCTCCAGCCCTGCTTCCGGCAAGAATGAACGAAATCCTGGACCCAGCATCCCAGTCCAACCTGGGGGTCGTCTCGGCCACCTGCGTCTCCAAGGTGGAGCTCCGCGTCTGCTGCAAGCACCTGCTCGACCGGGACACCCTCAACAAGTCAGATCCCTGCGTCGTCCTCCTCATGCAGTCCCAAGGACAGTGGGCCGAGGTAGGTGGGCAGCGGCCGCAGAGAGGGTCAAAGGGAAGCGGGGGGGCTTGAGCTGGGTCCAGCAGGAGGGCAAGCTGGGCAGGAGCCACCAAAGTCCCAGCAGCAGCTTTCTGTCCTTCTGGGCTCAGCCCCAAAGGTGCATCTTCTATCTGTTCTTTCAAGCAGTTTCCCAGCTCAGGTCCTTCAGGTCTGCCTGATGGAAGTTCTCATCACACATAAGCAGCAAAGTCATTCCGAACTGTTCAGAAATGATGCCCAACCTTTTAGCGGGTTAGGAAGATCTGCTCCAGACCCACCTTCCTCTCCTCAAAGGAGGGACAGGTTGGCTGCCTTCCCATTGACCAGCCCAGCCGCCCCTGGGCAAAGGTCCGTGTCCTTGCAATGCATTGGAGATGGTTCTCCTGCCTTTTGGGGGCCTCTGCAGGAGACTTTCTAAAATCCAAGCATCTTCTAGGAATAGGCTGAGGTGTTTCTAGCTGTCTGTTTTTTGGGGCCAGGCTTTTAAACCCAGCAAAAGGACTCGGATGTCTTTTGTTTTGGATGTTGAGTTGGGTCTCTTTGGGCTTGTGTGTGAGGAGGCTGATTTGTTTCATCCTTTAAAGGAAGCCCTGAGGATTGGCGTCTGTAAGACTCGGCGATCTCAGGGGCCTGGTGGTGGGTACCCTGTAGGCAAGAGCAGGTCTAGGGCCAGAGGGGCAAGGAGAACTGGGCACAGACCAACTGCCCGCCTCCACCAAGGAGCACAGAGATGGGTCTTTTCCCCTCCCTCCCCCCGGCCAGAGAAATGATCTAGCCCAGGAGGGTGTGGGTGATGCATCAGCTTTTTCATTGGAATGAATTGATGACATTAATTGATTAGAAATTAGCTATTAAAGATGCCTCTATTTGCACGTGTGCAAAATATATGCACAATGCATTTAAAAAGAGGAAAAGATGGGAAGCAACAAAGTGGAAAGTCTCTCAGGAGGATGCGTAACACCTTCACACTTGGTAGCACATGCATGAAAAAACCATGCATTTAAGGGATCTACCCACCTCACGGGAGTCCTGTCAACAGACTAAGCCAGCTAAACAGAGCGAGCACTGCAACTTGACTAGCTGGCCTGAGAGTTTTGCCTTGGTTCCGCTCTTGGGGTCACCCGGAGGGATCAGTTGCTAAGGGCTCCTTGCGGTTTGATAAGTTGTAGCACCAAAGCTGAAGCCTGAAAGGGTCAGATGCAGAGACGGCTCCATCTGGCCGAGCAGGAAATCATGAGGCTTTCCAGCTTCCCATTCTCTGGTTCCTCCAACCATGGCGGAAGCTGATTCTGCTCTGAGATCCAGAGTTAGGATGCCTGCAATGCTGCCAAGCCTGCTTGGCCCTTTGCAAGCCCCCAAAGTAGCCAATCCCTGCTGAAATGCACTGAAGTAATGCAGCAACTCCTTGAGGCTGATGGGGCCAAAGGCTTCCTTGGAATCGCTCCATCTCTGCACTTAGGAGAGGTGGACTCTCGTTTTTGCTGCTGCTGCTGGCTGTGAACTGCACGGAGTTGGCCATCCCAACCCCCTTGCTAAGGCTCCTCCCCAGAGGCCTGAGAATCCTGCATAAAACCCAGTTTCCTACACCAGAGACTTGAGTTGAGGCAAAAGGTTGTTGCCACAAGCTTTAGAGACTCCGTTGCTTCTGTTTGTTTCTGGCATGATCCTCAGGTGCTCACTTCCTGCCTGGGCCTTGAGTTCCTCCCGCCTTCCTGGGGCCCAGCAAGGTCTGTGCAGGGCAAATGCATCTGCTGTGGGCCTCTTCTTCCCCCAGTCTCCTGCGGGGCTGAATTTGCCTAGAAAATCTACTGAAAGAGGGAAAACTCTCTGGCTCAAGCTTCAGGCTCCCTGGCCTCGGAGCCCTGGTTACTGGCAGATTGGCTTACTTGTAAGATCTCTATCCACATTCAGCTCATCAAGTCAAAACAGATAATCCAAGAGCCAAGCCAACAAAGGAGTCACAGGAAAGGAGGCTTAGCTATCATCAGATGCCACTCAAATCCCGGTTTAATGAGCAACACCCAGAGACACATATGTGCCCTGCAGAGTCTGCTAAATGCCTGGCAGCCTGTGCTGGCGGTGGGCATTTCTCCCTCGTCTGAAAGCACACGGGGCTTCCTAATGACATTAAAGTGTGCTGATGGAAACTCCCTGGTGCACAAAAGCACCATTCTCATTAGTTCTCCAAGCAAGAGCTGGTATTGCTGTAATAATTTATGGGGGGAAAGCCCCAAATCAAGTCGCAAAACCCCATCATCAGGAATAGATGGGTGCCCCTTCACAGCACAGAGTGGTCTGATCCAGCCACCGGGATCTTGCCCTCCCCAGGCTGCCTTGGCGCTGCCTCCGAGTGAGCTTCCCAAGCCTTGGCAGTCACCCCCTAAATTGAGGCACAGGTGTCCCCCTATTGACCTTGCTGCTGCTCCACTGTGCCCAGGAGCCCCCCCCATCTTTTGTGCATGTGGCAGTGGCAGGAGGGCTCTGCCAGGCCTTCAGGCTGCCTGTGATCCTGCTCTCGCTTTCTGGCATGGGCCCCTTTTGCCAGCGCTTCGGGTTAATTGCCTGCAGCTTCATATATTCCTTAGATGTGACGGTTTCCCTTTGCCTCTGCTAGAGGCTCTCACACAACAGGGACTGGCAAACTGCGCCCAGCTGGCCGGGCCAGGAGACAAACCGAAAATGCTATGAGCCTCACTCCCCCCCAGCTGGGTCTGATGATGGTCTTTCTGTGGGGCAGAAGGAGCTTGGCTCCCCATCTGAAGGAGAGGCCATGAAAGAAGGACTTTTGGCTCTCGGTGAAAGTGCAGAGCGCATAGCCAGCCTTCTTGTGGCACCTATAAAATGGGGTGTTTTGCAGGGCCTGCTGTGGTGCCGAGGCTGGGCAGGGTCCGTCCACAATTTCAGCAAGGTTGGATCCCTGCTTTGGGGGATGGATCCACTGCCTTCCCCTGGGGGAGAGCAGAGAGCCCTGTCGCTCGGATGCTTCTTGACCAACGTAGGGCAAGGGACTTTCAAACGCAAGAGTGAACCCCCTTTCGTGGCTGCTCTGGCACTGAAGCTGGAGCCCAGCAGAGCAAACCAGCCTGCCTCACCTGGCAGAAGCTCCAACAGGTGATGCCCACACCAGCTTCCTTTGCAGGGTTGCAATGAAATGTATGGTAATGTAGGGGAGCAGCTGAAACAGCCAAAATGGCTGCCTAAATGTTAATGACATCACTCTCGTTGTGTAGCTGTTAACTGCAAGGCCCCGGCTGAGCGTTGAGGCTGATGAGCTTTTGGAAGGACCGCTGCCCCCTCCCCCGGTTTCCTCTCGAGACCGGGCTGCTGAATCCCCCTACCCCATTGAGCGGTTATTGCACAGGCCTCGCTTCCCTTCCATTTCTGCTCGTCTGACCTTTCCAACCCTCTTCCAATACCTGCTCAGACTGTGGCCAGAGAGCAGAGCTCCCCTCCCGGTGGCAAAAGGAAGGCTGGATCACAAAGCGCCGATTTCCCCCCCCCCCCGCATCTTGGCTGAGCCTTGCAGGGACCCAGAGGGGAGCCTGATTTCTGGCATTCAGCACCCCAGAAAGGAGAGAGGAAACGGCCACCTCTTGCCTGTCTGTAGGCTTGAAGACCAACGTTTCAACAAAAGACAGACGTGTTTCTTTAGCATCCGCCATGCGCAGCCGGTGTCCATGAGCAGCTCATCCCTAAACCGGAGGTCCTCCCAGGTCCTCGGGGCGCAGAGTAGACATATAATGGGCCCATTTAATTGGCAGCCAGGCTTAGCACGATTCTGCTCTTTCCTGTCGCCAGCTCTCCTCTGAAGCGAGCACTATTTACCCGTCACTTTGTTGGGAAACCACTGTGGAGCTGAGATGAAGTGGAGGAAGGGCCGGTTGGGGGCTGGAAAACAAGACAGCCAGCTGGCCTTCAAAGGAGCCTCTGGGGAGGGGGATCTGCAGAGAGAGCCCAGCTTCCCCCTCCCCTCCAGCTGCAGACCCCCATGGAGTCTCCAGACAGGCCCTGCTGGAGGCAACTGAGATAATCGGGCTGGTCCCAAGCTGGGTGGGCCGTTTAAGTCGTCCTGCTCAAGGGGCAGATCCAGGTTGCTTTGCAGGCAGATCGGTTGGCTTAAGACTTTCTAAAGGGATGGAGAATGAGGCTCAGAGCAAGCAGAAAAAATCAATACTGAAATATTGCTCTATTTTCAAGGAAGCTGGCTGTCTTTACCCATGTTAACAGCCACGGAAAATCACTTTGGCTGATGTCCCAAAGGGCTGCGTGGCCTGACATTGATAAAGCTGCCATTTCATGCTTTGGCATTATTTAGAAATCACCAGAACGTAGAGCAATGGGACAATAGTCCAATGTGCTCCGTGAGCCGCCGGAAAGGGACGCAGCACCAGTGAGCAAGCAGAGGCATCTGCAACTCAGCATCTGTGGCTCCCTTGGAGATGGGAAATATCTGTGGCCTCCGCATTGTCCAGCTGCTGGGGAGAGCGGGTCCCTAGTCAGGTCAGGTCCCCTTCTTTATGCAGCCAAAACTTTGGTCTCGTCACTTGCGCCTTTGTGAATATCTGTAAAGAGCCCAGAGCTGCTGCTTTGTGAGAGGGACAGTTGTACAAATTTGATTAATCAATCCATCAATAAGTCATCTCAGAGGCTCAGCCCAAGCAAGGGGGCTTCCTGCCTGCCGGACCCCTGCCCGCAGCAATGCCAGTGCAGGACATGGTCCTTCCAGCCCGACAGTCCCTGAAACCACACCACACAGGCTCCTCTGCCCCGCACCCCCAATCTGGGCTGAAATCCACCCACCCCCAGGGGAGCTGACTGTCCCTCCCGGATGGCAATTTGCTGCTGCATCCAACATCTGGGTCATGATGAGATGGATTAAGCCTCCGCCTCAAGATGAGCTCCGTGGCTTACTTTGAGAAGATTATCTCTGACAGTGCATCTAATTAATAAATCTCCCACTCCCTGGGAAGGAGATATTTGGGGAGAGACAGAGAAAAGGGCTTGGGGGGGGAGGATCAATTGCCTCTTTGCTTGGTGCACCAAAACCCAAGCCATCCAGGCTTTGGAGAAGCAAATGGACAGCTCAGCTTTCTCATCCAGAGGGGCAGTGGAGGCTTGGCGGGGTTCATCTTGTGGCCTGATGCAGATAAAGAGTGAGGGTGCCTGTGTATATGTGTGTGTGTGTGTGTGTGTGTGTGTGCTTGAAAGAGACCCCTCCCCCGAGAAAATGGGTATCCTTAGCCTGGAGAGAACGTTTGCCTTAGCCCAAGAAAGCTGCCCAGGTCTAGAGGGAGAAGCAGAAAGAGCCATAAAAGTTCTTGGTCTGTCCTTAACCTTTTGGGTGGGTGGGTGCTGCGCTCCGGAAAAGGAAGAGGAGGTCTCTGGTGCTTGAGGAAAGATTCTTCTACCTGCTCAGCTTCCGCAGAGGCTTTTAGCAGCAAAAGGCTCCTTGGCCTCCAGCACCGTAACAATTAACACATTTCTCTTAGCCAACATCTTTGTGGCGCTGGGCCAGGGCCTCTCTGCCAGGGCCAACTGGCTTGTACCTAAGATGCAGCCAGACTCTTGGTAGCTTCTGTATTTGTCCTGTTCTGACAGTGATTAATGGCATAATTGATAAGCCGTAGGTAGTTTTCCAGAGACGAAGGAGCTGACCTGGGTGCTGGTGGGAGGGAGCCGTCACTCTGGTGGACCTGATAAGAAAGACGGGCAGGAAATAGAAAACCAGGTAGGTCCAGGCACTGAAACTTCATAAAGTTATATCAGACACGTGGTCTGATTTCTTTTCTGAAAAGCAGCACGACCGATGACTTGCTTGCGAGAGCAAAGTTAGCACTAACTCAAAGCGGCGTTCTCAGCACCGGGGCCTCTGGAGAGCGGGAGGGGCGGCCCTTGGAGGCGGGGGGCCAGAGCAGGGCGCGGGGGCTGCCTCCTCATCTTCAGCCACCAGCCCCAGCCCGCCAAGTCGGGGGTGCGGCAAGGGGAGCAAGAGCGGCCGCCTCTGCTGAGCGGCTCAGCGTCCCCTGTCCTCCAGCCTCCCTTCGAAGCTTGGGCAGGTTTGGGCAAAGTCTTCCTTCTGCCCCACCCGAGGGTCGCCGGATCGCAGAACCCCCTTTCGGGAGGGAGAGGCAGGGAGACGGGATGAGGGCCCGTCTGAAGAAGCAAGAGCCAAAATGGGGGGGGGGTCCTTACACGCCAGTAAGGCGGGGAGCGCCCCCCCCCCGCGGGAAGAGCTTCCCGGCCGAGGCAGGCCGCGCTGGAACCAGGCGGACTTCGGAAGAGCGCGCGCTCTGCGCCGGCTCTGCCTGGTTGCCCCGCGTGGTGTTTTTCCCTCTGGAGCCTCAGCGGGGGGGGGGGGCAGCCAACAGGCCCGAGAGCCGCCGCAAGGGCCCCGCCGGGCCTGCCCAGGCTGGAAAGGCGCAGCCGAGAAGCGCAGCTTTGGGGCAAGGAGGGCTGAGAATTCCGGCCGCGCAACCGGGCTTGAAACTATCTGCGCCCCGGGAGAGGAGCAGCCTCGGGCCCGCCCTGGGCACCCCAAGCGCAGCGCCCTTTCCCGGGGCCTCCTTTCACGGCGCTCCCCCCCCCGTGCCCGAGATCAGCCGGACCAGACTGGGCCGCCCTCCCCGCCTGCTCTGGGTCCCTTGGCGGGGCCTGAGCCCGCCATTCTCATGGGGGACGGGGGGGGGGTGTCCGGCTCTGCATTTTCTTCATCTCTCTGCCAGACTAAGCCTTCTGGGCTTGGTGGTCTCGGGGTCGAAGGCCTCGCAGGTGACGCTGACGCCCTCTCTGTGCCTCCAGGTGGACAGATCCGAGGTCATCAAAAGCAGCCTGAACCCAGTCTTCGCCAAGGTGTTTATGGTGGACTATTACTTTGAGGAAGTGCAGAAGCTGCGCTTTGAAGTCTATGACATCCACGGGCACGGCAGCAGCACGGGGACCCACGATGATGATTTCCTGGGAGGCATGGAGTGCACAGTGGGGCAGGTAAGGCGGGGAAGGGGAGGTTGCTGGGCCCTGGCTCCAGACACCTTGCCGGTTAGCTGCAGCGGGAGGGGGGCTAATCTGCAAAGGAGCCCCTCGGAAGAGACCGCCTCTGCCCTACAGCCTGCTGGAGGGAGGGACCCCCACGCCTGCAGACTACCTGCCCCCACTGCAAGGCTTAGGGCTAGGATGCACCTTTCCCCACAGGCCGGCGGGTCAAGCTTGATAGCTCAGATCGGCGGCTGCAGGGAAAGGCTCCCCTAAGTGGGCCCAGCCCCACCAGCCCAAGAAGGGGCCATCCTACCACCTTTCTGCTCCTCCTTGCAGATCGTGGCTCAAAAGCGGGTGAGCAAGCCGCTCTTTCTCAAGTACGGGAAGTCCGCCGGCAAGTCCACCATCACAGTGAGTGCCCCCTCCCAGCCCCCACCCTGTGGCAGGTTGGAAGCAGTGGCTGGGGGACCTCCCGACCGACAGGCCCGGCCTCTGAAGGGGCCTCTCTGGACCCTCTTAACAGGTGACCTCAGAAGAGATATCTGGAGACAACGGCTTTGTGGAACTGTTCTTTCGGGCAAAGAAGCTGGATGACAAGGTGGGAGGGGAGGGGGCTGTGATCTTCTACTTTGGGGAAGGTCAGCCTGGGGAGGGTCAGTGTGGCCACACTTGGCTTGAGGGAGGCAGGCAAGGGGAGAAAGGAATTGCAATGCTGCAGGAGTCCAGGCCATTCAGACAGGCACTGGGAGATAAATTGACCTGGACAGGTGAATGCCAGTGTAGCCCCCACACCCACCCCACCACCAGAGTCCCCCCCCCAGGAATAGGAAGGGCCCAATTTGGAGCAGGAGACCAAAACAGCCGCTCAGGGCTCTGCCTTCCACCATCTGCTTAGGAGCTGAAGGGAAGGTGCAGGTTGAGCAGCAGTTTTTATTAGGAATGAAACACTGACATCATCAGCGAACATCTAGCAAACGGACTTTGTGTGTGTGTGTGTGTGTGTGTGTGTGTGTGTCTGCCTGTGTGCTCATGCGCCTGTAATCAAAGCCATCCATGCAAATTCGTCATCTTACGTGACGGAGATAAATCAGGCTGGCATCAAAGCTGTGAAATTGAATATGAACGCCGTTCTTTAAAAAATGAAAAAGGATATTTAAAAGTTGAACAGATGGAGCAGGAAGTGAGGGGAAGGAGTGCTGGAGAACTTGCTGGGTGGGGTATGTCAGTGGGGAAGGGGCTTCTGCATCTGTTCACTCTTCTCTGCCAGCCAGCCTGCATGCAAGGCAAAGTGCTGCCCCCTTTTCTTTCAGGGGGTGGGGTTTAGGGGACCCCACTCCCACACACACCCTTCATTTTCCCAACCACCCAATGAAGTGGGGAGTGATCTTCAGATGCCCAATGAAGAACATAATCCAGGCTGGCAAAACTCCCCAGGTTTGGCCAGCCCTCTCACCCCTGCAACAAAGCTCCATGCCACTAAAATGATGGCACCCTGGCACCTTCACACAAAGGACACAACTGGGATGGCCTTGCAATATGTTGCATCATGTCATTTGCACACCCCAACACCTCAGGACCCTAGAAAGAGGAGCAGAAGAGCCACCCGTTGGTAAAGGTTAGCCTTGTCTCCCATAGGATCTTTTCAGTAAGTCAGATCCCTTTCTGGAGATCTACCGGATCAATGATGATGGAAGTGAGCAGCTGGTACACCGGACTGAGGTAAGAGTCTCCTCCCAGGGGGTGAAGGGTAAAGTCTCAACGCTTCTGGTCAGGGAGGGGAGATGCTACTTCTCATTATAAGCTTCTGATCCTCATGGTGAAAGAAGGGAGGTACTGGGCCCCAGGATCTGCTTACCCCCTCCCCCAAGAGACCTGCTCCAGCCCATGCAGCACTTCCCACAAGAACCATGGAGAGCCCTTGGGGCTCAGGGCTCCTCCTTCTATGGCCTGCCCCCTTCCACCCAGAGGGATTTGAGGAGCAGATGAGAGAGGCATTTGTCGGGGACCCCCCTCCAGCCCCCCCCCCAAAGCCTGCCTTTTGGACCATATGCCTGTGCTTCGCAGTTTGTCAAGAACAACCTGAGCCCCATCTGGGAACCCTTCAAAGTGTCCCTGAACTCCCTCTGCAGCTGTGAAGAGAAGCGGAAGCTGAGGGTGAGTGAGGGGGGCACGGAGGGCCACCCTCACCTGGCTGGTGCCCTAAGCCGCCCCCCCCCAGCCGCTCGGGCTGCAACTTCAGCAGTGCCCCCAGCAGGCTAGAAGGGAGGTTTGTGAGATACCGCCTGCTGTACCCCACTTCTGAGACCAGCCGGACCTTGGGGCCATGAGGTCGGCAGGCCCGCGTCCTCTCTGGCCCTGGGCGAGGGGATGGGCGAGGAGGCCGGATTCTGGGCGGAAAGGGGCCGTTCCAAGGGGTCCTGAAGGGTCTCTCGTGTGCAGTGTGTCGTCTTGGACTATGACTCCCGAGGGAAGCACGACTTCATTGGAGAGTTTTACACCACTTTTGAGGAGATGCAGAAAGCCACAGGTGGCAACAAGGTTGGTGCGCAGGGAGGAGGCCACGCAGCCCCCCTCCGAAGCTCCACAGCTGGGGAGGGGGCTTCCTGGAGAGAAAGCAGCCATCCACAGGGGCTGGCTGGATCTGGTCTCTGTGCAGACATGAGATCCCTTTCACCCCTCCCCCCATTAGATCCAATGGGACTGCATGAATCCCAAGTACAAACTGAAGAAGCGAAACTACCGAAATTCAGGGGTGGTCATTCTCCTAGACCTGAAGGTAAGTGGCCAGCCCGTGGGCCGGCTTCTCATTGTCAGTGGGGGTGCAGGGGGGCTGGGCAAGGGGAAATCTGGGGAGCCAAGGGGTGGGTTATGGGTCTGCTATGAGCAGGCTCTTGTCCCCCCACCCCGCCTGGCCCCCTCCTTGTAATTCTGCCCCCTGGCCTGCAGATCTGTTGCCCTGTGCTGGGCACAGAGCTGGGCTGGCAGGAAGCAGCCTTCATCCTGCTCTGATGCCCAGATTCTCTGGAAGATCCACAGGGTCTACTCTTTCCTGGATTACATCATGGGCGGCTGCCAGATCCACTTCACGGTGAGTAGGTGCGCCCGGCCTCCTCGATTGGCCCAGAGCAGGCCAAGGGTCTCTGGAGCCAGAGCCGGGGTGGGGGGGCTCTTCTGTTCCAGCCCAGGGACACGAGTACTTCGGGGGGGGGGCTTGCTTATCAGTTCCTCCTTTTGCGCTTGTCGCCAACTGGGGAGGAGATGGGCACGCTGTCTGTTCGTTCCTTGGCAAGGGAGATGCTAAGCACCGAGGGAGGGGCCGGGGGCTTTGGAAATGTGGGCTTTGGCTAGGGCTGGGCCTCCAGGTGGGCTGCCCCCCCCCAGCTTCTTGGTCACCTCAGCTTCCTGCCGTGGCTGTCAGAGCACCCCGTTGGCAGCGCAGCACAGATTTCTCTCTTCCAAAACAAGAAGCAGGCGGCAGATTGCGTTTTGAAAGAGCATCTCCTTCCTGGAGTGAGTCAGTTCCAGAACATGGCAAGGAACAGATTGCTGGCTCTGGGCCCACTTTGCCCGCGAGGGCATGCGACGGGCAGCATCCCAGGAACGAGAGCCCCTCACTCGCAGGATGTGTGCGTGTGGGTGGGCGTGTGAAGAGGGAGGGAGAGACGGCGGCAATTCCTGCTTCGCTGCGAGTTCAGGGCTGATTGGCAAAAATGGGCTGTGCCGGATTAGTCCCTTTCCTTGATGTCGGTTTCTCTTCACTCCCCTAACCCAGTTTGGGCAGGAACCGGTCCTGAGGATGTTCCCATCTGCCTTTCCAGAGGTTCTGCCTCCCAAGGGGGGAGTTCTGTGCCCCTCATCTCAGACCCCTTGGCAAATGATGGGGAAGCCTGGATCTGCCCCCCCTTGGAGACTAACCTGCTGGCTCCCTGCCTCTGACCCCCTCCCCCTGCCTTCCCCCCAGGTGGCCATTGACTTCACAGCCTCCAACGGGGACCCCCGAAACAGCTGCTCCCTGCACTACATCAACCCTTATCAGCCCAACGAATACCTGAAGGCCCTGGTGGCCGTGGGGGAGATTTGCCAGGACTACGACAGGTGACTCGGGTGTGGGGAGAGTGTCTCAGTGGTGCCAGACCCTGAAGGGGGAAAGCGAAGAGGGGGGCTTGGTTGAGAGGCTTCCAAGCCCTTTGCAGCCAGACTGGTTTCTGCTTCTCCACAGTGACAAGAAATTCTCTGCCTTGGGCTTCGGAGCAAGGATCCCCCCCAATTATGAAGTAAGTCAAGGGACATGCGTGAAACAAGATGGTTGGGGAGAGGCATCCTGCCCCCCCCCAGGCAGCTGGCCCCCCCTGGAGAGGAGCTTGGCCAGTGCTCCTGTGGGAGGCCAGACCCCTGACTCCTGCTTGTTCCCCCCCCCCAGCATTTCCCTTTTTTTGCCTTATAAGAACTCCGGGACTTTTGTGATATCTTGTTGACTGACGTGTTTCGGGGCTCTTGAAGGGTCTGCTCAGCCAAGCTGTTCAGCCTCAGGGTCCCACAAGTTTCTCGTCTGCTTTGCTGCCATGATCCTAGCCCCAGGCTGAGCTGCCTTTCTGGCTGTTGGTGTGCCCATCAAGCAGTTGTGAAGCAGGGCAAATTGGCACTTCTGCCATCTCTGCATCCAGCCTAGGACCTCCCTCCACCCTCTCCTGCCAACCAGCTGGGTGGTAGGATCCCCCCTGGCACTCAGACAGCTCTGAGTCCTTCAGGATACTGCAGCGGCTGCCACGGCTTCCAGCCACCAAGCAATGCCAACTGAAAAAGGGGCTGGAGGAGGCTCCATGATTAACTTTCCTTCCTTCCTTCCTTCCTTCCTTCCTTCCTTCCTTCCTTCCTTCCTTCCTTCCTTCCTAGGTCTCCCACGATTTTGCCATTAACTTCAATCCTGAGAACGATGAGTGTGAAGGTGAGGGTAGCTTCTGCTGGCTTCTGCTCCTTCTGCCTTTCTGGTGGGCACTTTCTGCCAGGGGCAAAACGCTTCCCCCGGAACAGCCAAAACCCTTCTGGATTCAGAAAAGGAAAAATGTTTGCAGAACATTTGCTTGTAATCTCTGTCTGGGGGGCTTCCTGGGGGGAGCAGGATGTTTCTCCACTCCTGGCTTAAGGTCAAACTTTCTCTTCACTTGAAAAGACGTCCCCCACCCCGCCTGTGCTTCTGTCACCCACAGAAGGGCCCACTGAATCTTCCCCTCTCCTTGCCAGGCATCCAGGGGGTGGTGGAGTCCTACCAGAGTTGCTTGCCCAAGATTCAGCTCTACGGCCCAACCAATGTGGCGCCCATCATCTCCAAAGTCGCCAAAGTAGCCGCTAATGAAGAAAAAACCCAGGAAGCTTCGGTGAGTGTGTGGGAATCAGCAGAAACATTCTGGGTGGTAGTTGGGGGTTGAGTCTCCTTTGACCTCGGTGCCCACACATTTGCTGGAGTTTAAGCTCTGTTGCCAAACTTCAGCCAGCAAGCTGTTCCCAGCTTGACAGAAAAGTAGACACCAGGGAGGCAGCGTTCTTATGGTGGATTGGGCTCCTTGCCTACATACATGAAAGCATTGGACGGACCGGGTGGCTTTAACAAAATTACGGGGTCTTTGGTACGCTCTGAGCTTGCTTGTTTTCTTCCAGATGTTTCATTAGCCAAACTAGGTAACATAACTGATGATGTTACCTAGTTTGGGTAATGAAACGTCTGCAAGAAAACAAACAAGCTCAGAGAGCACCAAGGAGCCCTCATTTCACCCTGAGCTACAAATATTCTCCTTTATTGGTTTTAACAAAAATTTCCCTCTGTTATTGACATGTGCCAAGTGGGTGAGGACCTAAGGCCCCGCATGACTTTTCTCATCCTGATCTTGACAGCTCTTGGCACGCTTGCTAAGTGGCTGAAAGCTTCCCTGCCACTCTTACCAATTAATGGCGGCAACTGAGGCCTCCCTCCTCACAGCCTGGGGTAGGAGTGAGGGGGGGAGGGAAGGAGGGAGGGGAGGCTGGGCCCCTGGGGAGCCAAAGAGGGCCGAGGGAGAAGGAGAAGGGACACCGGGGAGGAAGCAAATCAGCTCCAGCCTTCCTCCACCTGTCCGTTGGTGTTGACATTTTGAATCATGTCAATTTGATTAAGGAAAGCAAATGGAATTAAAAACAAAACAAATGAATTACCTGATCAATGCAGTGGCATTGAATATGACGATTGGTTTTCCATTCTTGAACCAATTTCAAATCGGAGCGAATTGCCTTCCTCCGAACTGAAGCTTGATTTTCTGGAGGGCCTCCGGCCACCCAAACCCCGGGCCCTGCAACGTGCGGGTGTCGCCAGAAACCTCTTGCAGAGCCCTGTGGAGGGCAGCGTCTCCAGAGCTAGGCCCACCGCCCACTCTGGCTGGTGCCAGCTGGGGCTGTGCCTGTGCTGTTCTCACGAGACTGTGGCACTTGATACATGCACAGGAACCCTGCAGCTCTTACTGGAGAAGACACAGAGAGCAACTTGTCTTTTGCCAAGAAAATAGGAGGTGCCCGTCTCTGGCAATTCACCCTTCCCCACGTCATTCTTTTGAAGAAGGAAGCCTGGGGGGGAGGGGGGATGTCTTGGGGGGCTGCAATAGAGCCTGGACTCTCCTGTCATTCCAAGTGGCCTCTCACATTCCAGAATGAAGGAAGGGCTGCTGCCTCTTCTGTGTGCCAACAAGATCGGCTGCTGGCCCTCGGCTCAGAGGCTCATCAGAGGGAAGAGTCCTGAGGAGTTTCGTCTGCACCCCCGACTGTCCCCTCCGTCCTGCTTGTTTCCTGGGGGGCCCTGACCTGGCGCTTCTTTTCACAGCAATACTTCATCCTGCTGATCTTAACTGACGGGGTTGTGACTGACATGGCGGACACGCGGGAAGCCATCGTCCGGGCCTCCTACTTGCCCATGTCCATCATCATTGTGGGGGTGGGCAACGCCGACTTCACGGACATGCAGATCTTGGATGGGGATGATGGGATCCTTCGCTCCCCCAAAGGCGAGCCTGTCATGCGGGACATTGTGCAGTTCGTCCCCTTCCGAGAGTTCAAGAATGTAAGTCCCCCTCCCTCGGGCACGACGGTTAATGCCCCCCCCCCAAGCTGGCTGCCAGTTCACCTCTCAGCCTCCTTTGTCTTCCAGGCTTCGCCCACCGCCCTGGCCAAGTGTGTGCTGGCAGAGGTGCCCAAGCAGGTGGTTGACTATTACAGCTCCAAGGCCTTGCCCCCCCGTGGCCCCGAAGGGAGCAGCCCTGGCTCTACTCTGAACTCACCGCAGTGAACCCACCGGACCTCAGCCTCCCTGCGTCTGTCTCCCCCCCTCGTGCTTGTTCTCCAGCAAGAAGGTCGGCCGAGAGCTGCTCCTCCCACCGCACAGAGCAGGACGTCTCCTGCGTCCCCCTCGCTATTTCGGCACCGGGACAGCCAGGTTGTGCAAGAGGCCAGCAAGTCCAGGAATGGCCCTGTGAGGAGGGAGGGCAGCCCCCCCAAAACAGATGGCATAGAGAGTGGGCAGCCTGGGCAGCAGGGGCTCCCAGCTGGGCAATGCCAAGGGGCAGCAGGATTGCAAAGGAAAGAGAGGAAGGTAAAGAGGAAGAAGTAGGCCAAGAGGGGAAGCGGGAGTGATGCCCTTTGCCCGTCATCACTGTCGCTCAGATACATCCACACGTGCAAAGAAAACTCCTCTTTGCCCTTCTTTTGCTCTGTCTCAAGCGGGAATAAACGTCCGTATGTTTTATAGCCGCCCCCAAGGGTAGAGCAGCTCCCCTTCTCTTTGTAATGGGGCACCCTGGAAAGAGAAATAAAGCAGGGGCATTCTGGGCTGGGGGGGGCAGAAAGCAGAGGCATCCCAAGGGGCAGAGTGGGTCCGAAAGCCCCCCAGGCTGGGCCCCTGAGCCTGCCTTCCACAGAGGAGCCCAGGACCATCTCTGGAGGGTTTCAGCTTTTGGGAATGGACCTTCAGCACCCCAGCTCTTCCCACACCAGCACCTTGGCAAAGTGGGGTGCGGCAGAGAGACCCTTGCCACAAGTGGGGTGTCGCAGCAGGGCCCCCTCCCTTCTGTGTGCAGAGAGGGCTCAGATGCTGGGCTCAGATGCCAGGTATGCAGCATCAAAGGAGCCCATCCGTGTTGCAAAAGCGCTTCAGTCCATTTCACAGCCGCCTCCTGTGCGTGGGCGGTTTGGGTCCGGGCCCTCTTTCCCCTCTGTGCACTCCATGGTCGTCTTTTGCTGTGATGTGTCATTTGCTGATGGTTGCATGAGAAATCCTAGATGTACCCAGGAAGACAGCCAAATAAAAAAAAGATTCTGTTTCTTTGGCACTCTGTCTTTTGGAGGGAGAAAAGCAAAAACGACCCCTGTAAACATCTTGAAACAATCATGGGCTGTAAACATGAGCCAGTTTTAAACAGGTGGCCATTTCTGACTGGGGCTGCATGTCACCAAGTGAGCTGTGGCACCACTTGGTTTATGTCGTGGTCCTGGGGGCAAAATGGGCACTTTGGTCCTTTGTGACCAACTCTGCAGTGACAAACCGCCTGTACGAGAACAGCCAGGCTGCAGGTGGTTTGGCTTCTCTAGGGGTGTTTTGCAGAATTTAAGAACTGGCAAAAAGTATGGATGACAGAGATTTTTGGTGGCCACTCCACATGCCAGTGCCACTGAGAAAAATAGACCTTACATCCATGTGCAGGATGACGCCCAGGGGTGAGCTTGGGCTGAAGGCGGGGTTTCCTCCACCTGAGTCTTCTCTTCTTGCAGCTGCAACATTCTAAACATTCTAAACCTCCTTTTAAAAAACCTTTTCGCAGCTTTTGCATGGTTCAAAGGCACAGAATGCCCATCCTCTGACTGAAGCATCTCCTTTGGAGAATGGATGCCAATCGGCCCAAAGCAAATTGTAATTGGAGCTGCAGGCAGAGCTTTGCCTCCAGAACGAAGCGCCAAAGGAAGCCAGAAGGCAGCCAAGCCGGGCTCTCCGTCTGCGGGTCAGCTCCCCCTCTTGAGAGGGGCAGGAAAGCCGGACAGCAGTTCGAGGGCTGCAGGGCGCGGCTGGAACCCCACTTAATTGTCTCATGTCAATGTTGTGAGAGCCAGTTTGGTGTTGTGTTGAAGGCATCAGGCTAGGAACCAGGTGACCCTGAGTTCTAGTCCTGCCTTGGGCACCAAACCAGCTGGGTGACCTCAGGCCAGTTCCTCTCTCTTAGCCCCAGGAAGGAGCCAATGGCAAACCACTTCTGCAAAATCTTGCCAAATAAACTGCGGGGATTAATCCAAGCAGTCTCTGAGGATCAGTCATGAATGAACAGAAGGGGGAAAAAATCTTATTGCAGCAAGAAATAACCAAGAGACCCGTGGCACCATAGAAGGTAACATTCCCTGCAACAACAACATTAATTCCACAAATTGCGTACGATCCTAAAATGGGAATATGCACCCAGGGGTTGGGATTGTAAGCAAGAGGCTGAGCGGCAGGAAACAGAGAGAGCCCTGGGGCCACCGTTCCTTCTGCAGCCCTAGTACAAACACCCCAGGGTTGCTATATTAATTTACATATGTAATATGATCAAAACTCATTATTGGGATCCAGACCATTAGTGGCAAAAAGTGCTTCTACATAAATTAAAATTCGGTGGCTTAACACGACAGTTCTCTTTGAACTTCTTTTGTTCAAGAATAGCAGCCGTAACTATCCTGGGAGGATGAAAAATTCCCCTTCTGGTGCACTGCCACATTCAGGAGAGAAAACTATATTAACGGTGAGGCTGGAGAAGGAAGGGGAGGGAGCACCAGTCAGGGGTTCTCGTGTGCAGCTAATCAGACGGAAAAGAGAGCTTCAAAATGTGTGCCTTAAAGATTTTGCAATCCTGCAATTCAGTCTGTCTATTGCTTTTCTCCTTTGCCACCGAGAAGCACCTTCGGCAGGGGGTCTTTCCCTCTCACGCCTAGTCTCAATGTGAGCTGTGTCAGCCAGCAAATGGTGCACAGATTTCCTTGCACGTTTCTGCTTCTGATCACAGCCACCCCGAGACGCTGCCCCGGAGCTCAGCAAGAAAAGATTTCCAATGCAGTCAGCAGTTCAGGGTGATTAACTGCAGCTTCCTACCATACACGGTGAATCAAAGGCCAAGCATGGAGGCCCGGAGACAGACTCCAGGGAAACGGAAATAAAGCATCATCAAGACCTTTGTGTGCCATTGTAACAGAATTAAAGATAAGAATGGCTGTGTGTCTGTTAGAGAGATAAAGGAGGGTCGGGGAGCGTCAGCCGAGCCATGGGTGAGCTACGACTCCAGATCTGGGTTGGTGATGCTTCAGCACCATGGACAGAAGACGTTTCTGTGGTCAAAATGACAAATATTTATCTTGGATTTCCAGGAAAACAGTCAACAAAACATGGACTTTTCTATCTTCCGATTCTGCTCTGTAACCAGTAATTGTTTTGGAGTATTTTTCAAAATATTGTTAATAGGCTTTAACCAGCAGGAGAGACATAACTTGTTTTATTGACTTTTTGCCTGGAACCCAACATCATTTTTTTCACAACTACTTTAATACATGGTTATATTCTAAAATTCAGCCTTCCTAAGTCTAGGCACAAATTTGCAAAAAGTAATCACATAACACAATGCAATAATTTAATACAGTGTTCCCATTCACACACACACCACTCCTACATACCATGTTTGAACACTGCAAGCCTGCCAACATGCTGGGGCATTCAGAAGCACCGGTTCCACTGTGACTGTCCCCCACCTGACACCCCCTCCCGAACAAAAGGAGTCAGGCTCTAACCATGAAGCAGCTCTATTCAACAGAGACAAAGTGATTATTTCTGACTGTCAGGATAATTGCTCAAATTGTTCTTGCAATAAATGGGGCTTTGAAGCGAGATGTATTCATGCTGACAAGGATGAAGTTTGATGGGAAAGCACCTGCTGTAGCAAACGGGCTTGCACGAAGCCGAGTCTGGCAAAAATGCTGGAGGCTGAGATTGCTCCGTCCTCTTTTGCAATTGTTCAGAGGTTCCTTGGCTGTCCTGCTGGCTGGCTGGTTTCCAAAAACAGCCCTGGTTCCACTGGAGGCCCATTTCCCAAAGAACTTCCCTCGTGGTCATCTTCATCAAGGAGGTCCTGGGTTCTTTGGCCCCAGCCTTGCCAGAGAAGCAGTCAGGCCAGGAAAGAAGGGCTGCCCGTGAAGCAGACACCAGAGGGAGGCCAGGTATGTCTCCCAAATGATCCCAGACCTGCTGAACCTTCCTTCTCAGGAGCAAAGGCAACCTGATTCTGAGATTCCTGTCCGCTCCAGGTGAAGAAGTCCATCCACCTTTTCACTGAGTTCTGGCTAATGATGGAAAGGAGTCAAGAGCCAGATGTTCCTCTCACCCCAATACCCTCATCATCCACTTTGCCCCAATACTTACCTCCCCTACCCCCACCCCGATCAATCTGCCACAGATTTCTTATTTTTAGCTCCTGATTCATCTCTGTGAAAAGAGGAATAATGGATGTCACCATAGTAACTCTTGTGCCTGATAAGATTCATGCTGGAGCCCATCCTCTGCTGAGGGCAGCTGTTTCTTGAGGGAGGCGGAACTGGAGGCCTCCTTGGGGGCTTCTGTCATGGCAGGGTGGGCCCCCTGGAGGGGGTGAAGCCTTTTCCATCCTCTGCTCTTCCAAGGCTATCGTGCCTGGCTCACCGTTGAGGGTCATCTGCTCATCCTGAGCTCCCCTGTCTGAGCAGCGACCAGGGCAGCAAATGCCGATGGCCTTGGTTCTCCTTGAGGGAGCTATTCTTAAATGGGGGAAACCTTTGAGAAATGTCTGTCCCTGTTACCAAAATACCATATGCTGCACCTGCAAAGTCTGATTGCCTTGGACAAGGATGATCTCCGTAACCATTTGCCCCTCTTCCTTCAGAGAATTTGTGGGAAATCAGTGCATTGCCAGGAAAGTTAGGCTAACAATGAGGAGACGAGGTTGACCTTCCTGCCCAATTTAGAGATTTCCTGGGGCTGATGACAAAGAGAATAAACTTTTAAAATTCATTAATAAATACAGAGATAGATTTTTCTCTGGTTTCAGCCATTACAAACAATGGCCTTGTTGCTTGATTTAAATGACCCCTTGTCATTATTCTGGCCACAATTATTTATACTAGCACTGATGATATTACCTAGTTTGGGTAATGAAACATCTGCAAGAAACATCTGCAAGAAAACATGCAAGCTGAGAGAGGACCAAGGACCCACAATTATTTGTCCATTTTTATTAGTTTTTACCTAGCTTTTCTTCAAGAATGAAAGTTCTTCATGCCTCCACAGTTGGCTGATTTCCTTTGAAAATACTCAGGCTCACGTTTTAAAAAGAAATGAAAAGATCAATGATTCAATAATTGGAGAAGGAGGGAGCCACTTTCTCTGCTCTGTGCTGAATCGATCTGAAATTAGCTCATGAGAATTCCCCCCCCCCCGAGGAATCCACCACTGACCATAAAGTGGTGGAGGAGAAGAACCGAACTTGCAATTTTGGAAAGTCTGCACTGCAGCAAATTGAGGCTGGCTTCCTTCAGCGGGCCTCCTTTCACCACAAAAAGGCCTCGGCCTGGCATCCAGGTGCCTGTGGGCCAGCCCAGGGAGGGAGCACTGGAGGCCAGTCCTGCAAGGGGGGGCTGATGGGTTGAGTGAGGCTGGTGCCGCTCTGTTGCCCTTGAAAAAACCATTCCTGACTTTGTGTTGTGCGGTGGATGGAAGAAGCAGGCTGTCTGTCCCAGCCAAGTTTCAAATGCATCTCCTGAGGAAGACAAATTCAGCTGAGGCTGAGAGGCCCTCCCTGCCTTTGGCAGCCACAGGACAGACAGCGGTAAAAATGGTTAGGAAATCAGACGGGACCCAAAAGGTCCTTCAACGTTCAGGTCAGTTTAACCTCCCCTCCAGTTCATTGGGTGGAGGGGAGGTTAAACACATATACCCTCCCCCTCCGCTGTTGAGAGGCCTCACTGGTAGAAATCCTGCCGGTATGTTTGCACCAGCTGGTCATATTAGTGGGAAGAGGGGACCGTGGATAACCGATAACTGATAGCCTGCTGGGTAATTTATCCTGCTCCCCCCTCCACTGCCTCCCTGCTGCAGGACAAAGGGCTCCTTGGCTGGAGAGCTCTGATCCTCTAGGTCTTCTGGCAGTCCAGCCAGTATTCTCTGGCTTTGCATCTGGCCTGAATCAGTCATCAGGTCAGGGCCTGCTCTCGGCCTCCAGCTTTCTTGGCTGCATTCAGAAGCCAACTTGCAGCCAGGTTTGCATTACTTGCAGGCGCAAGAGCTTCCCTGAAGAAGCCAAATTCCTCCTCCAGCCAGGAAAGCACAAGAGCCACGGCACACGGAGGCCAGCTGCATCCAGAGCGACACAAAAGCCGGCTAATTGCAGGGAGTGATAGGGAATGATTACAGGATGCAGCAGGAGACGTGCACAGGCCTGTCCAGCAGTCACCCAACTCCCCCCTCCCAAGACTCTGGAAACCCTTCAATCACCACGCTTTCCCACTGTATGAACGCTGCCTGTCCATCCTTCCTTCTGGCACGTGCAAAACACAGAAGCACCTGTGTGCATCTTCCAAACTGAACAGGCTGGGCTGGGCCACATCTCCAGGTCAGTAAAGACTTGGGATGGTATCACCAATGGAAGCAGAATGTGTGTGTGTGTGTGTGTGTGTGTGTGTGTGTGTGTGTGTGTGTGTATGTGTGTGTTTACTGCAGCCGGCAGAATTTGTGTGCTGGACTCCCTTTTGATGCCCCCTCCCCAGGCACTGCTTCTCACCTTCCTGCCCTGCTGCTTGAGTTTGGAAGGACCTGGTGTGGGTCTTTTGCAAATCACAAGGGATTGTTATGCCTGTAAACACTTATGCCATTGGCATGGAGAGAGATTGTCATTTGCTTTAGACCGGTCAAAAACCTGTGGGTCTTTGGTGCTTTCCAATTAAAGTTTTTAAACAAGATTAAGAACATAAGCTGCGCCCTGCTGGACCAGACCCCTGGCCCATCTACTCTGCTCTCACAGTGGCCAGCATCTGCCCAAGAAAGCCTTCTGGTGCCCCAGAAGAGGTCCTTCAGCGGGGTCTGTCCCATACAGGCTAATAGCTGTTGATCCTCAGGACTTCCATGAATTGATCCAACTCCTTTTTGAAGCCAACCAAGCTGGTGGCCAGCAATGCACCGCTGAAGCTGCTATAGCAGCAGATGGTTCCCCGTGTCCCAGATATGAACTACTTTCCCATAGAGGATTCCTTCCTTATTCCAAAGATGGAGACGGCAGGAGCCCCATACCTCAACTCAGCTGCTCAGGACGTCTCAAGAACACCTTTGTTCTGTCATCTGCAAAGCCCTTCAGGACTCAGGACCTGATTACCTATAAGACCATCATTTCTGGCTGAGTAGAAGATTTGGGCAAGTTGGTACATTCCAGGTTCCAGCTGTAAAATACAATCATCTTGGGGACCTTGGAGACATGCTGCCTCGGTGGCTGCAGAATACATTCCTCCAAGACCTGCATAGTCTTGACCTGTTGGACTTCTATACAGCCACAGAGATCAGCCTTTTTGTCAGTCTGGGTCAGGTGGTGTGCGCATCTCCCTGTTAGCATTTGCTGGAGAAGATGTTTGTGTTAGTCACCCTCTGCAATATGTGCCATGTTCTGTTTTGTTGTTATTAATCCTATTGTAAAATCACTTTGGGATTAAGGCATCGTACAAGTAAATACAGAGAGAGACAGAGATAGAGAGATGGTTAGATACGTAGACAAAGAGATCTGCACCAGACTTGGATACGGTTCCAGAGCTGATATGCAGAAAATGCAGCCTCTCCATGCACGAACATCTCTCCTCAGTTGGGGAGGGTTGTTGGCCTGAGGGCGGAGCCTTTTTATGGAGCCACTCCTCCTCCTTTGGTCCCACATCCCTACCTGAGATTCCCCTGCCCCACACCATGCCCCCAGGGACAGCATGAGTGAGGGAGCCCTTCTGCAAGCCCAAATCGACTGAGATGGGGCTGAACTGAACCCCACCTGTCCCCCAAACAGAGAAGACCTAAGCCTCTTCTTTCCCCACGTAGTGTGCATGTTTAATTCAGTCACAGGGATGGAACTATGTAGAGTATATTTACTGAGTCTTGCTGACAACCCCCCCCCCCTTCAACTGCCCAGAAATGCCCCCAGAAGACGGACAGGGGGCGACAGCCCCTATTTGCACTACAACCTTGTACTGTGCACCATCCCACTGCAAGGTCCCCTAAATGGGACTCTGCCGCCCCCATGTGGCAGTTGGCGAGGTGGCAAAGAAGCCTTCATCTCCTGGCCATCCTTGCAACAGCCCGCCCGGGGTTGGAGGGAGGCGGTGGGAAAAAGATTTGCAAATTGCTCTGCAGCAGAAGAATATTCCGTGTGCAGGTTTCATTTCCAGAGGCAAAGAATTGGCCCAACGTTCAAACATTGGATGCAGTTGTAGCATCGTCCCTTAAGGTCTGTTCAGCAGAATAATCCAAATTGAAGCTTCTGCCTGAAGTTTTGTGGCCATTAGGAAGTTTTAAAAACAGAGGTTCTAATTCTGCAAATACTCCTGGTAAATGAGCATTAAAAATACAGCAAAAAGAGAAACTTTAATGGGAAAAGGCAGTAGGTGTAGCCTAGAAAGGTGTAGCCTAGAAAGTGGCCCTATATGCATTTGGAGAGGAAAACAGTCAAATGTTCACATATCTGTCCAAAATTCTGGGTTTTCTCATCACTGGTGAAACTCCAGGAAAAGATCTGCTCCACCTCTCCTCAATCCTTCAAGGCTGTAGTTTTTCAAGGCCGTTGGACTACAATACCCTTAACCCACTGTCAGCAGGGCCAATACACCTGGAAACAACAGGCTGGGCTGCTCACCTGGAGGTGTTAAAGAATCAAGGCTGGGAATGGAATGAGGGAAGCCGGGCCATATAAGGCGCTGCTTCCTGGAGGCCAAAACTCTTCCCTGGACAGCCGGTGGCGTGTGCAGCTGCAACAGGGGCCCCATCATGGCCTCAGGCAGCCCCTTCCGTGCCATCTTGCTGCTGCTCCTGGCTTTTACTCTCCTACAGAAAACCTGGCCAGAGGCCACGGCTCCTTTGGCCGGAGGGCCCCGGCTGCCAGGCCTTGGGCAGGAAAGGTTTCGGGATGCACAGGGAAGGAACAAAGGCAGGGGAGGGGGGCCCATCCTGAGTGGGGAGGGAGGCCTCCATATCAGCAAGGGGACACAGCTGACAACGGTGCAGGACAAGACCAAGCCAGCCTGGCTACACTCCCCATGCCCCCTGGACCCTTGTGGCCAGCCACCATATTGTCAGACCTGGCTGGCAAAAGTGACCCTCCTGGGGGTCCTGGGGGTCCTGGTCATGGGGGGCAATGGGCTGGCTATCGTGGTGCTGGCCTCCACGGTGTCTGGCTGGAGCCACAGCAGTCGCTTCATGCTGCTCTCGCTGGCCGCCTCGGATGCTGCCCTGGCTGTGCTGGTGGTGCCCCTCAACCTGTACCGGAGCCTGACGCTGGGGCCAGCGACCCCTGAGGATGCTGCGGGAGAAGAGGCTGCCTCCTGCCGGGTGGTGGCCTTCATCAACTCCAGCCTCTTCGGGGCCTCCCTCTACTCCCTGGCCGGGGTCTCCCTAGAGCGCTACGTGGCCGTCTTCTTCCCTCTCCACTACGGCCGCCTCCTGAGCCCCAGACGGGTGCTTTTGCTCATCTTGGCTGCCTGGCTCCTGCCTGCCCTCCTCCTGCTGCCGCTGGCTATCCCATCCCCTGTGGCCGTGCTCCAGGTCCGCTTTTCTGCTGCTGCCCTGCTGTGCGAGCCGGACTATGGTTCCAACCCCTTCTACTCTCTCTGGATCGCCGGCACCATCTTCTGCCCGGCTGCTTCCACCATCGCCTTCACGAATGTGCGCCTCTGGCTGGTGGCCCGCTCGCAGCGCCAGCGTGGAAAGGACCCGGGCTTGATGGAAAAGGCAGGGCGGCCCAAGAGGCCACGGATGCTCCAGCTGGATGCTGCCGCCCGAGTGTTGCTCCCGGTTGTGTTTGCCTTCTTCGTCTGCTGGGCCCCTTGCATTGGCACCCTCGTGTACAACTGTAAGTACCCCAGAGCAAGTGGGTGGCACAGCAAGCTCCCCCCCCCGGCAAAGGTGCAGAGGCCTTTATGCCACCCAAGAGGGCTTCTTTTCACCCAGGCAGTTGCATTGGTCATCTCCTCTGTGGTCAAGGAAAACACATATAATATGGGGTGGGGCAGTGGAGGGCAGGGAACTGGGTGGGGGGGAACCCTCCGGGATTGGCTCTCAATACCCCAAAAGAGAGATTGACAGTTGTGATGTGCAATTATGTTGTAATCAGCCTCCCCAAGGAAGTGCCCACCAGATACTTGTCACTCTGCAGTTCCGATGATCTCTCCCCGCACAAAGACGGCTGCACCTTTGGAAAACAGCAGCTGGCCAAAGGCTGATGCACAATTTGCGTATGCCAAGGAGATTAAGCCTGGCCCTTTAGATCCAAGGCTGGGAGTGGCTGAGTCAGTCCTCGGGGTGGAGAGGCTGCCTTCTGCCCTCTGAGTGAGGAGGGATGATGGAGCTCGGAGGATAAGTGAGGGTGGAGATTGTCTTCCAAAGAGAAGGAGACAAGAGGCTGCATTCAGCTTCCAATTCTTTGATTCATGAGCTTGTAATTTTTTGAAATAAATCTATTTTCTCTAAACATGACGCTCCCCATGGGCGAGCCATCCTCGAGGTTTGCTATGAGTCCCATAATCCTGAAACATTTCCTGAGAATTCTAGCTGTTGTACGGTACCTGGAAGGCATCAGCCTGGTATATAAATGATGAAGCCTGGGACTCATCTAAGGCAAGATGAGGGAACCAAGATGCCCAGATAAAATACAGACACCTGCAGAAACAATCTCTCTCTCTCTCTCTCTCCCTCCCTCCCTCCCTCCCTCTCTCTCTCTCTCTCTCTCTCTCTCTCTCTCTCTCTCTCTCTTCCCAGCAATCACCCGGGAAAGAGTCCCTGACTGGCTGGAATTTATTGCTTTGTGGCTCCCCATTGGCAGCGGCTTCCTCAACTGCTTTGTCTACTTCTGGGTCAACAGAAACTTCCGGCACAAAGTCCAGAAGGTTGGACAAAAGCTCTGCTTGCCCTGCTGTCTAACTGAGCAGGACCTGCGGCCACAGCACCTGCCCAGCATCTCAGCTCACGTGAGGATGGATTGTGAGCCCCCCGGCCTTTCCCCAGACGGCTCCCTCGGTGGGTCTCCTCCCAGCGATGGCCTCCCTCTTGCCCGGCATGGCTAACCGTCTGCAGGAATCCAGCCTGGCCTTCCTACACTGTGGGGGTTTGTAGCTCTGAAAGGCGCCTCCCGTCCATTGCCTCTGAGCAACTGAAGAAGATTTGTCACTTGGAAGATGTCAGACCCTTCAAGATAATTCAGGAAATGGATCTATCAATCCGCTGGACTGAAAAGTGGCCACTTCGTCAGCTGGGGGCAGGAATATTGCAGCTCCCTCCCTGGCTGGCCTAGCTTTCCAGACAGGCTTCTGCAGGACCATCCCAGGACTTAGATTGGTGATGGGTGATGGAGAAGCATCTGCCTGAACCAAGGTGGGCTCTTTACCAGGCCTCCCCAGGGGGGAAATGTGAGAAACCAACCTCTGGGGATGATCTCAGAGCATCAGAATAGAGCTCTGGGCTCAGCAGTTCTCATATCTTGCCTTTTACCCTCTGCCTTCCCTTTAATGACCAATTTGTTTGGCAATCCCATGAAAAGAAAACCAGGGCCGTGACAACCTCACTCGCTTTTAATTCCCTTGTTTTAGTGGCTGGACTTTGCTGTTCACTGGAGATTTAAGAGAAGGTTTTAGCTGGATCCATGGACTCGGCCACAACAGCCGAACAGACAGGTCCCTCCATCAGCTGAAAGGGGGGGGAGGAAGAACGGGGTTTCCTCTGTCAGGCATCTGTGGTAGAAACAGGCTTCCACGTCTTTTGCTGATTAACATTATGTTACGCTAATCAGTTTCCTGAAAGAAAAAAAAGTTATGAACGTGATTTGACCTCCTAGGTAGCATTTTAGGAATCTTCCCTCACTGGGTCCTCCTCATATCTTGAGAAATCAGCTGGAATACGTCACAAGACCTTGAGTCTCTTCAGTTTGTGGCCAATCACTGGCTGCCTGGTGGACCTGCAACTTTCCCACCCTGTTCCACTTTCCTAGCCCTTCCTTCCTTCTTTGCCTCAGCCTCTTCCCTCTTTAGCTGTCTTTCCCTGCACTCCCTCTTCGCTTTCCTTAATTTTTATACAATAAGCTTTTAATGACTTGGGCTGAGATCAAGAGAACCGGTTGGGACAGATCAAAGTCTAGTCTTTGTTTTTCCTGGCCCCAATTTAAGAGTAATGGTTCGTTTTGTGTGCTGGGTTGGAATAAAATGCAGCATGAGCATCCTCGGGGCATGGTCAGAAAAGTCAAGATGGTGGACGTGGCAGAGTAGCTGAGCTCCGCCCATTTTGATGGATGCCGCAATAGAGGCAGCTTTGATTGTCTTGAATTATGGGCCTCACTCTGCAAACGCCTTGGAAATGCAGGCAGGGCCACTCGGGTTAGGACAGGAATTCTGCCCTGAGAATGAATTAGTCAGCCATCACCAAAGCAGCAGCTTCCCTTGGCTTGGGGTGCCGTTGCCCCCCTCCCCAGCTGGCATCTTCATCTTGCTGGGCAGGGAGGGAGGGATCCAGGACCCTGGGGTGAAAAGGTTGGGCCCACATTTCAGCAGGGTTTCCATGGAGAAGAGGCGGTTTCAGGCTGGCATGTCTGAACCTTGTATTTTTTATTCTGTGCAGTTTCTCTCCCCGCCACCCCCATCTTCCCTTTGGGTGTCTTTCCCGGCCTTGATGACTATGTGCAGGATTTCTGAGAAATACATTTTATCATCATCCAAATCTGCTGCTACTTTTTTTTGCTATTTTTTTTTTTAAAAAAAGACTGTGGTTTCAAATATTTTGTGAACATCCTTTTTGTCTTGCCATTATTGAATTATTTACTGTAGTTTCTTGGATAAAACATATTAAAGATGAAATTTAAATGTATTAAATAAAAATAAAGGTGTTTTGGATTTAATATTTTTTCCTATTGCAGTGGGTTCCTTGGGGAGGGGGCAGAAAGGGTGCTACTAACCAATAGGTTGAGTTACTTGGAAGAAGTTGCCACTGAGAATTTTGTTCCTCGGCCAGGACAATATCCTGATGGACAGAAGGGGAGGGAAATACTCTCACCGCAATATTCCAGCAGAAAATCTTACTAATCAAAGAGATGAAACCCTGCTCTCTTCCACACATGTGACTTATCTGCAGTTCTGGAAAGAAAAGTTACTTTCTGCCCATGTGGGACTCTGATGCACATGGTGTTTGCAGGATGTCCTCTCCCCAGCCTGATGTTCTCTTTCAAACACATTCAACTAGAGTTCCCACCACCCAGAGGACAGGAGAGAGGGAATCTGCTCTTCAGCACATCTGGAGGACGGTCCAGAGGCCAGGAAGGGCCAGGCTGTGACTTGAAGTCTCCTGTTAGCATCCTTAGCATCTCCATGATGATTGTGCTACAGAATTGCAGATTTGCCTGTTCTTCTCATGCTGGACAATGTCCTGCTGTTTACTGGGGACAATGGCTCATTCTTACTCTACACTTCGGCCAGTTCATTTGCAGAAGAGGAAAGGGGAGAGGCACAGCTAGAAAGGCAGCTGCCGGAGGATATCTGTGCAGCTGTGCTCTCTCCAGCTCACTGAAAGCCCCTTTCAGACTCCACCAAAAGTCCTCCTGAGCACCCTCTGCTTGCCAGGAAGGGAGGAGAGGAAGCGTCTACTGGCCTTTGGGCTACTCTCTGGCTCCAAGCAGGGGTGTGCACCCCTGGGGACACTGCAAATAAGTCAGATTTACTGAAGAAAGGAAGAAGATTTCCAGCAACTGGTGTGACTCTAACAAGCCCTTAACTGTAAACATAAAATCCCCCTTGCATTTAGCCTTCTGTCCACCCTTCTTAAAAGGAAATTATTTGGTCCCCTCCTTTGAGTGACTGGCTTGTTTCCATCTGTTTGTAGTCATCCAATTTGCTACCTTGCAGCTTTTAATGACTGTGTAAGAATTATCTCGCAGCCCCAGATTGGTATGACATCTTGTTGGGTGACCTCCCAGTAACTTTTCCCAGTGGAAGAAAGTCCCACACTTGAGCTGCCTTCCTGAGACAAGCTGGTCCTGGGTGGCCACTTGCAAAGGCCAGCCCAGGTCTTGGAGCAGCTGCTGTCAGTCCATGTCCCACTGGAGGGGCCAGGGATGGCCTCCCATTTCCTCCTGGTATTTCTCATTGAAGAGAGCGCTCTGTTTGGGGGAGAAGTGGTTCCTCCAGTCACCAACAATACCTAGAAGGGCAGAAGGAAGATCTTGCTGAATTCTCAGCAGAGACGGTGCTCATCTAGCAAAGGAAGCGAAAGGACGAGGTGAGCCTGGGAAGGGTAGCACTGTGCCAACTCTCGCCGGCCTCCCCACCCCTGTGGCCTCCGCTGACCTTTCCTCATGAACTGGCTTTTCTGAAGATCCATGATCTCAGGAGGAACAAGTCTGCCATTCACCATGATGTTTTCTTTCATGACAGCAAAGCTGCAGTGCTCCAATATGCAGTCCACCTGATCTGGCTCAACTGGGTGGTCCAGGAAGGCACTCAGCTGTGCCACACAGTGTTTCAGGTCCTAGGAGGAGGGGGGAGGAGGAGGAGGAAGAGTGAGGAACAAAGCAGGTCCTATAGAGGAGGAGGAGCCATGGGACCCAACCCTTTGACTCTTGCTTCAACTCCAAGAAGGGGTCACCTGCCTGCCCTGACCCAAGGCAAGAGCTCCACTGCTGATCCCTGTGGCAGAAAAGGAGCCGTGGGCTGGGAATGATGGGAATTGTGTTCTACCATATCAGGAAAGGATATTCTGTCACCATTTTAGAGCCTCAAAGGACAAAATGTGGCCTTCTGGACATCAGCCAGCAATTCTCATGATTTTCACAGCTGATCAGGCTAGGAACTGGGAATCTAAGAGCATTGCAAGAGCCAATCTTGCACTTTGCTGCTTGCAAATCAGAAAAGGTAAAAAGTATCTACCTGCATATGGATCTTAGCTTCCAAACCACACACACAAAAAATCACCTATCTGAACTTTGAGCCATTTGCTTTCCCTCTCCATGCAAGGCTAAATCCAGTTATCCCAGCCCCTTTCCTGATCTCTCTCTCTCTCTTTTCTGTCCTTCCCCCGGCCTGATGCCTGGAGCTGTCCTGGCTGTCCTGGGAGGATGGAAGGGGAGAGAAGGCTGGGGAGGGGGCTCCTTCCTTCAGCACTCCATCCTCACAACCCAGCCTGAATCGGGTTCTCCAACTTTGTTCCCGTTCACACAACCCTCTTCCTGACAACAAGGCCAACATTTGAAACCACCATCCTGTTTCGAAGTAAGCTGGTCTCCTTCCCTGCCGCGGCTGGTGCCGGCTGTGGGCAAACTCACTTGATGGAGCTCCTCGTAGGTGATGCAGAAGAGGCCCAGCTCTTCTTGGCAGCTGAGCCAGCCTTTCACATGCTCAAACCAGGAACCGTAGTGCACTGTTTCAAAGTAGGGAGAAGAGCAGGATCAGAGAGGGAAAGAAGCCCCGCTTTGCCTCCCGCTTCAGCCTCCTGGCAACTAACGAGGAGCCACATCCTTTGCTGGCATCTCAGCCTGCTGGCTGTCCCTTCAATTCCGCTTATGATTCATCTGAAGAAAGTCAAGTCACAAAATGTTCCAAGCAGCCTCTGCTTTGAGCCAGTCTATCTCCCAGCCTGATGCCAAAAGCAGGCAGAACTTGACAGACTGACTGGGTGGAAGAAGGACCCTCGGCAGAATCTAGCAGCCACTCCCTGACCCCACCGGCACCCCCAGGTGTGTTTTGATGCCTGCCCTGCTAGGCCAAAAGTCCCCAGATGGAGGAATGGCCCCTTCTCCCCCCTAGAAAATTGCCACCACTACCACGGTGGGCTTTCAAGAGCAGTTCCTCGTCTGCCGGCCGGACGGCTCTGCCTTCAGTCTGATCACCAGCTATGAAAGAGATCCCTGCTCTGGGTCTTGGCCAGCTGTTAAACTGTGCTGAGGTGGGATGGAAGGGAAGAGGAGCCCAGCAGCCCTTGAAGCATCTTCTAGGAACCAGGAGCGCCTCCCCTACCCTAAAGGGTGGGCTCTGACACAGGAATCCCTCAGAAAAAACACCTTTCACCTCCTAGAAAGCCTTGGTGTACATTCAAGAGCAGAAATCTTTTCAGTTCAGCTCCAGCCATGCATGACAACAGTTACTTTGTAAAACTGCTGGAGAATGGAAAATGGTAAGAGGTTTAGGGATAAAATAGTCTTACAATATAAAAAAAACCAAAACAAGAAACATAAAAAGGTTGGAGGAGGAAATTAAAGAACTAGAGAGTAAATATATAGAAAGTATAAGCTTATGTTAGAATTATCAGCTAAAAGAAAAGAGTTGCAAAATATTGAGTTAGAACGGGTTCAAAGAAATCCAATTTATTTAAACAGGGAATTTTATGAAAATAGTAATAAAAATTCTAGAATGTTAGCTAGAGCCACACAAGTTAAAAAGGCAAAAAGCCTGATTGGAGTAATAAAGAACGAAAAGGGAGAAAGATGTAACATGATGAGAGAAAAATTGTTGATATTTCAGAAGTTTTTTGAAAAGTTATATAAGGGAAAGGAAATAAATGTGAATGAAAGTCAGGCATATATAGAAAATAATTTAAACTGTAAAATTTGAGAATGTGATAAAGAAATAATGGAATCACAAATAGATGAGGAGGAGATATTGGAAGTTATTAATAAATTGAAAATAGGTAAAGCACAGGGTTAGATGGACTAGACGTAGAATATTATAAACATTTTAAAGGATTATTGGTGCCGAAGATGAGGTTAATGTTTAATAAAATAATGGAAGGGGAAATTTTTCCAAGTTCCTGGAAGCAATCTCTGATAGTATTGATAGCGAAACCTAATAAAGATCTTACAAACCCAGGATCATATAGACCAATATCCCTTATTAATCAGGATGCTAAGATTTTTACAGCAATATTGACAAATAGATTTAATACATTTATAGAGAATTATATTAAAAAAGACCAGTGTGGATTTATAAGAGGCTGACAAATGTCAGATGTAGTAAGAAGGAATTAAATTTAGGCTATTACATAAAGAATCAAAAATTAAAAGCTGATTTATTAGTATTAGATGTTTTTAAGGCCTTTGATTGTGTGTGTGGGGGGAATTTAAAAATAAAAATATATATGCTTTTAGTATTATCATGTAATCATATTTTATATTTTAGAATTATCATTGTATAATCAATTGCCTGAGTAGATGCTTCAAGTATATAGGGAACATACAAGCCTCAGGTGGAGGAAGGGGGAGAACAGGAGTTACCGTGGGGCCCAGTGTGAGTCACCATCTAGGAATTGTTTTTAAGTACCTTTTGGTGCCTGGTACCCCTACTGGATCTAACAGGTGTAGAAGATGGGAGACATCTCTCCTCTAGAATTGATATAGGACAGTAGGGGAGGGATCTTATTAGTACAATGTATTCTGTTTAGGCGCTTCTGATAGATTGTAACCTCCAAAGCCTAAGCCGATGGGGCCATGGGGGAGGGAATGGGGCGTCGCGATAGGATGTATAATAATATGTGATTTTTGGAATTTGGGGTGTGGTTCAGTGCTTGGCTACATTGCATTGCCTTCCTGAATCCACCACGCTTTGCAAACCGTTATTTTTTTAGACTTTGTTGTGAAGTCTAATAAACTTCTTTTCTATTTGTAACTCAGAGTGGATTTCAATTTGTGACTATTTTTGTGTCTAACATGTGGAATGGCCTACATTGAAAATATTAATAGAGAAATTAGGCTTTGGAAAAATTTTTTAAAAAGTGATAAATCAACTATACCCAGAGAATAAAGCAAGAATAGTCATAAATGATAGTGTTATAGAGACAATAACCTTAAGCCGGAGAACGAGACAGGGTTGCCCCTTATCCACAGTTCTATTTGTATTATTGATGGAGGTTTTGGCAAATGCAATTAGGAAAGATTCATTGATTGAAGGAATTGGCATATGTAAGAAAACGAAAATAAATTTATTTGCAGATGATACATTACTAATATTTCAAAATCCCATAGCTACTATAGAGAGGGTATATTCACATTTGAATGAATTTGGGAAATATAGTGGATTGCAAATAAATTGGGAAAAATCAGAAATGATGTTATATAACTATAGTAAGAAGAAATGGATGTATTGAAAGAAACATATAAATTAAAAATAGTAGATAGTATCAAATATTTAGGTATTGACATCCCAAAAAATATTCAAGAATTAAAGGAAGATAAATTATGAGAAGTTAAAGAAAGATATAAAAGATAAAATGGATAAATATGGTAAAGTAAAATTATCACGGTTTGGAAGAATTGCAGCAATAAAAATGAAAGTTTTACCAAAAATTAACTTTTTGTTTTGGATGATCCCAATTAAGTTTTCGGATCAAGAATTAAAGGAAATACAGAGATTGCTGGAGGTGTATTGTAATGGAGGCAAGAGAGCAAGAATAAGTAAAGCTTTATGGTATGAACCATTTAAAAAGGGCAGGCTGGGTCTTCCAAATGTTAGAAATTATTGGGCAGCTAATCAGTTAAGGGTGGTCCCAGATATTATAACAGATACCGGTAGTAGAAATCGAGAAATTCCCTAAGATTGAACTGAAAGATTGGATTAATAAAATTTTAAAAAATCAGATCTATAAATGGGAAGACTGGAAGAACAAGATTAAGAATATAATACAATTAAATAATGTTTTATCAGATACTAAGTTAAAATGGATAACAATGGAAGAAAAATTCGAGGAGAAAGATAGACAATTAACAAAATTTGAAATGATTATAAAAGAAAGTGAGGAAAATGAAGAATATATAGGTAAAGGAAGAACTGGGAAAATATACAGAATATTAACTGAACTAAAAGATCAGGCAAAAGATTTAAAATTAATCTGGGAAACAGACTTAGGAGAAATAAATGATAAAGATTGGAAAAATATTTGGAACAGAAGAGTATATAAGAATATGTCAGAGTTAAGGAAAATGGATATAAAGTGATATGGAGGTGGTACCCAACACCACGCAAATTAAATCAAATAGATGTTAAATATACAAATATTTGCTGGAGGTGCGAGAAAGAGATTGGAACATATAAACATATGTGGTGGGATTGTGATAGTGCACAAAAGATATGAGACATGGTGTTTAGGGAAAGTAGAGAACCTTTGAAGGTAAATTTAGATATGTCACCGAGGATCGCATTACTATTACTGGTGGAAAAACAAGATATAAATCAACGATTCTCAACCTGTGGGTTGCGACCCTTTTGGGGGTTGAACTACGCTTTCACAGGGGTCGCCTAAGACCATCGGAAAACACATATTTTTGATGGTCTTAGAAACTGAGACACTCCTCCTCTATCCGGCTGCCGCCGCCCTTCTCCTCCGCCGCCGGCTCTTCTGCCTATCGGGCGCCCTTCTCCTCCGACAGCACCTGCTCCTGCCACCGCAGGGCCATCGCGTGTGCCCCCGATGCCGCCCTGGGCTGGCTCAACGGCCGGTCCGAGCCAAGCCGGGTCTGGGCCGCTGCTGGCGCTGCTGCTGGGCTGCTCTGCCTCTGCTGCCGCTGCCAGCTGAGCTGAGCTGCAGCGCCGAGCTGGTCTCCACGCCTCCTGGTTGCCCAGCTGCGCTCTGCCCCTGGCTGCCCTCTGTGCCGTGCGGGAGCCTCCCCTGTGCCGCCTGGCCAGCCTCCCTCGCTGTCAGAGGCCGCCTTGGCTCTCTGGCGCCCGGCGCAGCTGTGGGACTGCTGGGCAGGAGTAGCTCCTTCCCAGCTCACCGGGCTTCGAGCCTCGGAAGCGGCCAGGGGGCAGGGAAGAGGGCGAGGCAGTGGCGATGCCCGCATGTGCGTCGGAGGCTAGCCGGCCAGGCCAGGAGGGGAGAAGCAGTGCCTTCCGACCAGGAGCTGGCACTCCGGCCGTGCCCCTCTCACGTGCGATGGGCTGTGCGGCATAGAAAGGGGCTCACGCGACCCCACCGCTGCAATAGCGCTCAGGAGGCTGGAGGGGCAGGCAGGTCCCAGGGGGGCAGCTGGGAGAGGGCAAGAGGTGCCGGGATGAGGATGGGGGGCTCCAGGTTGGTGGGTGTGAGAGGGCAGCTGGCAGCTCTGAGGCGCGTGGATCCTCCACGCAGCTTCCGAGGCCCTGGATGTGCCGCCGCTTGGCTCTCCATCAGGCTCTCCGCCAGAGCCTCCCCCCTCCCTGGGCAATTGTGCAGAGCTACTTGTGCGTCCTTGGCAGCGCCTCCCCCCTTCAATCTCTCTCTCTCTCTCCTTCTCCATCTCCTTCCTTTCCCCTTCAATCTTCCTTCCTTCCTTCCATCTCCAACTCCACCCCTTCCCCTTCAATCTCTCTCTTCTTCCTTCCTTCCTTCCTTCCTTCCTTCCTTCCTTCCCCCTTCAATCTCCTTCTCCATCTCCTTCCTTTCCCCTTCAATCTTCCTTCCTTTCTTCCTTCCTTTCCCCTTCAATCTCCTTCCTTTCCCCTTCAATCTTCTTTCCTTCCTTCCTTCCATCTCCATCTCCATCTCCATCCCTTCCCCTTCAATCTCTTTCTCCTTCCTTCCTTCCTTCCTTTCCCCTTCAATCTTCTCCATTTCCTTCCTTTCCCCTTTAATCTTCTTTCCTTCCTTCCTTCCTTCCATCTCCATCTCCATCTCCATTCCTTCCCCTTCAATCTCTTTCTCCTTCCTTCTTTCCTTTCCCCTTCAATCTTCTTCCTTCTCCATTTTCTTCCTTTCCCCTTCAATCTTCCTTCCTTCCTTCCTTCCATCTCCATCTCCATCCCTTCCCCTTCAATCTCTTTCTCCTTCCTTCCTTCCTTCCTTCCTTCCTTCCTTCCTTCCTTTCCCCTTCAATCTTCCTTCCTTCCATCTCCATCTCCATCCCTTCCCCTTCAATCTCTTTCTCCTTCCTTCCTTCCTTCCTTCCTTCCTTCCTTCCTTCCTTCCTTTCCCCTTCAATCTTCCTTCCTTCCTTTTCCTTCCTTCCATCTCCATCTCCATCTCCATCCCTTCCCCTTCAATCTCTTTCTCCTTCCTTCCTTCCTTTCCCCTTCAATCTCCTTCCTTTCCCCTTCAATCTTCCTTCCTTCCTTCCCCTTCCCTTCCTCCCAACATTTTTGAGCAAGGAAGAGTAAGCTTCTCCAGCCAGCATTGCTATATTGTTTTTGTGATTAATCACTATGCTTTAATTATGTTCACTTCGTAACAATGAAAATACACCCTGCATATCAGATATTTACATTACGATTCATAACAGTAGCAAAATTACAGTTATGAAGTAGCAACGAAAATAATTTTATGGTTGGGGGTCACCACAACATGAGGAACTGTATTAAAGGGTCACGGCATTAGGAAGGTTGAGAACCACTGATATAAATGAAGCAAAAAAGGAATTTTGTAAATTTGATAATGGCAGCTAGATTAGTGATGGTTAAATATTGGAGACGGAATTGGGATATTCAAAGAAATGAGCGGTATAATAAAATATGGAATATGGCAATAAATGATAAATTAACAATAGAAATTAAATTTAAAAAAGGGATGATTAAAGTAAATAATTATAATGAAATGTGGGATGATTTTATAAAAACAGTCTTGGTGGAAGGCAAAGGGAATAAACCTGCTCAAGAATACATGCTGTTTTGGAGGGGATAAAGGCACAATTGAAATATATTGTATATTGTTAGTTGTTATATGAGAAGAAATATAGATAATAAAAATAGTCTCCAGGGGGGTGGGTGCACTGTAGTATTTGTATTTTTATAATGTTTTTATTTAGATTTATATGTGTTATGTTTGTATTATTTGTATTTGAATAAAATAAAATTAAAAAAATAAAACTGTCAAAGAATGGAAAAGGGACCTTCCCAATTATTTTAAGGAAAATCCATCCAGTTAAGGATGAAAGCAAACATGTCAGTGCATCCTGATACAACGGGAACACATTCACCACCTCCAGACTGCCTGACAAAGCCGTCGCCCACCTAATGCCCTCTGAATGCACTGAACCGCAATCCCCAGGATTCCCAGCCTGCCTGAGCAGAGCTATTCTCTACCACATTTGGAGACCATCAGACTGGGGGAGGCTCCTAGCCGCCTTCGGAAACTTCTGCCTCCACTTACGGAGCCTCTGGGACTAATTGAAAACAGTCATGACCAAAGCAGCTGCAGTGCTTTAAGCGAGTGGTCTCCAAACTGGGCAGGTCCAAGATTGGTGGACTTCAACTGCGAGCTATGCTGGCTGAGGAATTCTGGGAGTTGAAGTCCACAAGTCTTAGAGTTGCCAAGTTCGGAGACCCCTGCTTTAAGATAAAACACCACCCTTACATTGTTGAAACAAATGCACGACCTCAACAGCCCCTAAATTTGCAGTTACAGTACAAAATGAAAGCAGACTACGAGAATTGTAAAGAGAGTCGAATGCCCACAATGGAGCTTGCCGTGAAACGGGAGACCAGGGGTTTACGCAACCACCCGGTTCTACCACTTCTTCAGCTGAACTTTGCAACTGCTTTTTAAACATAATGACATAAAGCATCCCATGTTGGCAAGCAGAGAGATATATTTACTTTAAAATATAAATCATGATGGCACTGAATCGAATGGCTGTGCTCTTAGGGGGCATGTTGGGGAAAAAGAAACGGAAGATGCTGTGAGCTCTCCCACATACCGGTGCCAGCCATGAAATTGTGAAGGAAGTCTTCAAAGGAGGTTGGATCAGGGAAGAACTTGGCCATTCTCTGGAAATGGTAGTAGGACACAGCAACATCTTTTGGATTCCTGACCACATAGATCACCTGCAGCAGCAAAGAATGGACAAGCTGACCCCCCCTTAGGACTTCCTGTTTTGACCATCTGCCATCCCAACCTTGGGTCTCGCTGCAGTTTCCTTGAATAGCTTCACAGGAGACATCATGGCTGCACTCACAACATGCTAAGCTGAATATGCCACATTATGTCCCTCTGAAATCCCTAGGGGGGGGAGCAGGATAGCCTCATCTGAAGGTTTTGCCCTCATTCTAGTGAATGCTGGCTCTGAAACAAAGCCGGGGAGTATCTCCAGAGACGCACCTTCGGCTTAGCTTTCTTCAGGGCAGGCGCTAGCGCTGTCCGGGTCAGGTGGGTGGTGAGGAGGCGCGGACGAGACCCAATGTGCTGAAGTTGCTCTTGGAAATAACTGTGCTCCAACCAGGGAGCCCGAGCCCAGTTGGGAAGAGTCTTTACAGGCTCGAGGTTGCCATTGCTGTAGATCAAGGTCAAGATTTCTTGCATCCACGTGGTGCCTGGAGGACAGGAGGAGAAGATTGGCATGGTGACAGTGACCTGTGGAACTGTAGGCTTTTTGACTGCAAGAACGTATCATAGAGGTTCTCTTTGGGGAAAAAGATCATTTGCTCAGAAAAGAAAGTGGTGGGGCACCTGCATCAGCTCATTCAGAATGCTGCATTCAGAAAACGGGAGCAGAAATGAGCCCTTGGTGTTCAATGGACAGGTGACTGAGCATCTCCACCCTGGTGACCTGTCACTGGTGCACCCCAACATTTCTCCAAGCCCACTCTGCCATAAGTAAAGCAATTGGGGGGGAGACTCTTTTCCCTGGCAGCTCTACCAACCTTTCAGCTACCTGCAGTAAAGCGCTCAGTTAATTGTCTGATTTACTGATAGTCCATTAAACATAAACAATTGATAGAAATGCATGCAGATTAGAGCTCACCTCTTGGGCAGAACCAGTTGTGCCAGCATATTTGTCCCCTGACTCAAGGACTGGAAGAAAGCAAATTTATGCAACCACGAAAAAAAAACCCACCATAAAGACAAACATTCTCTCCCTCCCTCCTCCAGAATTACTCGTAAAGTAGACAGGGATGCTTGGTCCAGGTTGGCTGAAGGGCAGGGAGAGCCTCTCAAGTGCTCCCAAGAGTCCTGGGGAGAGTCCTCTTTCTTCACAGTGCCCCAAAGGCCTCCAGCCAGAGGTCCAGCCTATGTTCAACCAGGGGCTGGGTGGGATTCAGGGATTCAATGGTAAAAGCCATCTGAAAGGGCAGAGGGGCCCTCCCATGGAGCCTCGGGGTTGGTGGGGGTGGGGATGTAGGCAAAGCTCTGGTTGACGAACCAGGGCCCTAGGCAGCTTCTTGGAAAGGGGCTTGCTGGGAGGAGATGGCTGAAACTGGGCAGTAGTTCAGGGGTTAGTCAATGATTACTATTTCAAAGACCAAACCTTTATTGTCTCAGGGGCCAGATAAGATAGTCCTGCCATCATCTGTCTTTCAAAGAGCAGCCTACTATCTATCAAAATAGTTTATGAGTTTCCATGATCAAAATCACTCAGGCAACCACAAAGTTCTTCTTAAGTGTTACTTGAAATGCCACATTGCCTGTTGCAAGACTGTGATATGCACAAAAATGAAAAGGCTATGAAACGGAGGAAAGGCTGGTGAAGATGCAGAACTAGCAGAGATAGCAAAATTAACTTGCTTAATTAGAGAAAGATCAACAATTACATTGATCAGTGACTACAAATTCCTGATGGACCTTTTGCTGACAAAAGAGACCCCTTCAACAAGACTGAAAATTGCTTCTCTGTCATCTTTCTTTTTCTATTTTCTTTCTTCCCTATTTATTATCTTTCTTTATTTTCTTCCCTGGTTATTACTTTGTCAAAAATTTCTACCATTGTAACTAGAATGCCTTGGTTTAAAGGTGCTTTGTCTCAGCCGCAGCCTTTCAATTATTTTAAGAGAAGTTTGTGTTTCCTCTGAGTGCACCGAATACTGTCAACAACAAAGACACCTGCTTCTGCAGAGAGGGGGAGAGGAGGGAAGCAGGTTTTTTTTTATGAATGAGACATCCCCCCCCCCCAGAAAAGGGCTCTTCAGACATACCGAGAGGGGAGGAATAAGAGCCCACCTGAAGAGGCCTGGAGCAGAAGGAGCCCTCCCAGCCAGCTTCAAAAGGCTTCAGATATCTTTAGAAGAGGCTCCCTTTTGTACTCTTAGTAAACACATTTAGCTACCTAGTCTCACAACCAGATTTGGTTTTGCACAGAGAGTTTGGCTGGCAAAAAAAGAATATTCGTGCTGGACAGGTAGTCCTCCTCTCCTAGCATGGGCCCACCACATTCTTTACCTGATTTGGGGTAAGTGACGAGGAGGACATCCGAGTCGTGGAATTCAAAGTTGCTGGCAAAGTGGAGAGAGCTCTGGGTGTGGAGGTGTCCTGGCAGGCGCATGTTGGCAAAGACCTCAGTCACATCCAGCCGAGCCATGGCGCTGCAGTAGCTGGGAGGCCTCTCTGCTCTCCTGCAGCCAAAGGGCCTCCCTCCCTGCCTGCTCAGCCCAGTGGTGGGAGGGAGGTCTCCTCCCAAAACCTAAACACACGTGGGCCAAAACCATCATTTCTGAAGGCGGGATTGTTACGAGCAACAGCTGCAGGTTGATCCAACAGGGCAGCGTTCTTCGTCTCTGGAAACAGCACAGATTCTTCCGTACTAATGGAAATAAAATCAGAATAAGTTAATCAATAATTTCATATGGTAACTCTGGTTGGATCTTTCCAACTGTTCTTGACCTTTCAGCCAAACTGGATGTTTTGCAATATGCTGTCCTCCTGTTTTCAGGGCTGATTGTTTTATTTCAAATCCTTTTTTTAAAAAAAAAAATCTAAATGGCAGGACAAAGAATAGACTATTCATGGAGATGCCAGCAATTTGACAAAGCATCTATGCACATCTGGTCTGTTTTTGTGAATATGAATACAAGTAGCAAATAACCTTAATTTTAAAAATAAATCATTTGAAGTGTGCCCAGCACTACTGGCTTATGAGCAGAGAAACTGGGCCAGAAAGAAAAAAGAGGGTTGCACAACATTATATTCATAATCGTATTTGGGGGGGGAGCACAACACAATGGTGCAATGTGTGTGGGAAAAGCTTCCTGTGGGTTGCTGGTATCTGGTTCTCTTGGTTTTCTGAGCTGCTTTGTTATTGATGCAAGAAAGGAAAAACCTTGATCGGTTTGTTACGGTAGTTGACCTGTTTAAGAAGGTGTTAGGAATATATAAAGAGAGAGAGAGATTAGTTGAAAATGTGTGACTATGTGTAAGGTAACTTAAAAAGTACAACGAATGAGGAGAATGTAATATTGTTGTCTTTTATGTCTAATATTGAAGTCAGCCCTTCAGGAACTCTGCATACCCCCAAAGGCAAACCTGTGTCTTCTTAATGTCCAGATTAGCCCTCACCGTCTGCCTGGAAAAGAACAGCAAGGCGCACATTTATGCAGCCATAGATTCAACTTCAGTGCTTGATATCCCCCCTCCCATCCTCCACCCCTCTCTCCAGACCTTTCCCAGCTGCACAAATAAGGGGGGGAGGCAGGAAAAAAAAGTCTAAAGTTAGCTCAGCCCTCCTTCCTTTTAAGATGAGCTCCTTTTATGCAGTTCTCACAAAGCACATCCCTTCTTAAGGTAGGTTTTTGCATGGAAATAAAATTAAACAAAGTTGTAACCTCTTTGGTCATTAATCATAGTTAGATGGACATACTGCCCCCCTGTCCTCACCTAAAATTTAAGAGGAGCTTAGAAAGCATTTATAATTAACTTGGTCCCCGTTTCTCTCTTTCCTAAGCCTCTTATCTGTTGGTTTCTAATTATCTTGCTCAGTAACAGGCAGAATTAACCAGTGAACCCTCATGCCTGTCTCTACGCCCTCAAATTCCAGCTACACCTGGAACTGAATCAGCATCCCCTTCCCATGTAGGCTACTATGGATCACCTGGTCACAACTCCACACTACGAGGCTTCTCAGTACTCTCGCCCTCACCCCAATTAGCTGCGCTGAGTTGCTGAATCAAATCTGGGGAATGGCAGGGCTGAAGTTCAGCTGAGCAAACTCTCCCATCTGAGTGAGACCTCTTGTGCCCACCACTGCCAGCTCTCATCCGCCAAACAGGCAGAATCTCCTTCGGGCATTGGGGGACTCACTCTTTCAAGGCTTTCAGAAGAAATGCACCTCAGACTGAGTTTGAACAGTTGCAATTTCTCCGTATGTGACTGGCAACCTTGGCATGCCCAAGGGGAGCTCTGTAAATCGGGTGATGTCATGAACCATGGCCATCCTTTTCCCCTGACTGACTGGATAAAAGCAGAGCTGAACCTAGAGATGCCCCCCAACCGCAAATCTCATGTTCCAGAAGAGAGGCCGTCTCTGCACAAGACTGGTTTTCACCTGAGATCTGCTTTCATTTTGTTCAGAGAAGAAAGTGACCCAGCGAGGACTGGTCTGTTTCCATCATAAATGAACAGCTGCAGTCTGCTTTTAATGTTTAGCTTGAAAAGAGGGGGCTCCCAGCAAGAACAATCTTGCCTACTTAGTCCCCACCCAGATGCTGCCTCGTTCAGACGTCACCAATGGATCACTTCCAAGGGAGGAGTCCTTGGGACTTGGAACACAACTGAACCCAGAGGAGAAGGAGGGGCTGCTCTGCACTGCCGGGGATGTCTTTTCCCTGGGGTTACAGAGGCCTGGGGGTCCACGAAAGGAAGTGGAACAGATGTTCTAGGAAGGGTTGCAGCTGCCCAGACTCTCCGCAGCTGTTCCGTCCCAGAGGGACCCTCCCTGTGTCTTCTCAAAGTGCAGGATGAGATCAGCTGCCTTAAGCTTTCTCTGGCTCCTCCCAAGCTACACTCACCCTCAGGAGCTACCACATGATGGGTGGATCCCCCTCAGGGCACTCCCCAAGTGATCCTTGCCACCCCACTTGTCTCCGAGGATCCCTTGGAGGAAACACTGGAGGGAATCTCTGCTGCTGGTCCAGATCCCCTTTGCCCTAGGATGCTGATGCTGCTGATACCTTACCTCGTGCTTGCTTGGTTCTCCGTCTGCCTGGCAGATGTCCATCAGCTGGAGGCAGCCAAAATAATGAATGCCACACCAGTGGTGGACGGGTAAGATCACAGCCTCCCTTTCCCCGCGGTGGGTTGGTTGAGCAAAGCCCTGTCTTGGAAGAAGGGGTGGGAGGGCTGCACGGAGCGTCCTTTTCCCACCCCCCGGGCCTCCTGCCGGCACTAGGCTGGCACCCAGCTTTCCACTGGGCTGGCTTGTTGGCATAATGCCACACAACTTCCAAGGGGCTGACATACTCCACATCCGTGAGAGCCTTTAAAATGCACATGCAATACGACTGGGAACAAAATCTATAGGGCAGACTAGGAGGAAGTTTTCCATCAAGGCTTCCTGAGAAAAAAAACTCTTTAGGAGATTCTAAATGATGAGGTGCTGAGGAGGAAAAAGCGGTGGACAAGCCCTTGCAGGAGGGACTAAAACAAAAGCTGGTGACAAAGAATTGCACAAGAGTCTCTGCAAAGTAGGGAACAAACAAACTGTCAAATGTCTTTCAGTGGAAATAAAGCAATGGATTTGGGAGCAAAACTTCTGATGTAGCATAAATTGATGGCAACTGAACTCGAAGCGGCCAACAGGGAAGGAGAACTTGAGGCTGAGATCAATCCTTTGGTAGGTGGGTGGCAAAGGAAAGTGTGTCACCTGTAAGGAGGCCAATATTTTTGTAAGGTTCACATACAGCAGAGCCTGAGAGGAAAGTCCCACAATCGCAGTGCAGGGTGTGACCTTCCTGAAGCAGCTTTCTGGATTTGGCCATCTCAGAAAGGATTCACGGAGACGGAGGTGGCAGGCAAGGCAACCAAATTAGCGAAGGGCTGGGGCAGCACTGTAGGAAGGGAATGTTTCCATGCTATTTATAGTAAGAAAAAGTGAGTTGTGTAAGTGTGTATTCCATTAAGCAAAGTGTGGAGAAGGCATGAAAGTTTTCCTTCTCAAAACTGAAGAAGCATTCAGAACAATGCAGGGGAAGAGATCCCAACCCCCTCAGTGCTGGCCTTGACAGAGGAGGAGCTGTTTGCTCAGTGAATAATCAACCACCAGGTGATCGCCCTCGGGGTTGGCCAAACCTGGCACCTCTCCCTGGAGTCCTGGAACTGAGGTAGAAGTACAACATTCAGACAGCCATTAGGTGCTGGAAAACCCAGGGGTGAAGAAACTTAAAGGCTCTTACAGCCGCCCCCCCTTGCCTGTCCCTTGAAGAGCAGCATGACTTCCAGTAAAACATAGAAGAGGGTCCATCTCTGGGCACCAGGAAGCCACACAGCTCTTCTGACTCCTTGCCTGGGATTCCTTCTGAATGTGGAATCAGCTGGGGGGGTGCATTTGAGGCAGTCTTGGGAACTTCCAGCTGATTCCAGCTGTTTTTTGTTAACAACTAGAGCTGAGTAGTTGCTGCAGGTTCTGGGAATTAGGAAGAAAGATCAGTTTCAGTTCAATACAGAACAGTGATGGGATTCAAATATGTGAACAACCGGTTCTCTGTGTGGATGCTGCTTCCAGAAGTCCATTCTGGGCCTGGGCAACAAAAAAATTATCCCACCAATGATACAGAATAACATTCAAGATCAAAGCAACTTTTAAACAATAATAGACCTGGTCCCATCTCTGTTATTTTTTTTAAAGAGAACTTGCTTTGATTTTGAATACTATTTGTTTTGAATTATTGCTGAACTTATTTCCTTCAAAGGAAAACAAGGAAGTCCAGTTGTCTCCTGAAAAAGCTCCTTTGGGATTTCCTTCAGATATTGGAAAAAGACGCAGTTTGTGGTTTGGTTGCTCTGCCTCTTCAATTAAATGCAACTAATTAATTGAATTGCTTAGTTAGAAGGCAAGTCATTAATGGACAAAATAGCCTTTCATTGCCTGTTAAATATAGTTGTCAAAAGGATTGGATCTTCTGCAAATCCAGAGAGGTGGCTGGCTGTGATTACTGTTACAGTAAAAGGGTAACTATTGATAAAGCTGCAGGTGGTTGGCACCTTTAATCAGCTTCCCCCAGCCTTTTAAGCATTAACTTATTTTATTCTTGTTTCTGTCTGGCTCTTTCATTTGTTTATTGTATTTTTATATAGTTTTTAAGTGTTTGTGTTTTAACTGTACACCATCCAGAGTGACTCTACAAGTGAGATTATGACAAATAAATAAAATAAACAGATTTTTGTTGTTTTATGAATTGCCTTCTCTGATCAAAGCAAGATAGAGTCTTAGTGCTGCAAACAAACTGTAGCTACTGATTTACAACCACCTAGCTTATCCTTTAATCTGATGTAAAGAAGAGTAACTGGTACCATCTCAACCTTTGATCTCTAAGGACAATTGTTCTATCAATTAATCTGCTTTAATCAGATGGTAACCCAGCATCTACTCAAGATGATAAGATGTTATCTTTCGCTTTTGTAGTCACAATGATCTGCCTTGGCAGTTGCTGACAAAATTCAACAACCAGCTGTCTTTAAAGTCAGCCAATTTGCACGAGCTGCAAGACACTCATACCAATATTCAGAAGCTGCGTCTTGGACATGTAGGAGCACAGGTAAGAGATGAGTAAGAGACACTTGCAAGTGTTCCATATAATAAAATAGGAGAAAGTAACTTTCCTGCTGAAACATTTGATCATTGCAAATTGCTAAACCTATCAGTTTGTTTATTTTCAGGTAAAGATTTTCAGGCCAGCTTATTTGTTAAGCCTTTTGGCTGTGTTTCAAATTTATATGTGTGTTTTAAGACACCTTCCTCTGCTGCCTGCCCACTTCCTTCCTGTGGAAAACACACATCTGTCCTTTCCATTTGCACCCCAATCTTAGATCATCTGCTGATGCTCTGTGGCCTCCTGATAAAGGTCACACAGGAAACATAAACAAAGCAGCTTTAAAAAACATTTGCCTTCCTTTTGCAGTTCTGGGCAGCCTATGTGCCCTGCGACACCCAAAACAAAGATGCAGTGAAGCAAACTCTGGAGCAGATTGACGTCATCCATCGGATGTGCCACCAATATCCAGATGCCTTCAACTGTGTTACCAACACTGCAGGTAAGTACAGAGGTGATGCTGCTGGTTGCTGCTTCCTGGCTGGTCAAGGAGGGGCCCAACCATGTGTCAATCCTTTGGTAGGTGGGTGGCAAAAGAAAGTGTCACCTGTAAGGAGGCCAATATTTTTGTAAGGTTCACGCACAGCAGAGCCTGAGAGGAATGTCCCACAATCGCAGTGCAGAGCGTGACCTTCCTGAAGCAGCTTTCTGGATTTGGCCATCTCGGAAAGGATTCACGGAGACAGAGGTGGCAGGCAAGGCAACCAAATTAGCTAAGGGCTGGGGCAGCACAGGGCACACAACAAGTCAGAAAGGCAACAGGTGAGTAGGGGGGGGGGGCTGCTCTAGATGATTCCAGTGGTATCCAAGCACTCCAGCTCAGCCTCAGGCCTATGGAAATCAGCAATTGGCCTTTCACGATAAGATGCTTCCACGGAGAAGCAGAACGCTTCTGATGTGTTCATCAGCAACTGCTCTGGAATCAGGGCCAAAACCAGCCTAATTTCATCCTTGTCAACTTTTCCACTCCAAATCTTAAATTCTTGTGGCAGGAGAAACTGGAGTGGATTTGCATTTTTTTAAAAAACTATGATTCTTTGATTAAACCACAAAATATAACCTGTAACCCATGGATTACAAAGCATCATGCCTGGGTTCACACAATGACAGCATCCACTAGTTTGATCCTCACTTGCCACTATTCAACAAGCTAACACTTAAGCAAGCCACAATTGATGTGTGAACCAGGCCAACATTCTATGAATGTTGAAACAAACTCTTACCTGCTTTAGTGCAACGCACAAACTCTGCCTCTGCCAGAACTCTCCATTATTCAACATGCAAAACAGGGAGCTTCCGGTACGAGGCGACGGCGATGGCGGCTATCTTTTAGCCGTCCAGCTGGGGAAGTGTCAGAGCCGCGGAGCACAGCGCGCATCAGCTGGCCCGCGGCTCGGAATTCCCTTCCCGGGCAAAGGGAAGGGACAGAGAACGCAGGAATAGAGGTAGAACCCCTAAACCCCCTCTGGATTTATTTCTAGAGGGGGTGAAAGGAGTGTTCCCTCGGAGCTCCTGCTGATCTCCGCCTCCCAGCTGTTTTTGCTTCCTAGGAAGCAAAAGAAACCGCCGCTTCTATCTCCGTGTTTATAGTATTTTGGTGAGTAATTTTTAAACGGACGGAGCAGTTTAAAGGATTTTTGTTATATACTTTAGGTGTTTATTTTTTTATTATTTGATTTTTACTATTTTTCCTCCTTTTCTTTGTTATATTAGTGAAAGGATTTAAGATGGCGTTTTGAAAGTGTCGGAGTTTTTTTTCCTTTCCCTTTTGTTTTACTTTCCCTTTTTAAGGACTGGCTTTTGCTTTTGCTTTTGGCTTAGAATTTTTTCTTTTGAATTGTTTGCTCTTTTATCTTTTATTCTTTGGATTTTCTCTGGATTTTCAAGGACTATAGTTTGTCTCTTTTTAAATTCTTTTTCTTTTTCTTTCCTCCTCCCTTCTTGTGTGGAGGGGAAAGGGAAGTGAAACTGCGCTTTTTAAAATGGTTTCAAAGAGACAGCAGCCTGCTTCAATACCTAAGGTTGTTTCTTCTCCTATAACTTCCACTGCACAATTACAACAACAATCTAAACATGTACCACCGGCTCAGCCACCACCCTCCCCCCCTCTGCCTGGACTTTCAGCACAAGAGGTCAGAGGCATAATGGGAGAGATTGTAGTTCAAATGAGAGAGGAAATGAAGCAATTTGCCTCACAGATTAAATCAGAAATTAAATCTGATCTTAAAGAAGAGATAACGGGGATAAAGACTAAATTGCAAGAAAATAATAATGATTTACGACAAGATATACTTGCAGCAGTTTCAGGCTTGGCTACTGTGGTGGTTAAGCTCGATGCAAGGCTTGAGGAAGTGGAAAACAAAGTTGATTCCTTTGATGATAAAATTCAAGATGTGGAAAGGAAGGTGGAGTCCTCACAAGAAGATATTTTGATGTTTCAGTACAGACAGATGGAGTATGCCCTGAGGATTAGAGGCCTCAAGGAAGATATGAATCAAGATTTGGTGGAGGTGGTCCTTACTGATCTGGCAGTGGCCTTGGATATGGATAAAGGAGAATTACATAGAGAAGTGGAAAAAATTTATAGACTTAACTCCTGGATTGCTAAGCAGAAGAATTTGCCTAGAGATGTGGTGATTTATTTTACAAAGAAGTCCCTGCGGAATGAGATTATACAAGCCTTTTACAACAAAAGATTTCAGATTGCTGCCCAAGATGTTATCATTCTAAAGGAAATCCCATCCAAAATTTTAAGAAGCAGGAAAGACTTCGCTTTTTTAACCAATGAGCTCAAAGCTAGATTGATGCCATTTAGATGGGAAATTCCGATGGGTATTGTTTTGAGCCATGCGGGGACACGCTACAGATTGAATACAGTTGACAAAGCTAGAGAGTTTTATACTTCGGTCCTGGGTGCAGGCTCAACTTCATCTGATCAGAAATCTCCGAGCGGCAAGGAAGTCGAGCAGCAATCTGAGGCATTAGGTTTGGTTTCCGCTGGGATGATACAAGCTGAAAGGCAACGCCAGATGGAGGTTAAAGAGCAGAGGATGACTCGTGCAGCTTATAAGCGTAAAGAGAAGGAGCAACGTAAAAAAGAGCCTAAAGAGAATTCTTCTGGAAGTGCATCATCGCCGGTGGGAGGAGCAAGACCCAAGAGTTATGCAACACATGCAGCTCTTTCAGATCTTGATGGTGTCTTCTCCAGGCTGCGTGCCAAGGGAGATGGCAAAGTTTTTGACCTGGAATGTTAATGGATTGAATTCTCCTCAGAAACGGAAAAAAATCTTTTATTATTTGAAGCAACATACCAATGATGTTATTTGCTTACAGGAAACTCATATTTTACTTAAAGATCAGAAATATTTAGTCAATGCTCGTTTGGGATCTCATTTTATATCTTCTGCTCCTGGGAAGAAAGGGGGAGTTGTTATATATGTTAAACAAAACCTACCAGCTTGTCTGGTAGAATCAGATCCCCAGGGGAGATATGTGATGATTGAACTTGGTATATATGGTAAGAAAGTACTTATAGTGGGACTTTATGCTCCAAATCAACAACAGGAACAATTTTATAAGCAGTTACATCAAAAAATAACATTGCTTGACTATAGATCAGTGGTATTAATGGGTGATTGGAATGGTGTCTTAGATATACAAAGGGACAAGAAAGGTTCCTCTCCTTTTCTTAAACAAGCAAGGTTACCTAAAGCTTTTTTTGATATGAAGGAAGACTGGGAATTAAGGGATTATTGGCGGGAATGTAATCAAGAGGAGAGAGATTTCACTTTTTTTTCTGATAGACACCAATCTTTTTCAAGAATTGACTTTTTTTTGATTACTACGGATTTGTATAATAAAGTAAAGAATGTAAAGATTTTTCCTAGATCACTGACGGATCATAGCCCAGTTTGGATGGAGCTGACTCAAGAGAAAGAGGAAAGGAGATCCTGGAGAGTTAATGAAAATTTGTTCAGACAAGAGAAGAATGTTCAAAAGTTAAAGGAGTGTTTAAAGGACTATTTTGCTTTGAACATGTATAAGGGGACTTCAATGTCAATGGTATGGGATGCAGGTAAAGCATTTATGCGTGGTGTTTTGATAAAAATGAATAATTGTCATAAGCGGAAGCAGTTGCAGAAACGTAGAGAACTTGAAGATGAAATTAAATTAAAAGAAAGGGCCTTGATTCTAAATCCTTCTGATGAAAGTATTAAAGAATCTGTAAAGTTACTAAGGTCACAATTTAATATGTTGATAGCAGATCAAGCGGCAACCAATTTATTGTTTATGAAACAAAATACATTTTGTAATGCTAATAAGCCTGGGAGATGGTTGGCTTATCAATTAAGAAAGAAACAGAGACAGAGAATAATAGAGAAAATAAATTACAAGGGTAAATTAGTTTCTCAGAAGGAATTGATTAAAAAATCTTTTTTGGATTATTATCAAAAGTTATACAAATCTACTAATGTGCAACTGCTAGATATAAATAAATATCTAGCTGAGGCAAGTTTTCCTAAACTGACTGAGGATCAGAAACATGAAATTAATGGCTTAATTACTAAGGAGGAAATTGCCTCAGCAATTCAACAATTGAAACTAGGGAAAGCACCGGGTACGGATGGGTTAACAGCTGTTTATTATAAAGCTTTAATGGAGGAGATGATCCAACCATTAAATGATCTTTTTAATGGTATCTTACAGGGTTTAGAGATTCCTCCTTCATGGCGTAGTGCTTTTATATCATTGATTCCAAAGGAGGATCAAGATCTTACTTTACCAAAAAATTATAGGCCTATATCTCTTTTAAATGTGGATTACAAGATATTTGTAAAAATCTTAGTAAATAGGCTTATGAGGGTTGTGCATCACCTTGTGCATAAAGATCAATCTGGGTTCATAACTGGAAGGTACATGAAAAATAATGTCAGACAAATTATTAATTTATTAGAATATTTAGATAAAAACAACCAAGTTCCTGCAGGGCTGATATTTTTAGATGCTGAAAAAGCTTTTGATCAATTGAATTGGCATTTTATGTTAAGAGTAATGGAAGAGATGAATTTTGGTGAAAAGATATTGCAAGCTCTTATGGTAATATATCAAAAACAAACGGCACAACTTATCGTTAATGGAGGTTTGTCGGAGGTTTTTACAATAGAGAAAGGTACTAGACAGGGGTGTCCTTTATCGCCATTGTTGTTTGTTTTAACACTGGAAATATTATTGATTAAAATTCGAGAGTCTCAGGAAATTAAAGGAATAGAAGTTAACAAAAAAGAATATAAGTTGAGAGCTTTTGCGGATGACTTGGTTGTTACTTTGTCGCAACCTGATTATTCTGCAGTAAACTTATTACAGTTGATTCATCATTATGGTTTGGTTTCGGGTTTCAAGATTAATGTAAATAAGACTAAAATCTTACCTAAAAATATGTCTAGTCAGGAGAAGCAGATTTTGGCTAACTTGACGGGTTTTGAGATTGTTAATAAGGTAAAATATTTGGGGGTGATGTTGTCTGTTTCTAATGTAAAATTATTTAAAAATAATTATGAAAGGTTGTGGGTCAGGGTACAGAAGGACTTGAAGAATTGGGAGAAGTTGCAATTATCCCTCATGGGAAGAATTGCAGTGATAAAAATGAATATTCTACCCAAGTTTCTTTTTTTGTTTCAAATGTTACCGATTTTGAAAAATGAGATTAATTTAAGTGAGTGGCAGAAGGGTCTTAATAAATTTATTTGGGCAGGGAAAAAGCCAAGGGTTAAGTTTAAAATTATGCAAGACTTCCGTGAGAGGGGTGGACTTAAGGTACCAAATTTGAAATTATATTACGATGCGGTGGTTTTAACACTAATCAGTGATTGGGTAAATTTGACAAATCCTGAGATACTTCATTTAGAGGGATGGGATTTACTTTATGGGTGGCATGCCTATTTAATATTTAATAAAAAAATGGACTGGGTCTTTAAATCTCATATTTTAAGAATTTCTTTACTTAGGATTTGGAGAAAATATTATAAAAGTGATTTTAAAGTTCCATTATGGGCTATACCTTGGCATGCGATAGAAGGAATAAAAAGAGGAGTAAAAATGGACATGGTGTCTTATAGTCAGTTACTTAGATGGGATGGGCAAAACTGGCAGTTAAGAATACGGGAAGACTTAGCGCAAGAAAATATTATTTATTCTTGGTTTCAATATAGGCAACTAGTAGATAAATGGAAGGTGGATTGTAAATTGGGTTTTCTTAGAGAAGATGGAAATCTTATTAAGCAAGTCAAGGATCAAAGACAAACCCATATCAAGAGAATTTATGGGGTATTAGTTGAAATGGACTCAGAAACGGAATTAATTAAAGATTGTATGATTAGATGGGCGCAGAATTTTGGTGTCCCAGTCTCATTGGACATTTGGGAAACCATTTGGGTGAGAAATGTCAAATTTACACAAGCACAGAACCTTAGGGAGAATTTTTATAAAATGTTTTATAGATGGCACCTTGATCCACAAAAAATGTCTCTTATGTACCCTGACGTGCAACCTAAATGTTGGAGATGTGGTTATAAGGATGCTTCCTATTATCATATTTGGTGGTCATGCAGAGAGATAAAAGCATTTTGGATCAAAATATGGTGGAATATCCAGAGAATTTTTAGAAGGAGGGTAAAATTTACTCCGCAATTATTTTTGTTAGGCATTGTTACAGATTGTGATACAAAGGAGGTTGTATTGATGTTAAATTTGATTACAGCCGCTAGGCTGTTAGTAGGACAATATTGGAAGAAGGAATCTTTGCCTACATTGCAGGAATGGTTTCTTAAAGTAGCTTATCTGGCGGAAATGGCAAAGATTTCGGCTTTCTTAAAGCAACAAACGCAAGAGAAGTTCCTTGCTGTTTGGGACAAATGGATAAAATTTATACAATTTAGATTGGGTATACAAAAATATCACATAGCTTTTTTATAAGTTTTATTTTTATATATATATATATAGATATTTTTTTATATATATATATATAAATATAAATTTTTTAATTTAATTTTTTATTTTTATTTCTTAATTTTTAATTAAGCCTATATTCTGCTCTGGGAAGCTCAGGGAGGGGAAGGGAGGGTTTTTGTGAGGGGTGGGGGATGGGGGTTTTTTTATATATATGTAATGTTTAGGTTTTTTTTTGTATATGTTGTCTTTTGTTTTGTATTGTTTTTGTCTTTTTGTAAAATTTATAAAACTTTCAATTAAAAAAAAAAAAATGAATAAAAAAAAACATGCAAAACAGCCTGGATCAGGCTGGGGAAGGGCAAGTTAGCCTTAACTGTGGAAACCTGGTGTAGACTTCAAGCCATCTCATGTTCCCAGCTGGTCACCCTGTACAATGAACACCTGGTCCTGGAAGCTGGATGGAAACCCTTCTCTTGCAGGCATCCGGGAGACTTTGGGCACTCAACGCGTGGCCAGCCTCATCGGCGTGGAGGGGGGCCATTCCATTGACAGCAGCTTGGCCGTCCTGCGCACCTTCTACCTGCTGGGTGTGCGCTACATGACCCTCACCCACAGCTGCAACACTCCCTGGTAAGCGGGAAGGTCCTGAGGCTTTTGAATAGAAGCCCTTGAGCAGAGCAGAGTAACTATGCGTGGCTGTTGTGTAGCCTTGCAAGCATTCATGTAGGGAGGGCCGAAGGTCAAGGGTCAATTCATTTCAGTGGTAGAATCCCATTTTGGAGGAGAGAAGATCCGTCTAAAGACATTTTATGGAAGGAGGGCGTAGGGAAGGAAGGATCTATTGGCACTTACGCAACTTTGGCCCAGAGCCAGGAATCTTTGCTCCTTCATCGGCTGTCCATTTTCCTTGGCAGGGCTGATAACTGGCTGGTAGATACAACTGAAGGGCAGCCTGTTCACCATGGCTTGACGGAATTTGGGAAGGTCAGTGAAGGCTCTGCAGAAGGATTTGAATGGGGGAAGGGGGCTGTGCGCAGCTACCCAAGCTGCGCATTTCATCTGCCAAGGGGAGAAGAGGCTTTGTCATTGGCTTGAAGCAGAGCAGGTCCACAAGAGCTTTGTGCTTCCGTTGAAAAGGGGATTGCAAAAGTAACCACCACGAATGAGCAAAGCTTGAAGAAAAATAGGAAGGACGTGCCTCGCTGGGGGCGACTGATGGGAAACGAGGGCATGTGCAATAGAGTTTGGGGCAGCCCCAAGGCCCGCAATGCTTTTGGGGCTTTTCCTCTTGAGTCCAGAGTCTCCCAAGTTCATCTTCTCACACATTCACAATGCCAACTTGGAGCCAGCAGCTCTCCTTTCTCTCCAGTCCAAATGATCCTCCATTTCTTTGCTCCATAGCGTGTGGTCCATGAGATGAACCGCCTGGGCATGATGGTGGATTTGTCCCATGTTTCTGTGGAGACGATGAAGGCGGCCTTAAAGATCTCCAGGGCCCCCGTGATATTCAGCCACTCCTCGGCCTATGCAATCTGCCCAAGCAGACGGAATGTACCAGATGACGTGCTCCGCCAAGTGGTGAGCAGGGCTCTCTCTCTCTCTCTCTCTCTCTCTCTCTCTCTCTCTCTGTGTGTGTGTGTGTGAATGCATCAGCATCAGTTCAGGTCAGGAGGGAAACTCTTGCTCGGCGTCCTTCCTTGGCGCATCAGGTCCTCAAAGGGGCCAACCCACCACCTATCAGGCAGGCACGTCAGTGGGTGCAGCAAGGTCAAGAGGTGGCAGAGAAATTGAGCCTCTTGCTGTGTTTCTGGGTATCAGCTTCTGGGTGGCCCCTTCGATGATGCCCTCTCCTCTTCTTGCAGAATGAGACACGCAGCCTTGTAATGGTCAACTTCTACAATGACTACATCTCCTGCAGCAGCCATGCCACTCTGATCCAGGTAGCAGGTAAGCCCAGCAGAGCAGGAATGGCACATAAGGAGACACAGGAGGGGAACTGAAGCAACAGAAAGTAGTCAGCCTCTCATCCTTCTCATTGCAGACCACATGGACTATATAAAGCGCATTGCTGGACCAAAGGCTGTTGGAATTGGAGGAGACTATGATGGGGTGCCCAGGTATCAGCAGGAGAGACAGAGGGGTGAGGGTAGACTTGAAAAAGGGCCAGCCTGCAGTGGGACAAACGTAAGCCCCAAGACTGGAGTGACAACATTGCTTGAAAATTGTAGGCAGCTGCCATGAACGGCACTCGCAGTTTAGTGGAGGGCTGCAGGAACCACGTCCCTATTGCATGTTATGTGTGATGACTTTGAATGAACAGACAGCCTGAAAGGGAAGGCGCTCATAGTCTTTAGGATTTATTGCATGCTGACCAAGACATGGCCAATTAAGGAGCGGGTGTGTGCAGACAGGCTCCTGGAGGTGCTGCAGCACCAGACAGATCAGTCCTGGCATGAGGAGAGAGCAAGCAAGGGTGGGGGTGGGAGACATGGGACCCTGCCCTTAATTTCTTGCAATTTCCCTGGTGTTTTTTGGCTTACAGAGTCCCTCAAGGCTTAGAGGATGTCTCCAAATACCCAGACTTAATTGCCGAACTGTTGAGGAGGAAATGGACAGAAGAGGAAGTGAAGGATGCTCTGGCCAACAACCTCTTGCGGGTCCTAGAAGAAGTGGAGCAGGTGAGACCTCTCAGACCTGAAGAGCCGGAGGTGGGAGAATGGAGGCTTGGCCATGGAAGAACTCCGCTCTAAAGCTGGCAATGGCCAAGCCCAAAGCTTCTCCTCAGCATCTCTCATTTTCACCTTGTGCTCATTTTCCTGCCCTATTTGAGCTGCTTGGGTTTGGAGAACCTCTTCCCAGCCAAGAGATGGAAGTGTGTTTTAAGGGTTATGGGGTTAGAGCAGGACCACAAAGATCTACAATCTGTTTCACCTCCAGCCTTGGGAGCTCAGTGGGTGTCTTGGAACCCACAGTTTTCTTCCCCAGTCCAGTCTACCTGAGAGGACTGTTGCAGAGAAGATAGGATGGTGGAATAGAACCCAATCTAAATCTAACGAACTAACCTGAACAAGCCCTTCTCCTTCCTTAGGTGCAGAAAGAGATGGCTCGTGAAGGAATTGCCCCCGATGACACACCCATTGCCTTCCAGGAATTGGAAGGAGGATGCCGAACGCGCCATGGGTACTCCAACCAAGGACACCACCCAAGAGCTTTGCCTGCTATGTTCTTGCTACTATTGCTCTCCACATTGATCTAATAGAAGCCCCAGGATCTCCTTCCTTGTGGACTGAGTGGATCCTGCTGGATTAGGATTTTTACATCCAACTACTATCGCGTTCCAAATTTTGCCCAAACCTTGGAATGCTCCCTTATTACCTCCATTAATTTCTGGCCAGTTACCAAAATACCATTACTGCCTCAAACACAGCTCGTTCCTAATGTGGACATCAGAGGCAAGCAAAATCCTGCTTTGAACTTTTCAAGGTACTTGCTAGTTGCCTTTTTTGCTTTGCAGATACTGGGAGCGTACTTAATGCCGGACATGTATGGTGCAACATATTGTACCACTTAGGTACTTCTTGGGTTTGCCTGGTTCTTTTTTCCCACCTTGTGAAGAACAGAGATTATAGCAGAAGGGATGACAGAGTAAGCAGGCACACAATGGGGAATATAAATAAAAAACAACACAGTGACACCAGCAGTTCTGTGCTCATTTATTTCCCTCCCCCCCTGCAGTGAATGTGAATATAAGCATTAATCCCCTTCTTGTGAATCATCTAGCTGGGGTGGAGTGCTTAGGAGGTGAACAAAGGAAAGGAGCGAAACTGATTAGCGTTATTAGTTTTTAGCAGGCTGTGCCAGGTGGGGGGGGGGGTGTTTCAAAGGATAGGGAGAGGCAAAAAAGAATGTGCAGTCAGGTTCTCATTTCCTACTAGCAATTGCTTTACTTAATAATGTGAGTTGCTGATCCCAACAGTGGTTGCTAAATGAGGACTGCCTGCATTAAATTATAACCTGCATTACTACAGTAAGAGAATCCAGGTGCTGGCCCAGAACCAAGGGAGATTGAGAGTTCTCGTCCCACTGTCGGCATGAAAGCTAGCTGGGTGACTTTGGGCCAGTCACTCTCAGTCTAACCTACCACGCAGGGTTGTTGTTGGGGGAAAAAGAGGAGGAAGGAATATTAGGTATGTTTGCCACCTTGAGTTGTACATGGAAAAAGAAATTGGGATAGAAAACTTTTTTAAAAAAACCTACCTTGATGGAAATTGCCCCAGAAAGGAGATCAGATCCAGAAAGGGCTCCTTCCTGATTCACTGGGGTATTAGGAAATACCAAGCAACCCGATTGGCAAGACTCTGTCACTACAGCTAATATCAATAAAAAGTAATTTTACCTAACCTCCTGCGGAGTTGATTTCCTAAACTGGCCGACTCAGCTGGCCTGCCATGCTACCTCAGGCTCTCTCAGGAGGCTTGTGTCACCTGCCCTCCAGCAGAGCTGTCCAAAGCAGCTCCTCCTTCCGCAGGAAACAGACCCCTCTGGAGGGAAGGAAGCCCTCCGGCGGCATTCCTGCAGGAGTCCCCCTCCCCTTCTCCCCCTCAGCAACTTCGGTGCCTCTCCAATAACAAAGCTGCTTCGGGGAACCGTTTGTGAGTGCCAGCTGACACAATCACCCATCCAGCTTTGCAAACCGCAGTACAGCTCCTGCTTCCTAGAGTTTGTTTATTTAAGCCAGCATTAAAACAATTGACAACATTCACTTTTCATTTACAAACAAAAAACAAAAAAAAAAGAGGCAAAGAGAATTTTTCTTAGTGTTGGAGAATTCACTGCTCTGTAAAAAATGTTCCAGGGAAGATGATCATAATCTCTGGCCCTCCTGGCTCAGAGGAGCAAGGCAGCTGAAGGCCTCGGCCTGGAGCGATTGAGGAGGGGAAAGGAGAAATATACACTTAATGCCAACTGTGGAGAGGAAATACTTGCTTGCCACCCCAAGCCTGGTTTGTACAAGAAAATTGAATTCTCAAGGAAGGAGGGATTTGGCTCTCATTTACACACACACACACACACACACACACACTTTCTATACAAGGATGTCCCAATGCTTTTAAGTCGTAGTAATGGAGGGAGCTCAAACGCCAGTCAGGCAAAAGGACGATGCTCTCCTGAAGCTGGGATGTTTGGAGGAAAGGGCTACTCCATACCCAGGCAGACATTCCCCTCACCCCCCCCCTATGACAAGCTGTGGGGCGCATGCATGAAGGCCAAGGGGGAGCAGGCCCACTGTTTTCAAAGGTCACTTTGTGGTGTGTAAATTCAAGGCAGGTTCCAGAGCTGCTAGGAAAAGGGACATACCCATCTTCCTGGCAGCATCTTCCCAGTTTGCAAGTGGCCTGTTCCCCCCACTCCATCCCATAAGAAGGAAAAGAGAACGGGGCAGGAACTGACCTCAGGAGGAACAATCAGCACACTGGAATCTACGCATGCAGCACCAGGGCTGTTCCTGGCCCTCTTAGGAAGGCTAACTCCCCCGAGAGCCGTGCTCCCACCCTGGCAAGCTCTGTATGCTCAGGTTCCTCTCAACAGGCCAAAAAAGAGGAGGAGGAGGAGAAGGAAGGTGGGAAGTGCAGACTGGAAGGAGAAACTGTTGGGAAAGGCAGGGCATCCATTCCAGGAGAGACCTTTGCCAAGGACAAGGCATGCTCACACAGAGCCTTGCTGTCACCATGGCTTCTTTAGAAGTAGCTATTGTTGCTGGATGAGGAGCAGGTCCACACCGGGTACAGCAGGCCCGCAGGACTAGACAGGCCTCCCTACCCTTGAAGACGTTGGTCAGAGGGCTGGAAGGCCAGGGCCCCAGGCAGAATCATAAGAGAACAAATCATAAGAGAACAAGGCAGGAGCAACTGTCTGCGAGGGTGCGGGAGAATTAATTCCGTAAGGCAGCCAACCTGAAAATGTGAGAGGAAGAACATTAATGCAGGAAAAGCAAAATTCAGAAGAGCTACCAAAAAGAGCTATTCGGGACTCAGCCCTCCAGGCTTTCTAGAAGACCACTGAAGATAGATTCCAGCTATGACATTTCTAGATGTCGAATTGTTTCTAAACAAAGAGCATCCCATGGCCTTGAGCAGGCTTAGACTGTCTTGAGAGCTTCCCTTTCAACTTTAGCCTTTTCTTCTAATACTTCTGATCTGCCTCCCTCTTGTGAACACACAATGTAATTTCAGCTAATTAAGGATGAACTCAGGCTGCAGATGTGTGTAACGCTTAGCCAGGATTTCTTTCAATTCTGGTTTTCTGACCAAGCCACAATGGCCTGGTTAATATCTAATGCCAACCATAATGGACGTGTTCCCAATGGAGTTTTTCTGGAAGGCCCTGCTGATAAGTCTTGCCGCCACCAGCAGGTGCACGACTGGGCCAGCTACATCTCTGGCATCACTGAGCGAGGCGGATCTCCCAGGATGCGCCATGGCCAGAAGCAGGAAAGCTAACAACACAGCCCCTGAGCAGCAGCAAACCTTGGGGGATAGAAGCCCTCAGCAGGCCCAGCTTGCCTTCTTCAGTGCGATTCTTGAATGTGGGCTAAGCACATTCAACTGCGTGGCTCTAGATTTATGGGCTGGAAAGAGCTGCCAGCCAGACTGCAGCCAGCCAGAGGTCCAATCCTGTGGGCAGATGGAGGGAAGCAGACTGACCTTCGTGATAGCTGATCCTCCTGTGTACGAGTAGAGCTCTCTCCCATGGCCGAGGCCCCTTCGGGCAGCTGGTTCATCTGATCCATGATCTCCAGGCCATTCTCTTCGGCAATCTGCACTATTAGGCTGTCCACCTGCTCCTGGGGTGTCGTCAAGGTCGTGGCTGAGCTCATGGAGTCCTCCATCACCTGCGGGGACCCAAGGCGGAAGCGTTGTGACAGACTGACAAATGCAAGCAGCAGCAACCAAGATGGGAACAACTGACACCCTGAACAAATCGTATTCCAGAGATCCAGTAATTCACCCACTTCTTGCTAGGAACCTAAGTTAAACCATCCTCCTACTGTCTTCCTTCAACTTCTCTTCAAGCCAGAAATCAAGCATGATCCGGCCACTTTTTTCAAGCAATTTGGGAATGGAAAACGAGGGTGCCTCCTCTTGCTCAACAGCAAAACATCCAGCACAAGGTAGAATACGGAGCTGCATACTCCACTGGCCTGAAATGCAACAGGAGCTGGCAATGGCCAAGCAAAGCCTTAGTCAGCAGATTTAGCTCTGGACTCCTTTTAGTTGTGTTTCAAAGCCTGCTTGATCATAATCTGTGCCCCCTATTTGATCTGGAGTAATTTCTGCCAAGTGGGGAATTCCCCCAGATACCCAAACACTTTCTCACGCATGCAGAGAAGGCAGCAAAGGCTAGAGAAGAATGGGAGAAGGTTCACTGTGAAAATGTGGTTTCCCACCTGCCCAGCTCTGAAGCTCAGCACCCTGTGCAGCACTTACTGAAGTGTGGACATCCAGGTTCTGGACCTGCTGCTCAAACTTATCCATCACAGCCGAAACCTTCTGAAGATCCATGGAGCTGAGAGCTTTGTCCAAGGCTTTGGTCACCTGGGCCATATTCTTGGTTACCTGCAACAGAGTCAGGAATCGTATTCGCTTGAAGGAACCACACCAAGCTAGGGCCAATCCTGGAGAGGAGGGGCCGATGTGACCCTGGAAACAGCAGCCCAGATCAAGACCAACAGAAAAACGTGCACTGGCCAGTCAGTGCGAATCTCCCAAGGAGCCCTGGCTGCATGGTTTCATCCTCTTTTAGTCATGGAAGCCCTGAGGCAGGAAGAAACTCATGGCCATCAAGTCACGTTCAGGCTGAATCTGGGATGCTGGAATCTCATGAGCTGCTGGTGGATAAAGACCAACTGGCAAAGGGGAAATGGGGCAAGAGGAAGCCAAGCGGCCTAATAGGAAATCCAGTCGGTGATGTCTCACATATCAAGATAGTATCACCCCCCCCCCCCAAGAAGTTCAATTGGTTAGGAATGATGGAAGATGTCCACATCTAGAAGACACCAGTTTAGTGCAGATGATCTTTTGTAGCCTTAGACAAAGAAAACTTCTACTTGCTCAAAGGGAGCAAGAAAGGTCGCGTGTTAAAATAAAGCTCCTTACTCCCTTCATGGTCACAGCTGTCTGGACCTTGGAGGCCACGGCATCTACACGGGAAGCCATGCGCAGCCAGTTCAAGCCTTCATTCTTCTTCCGGATGGCGTTTTCTGCATAGACCCGAGCGCATTCCACATTCTTCTGCTGAAGGGCCTGGAGTGCAAGACAAGGAACATCCCTCAGCTTCACAGTTTCTCCAAACAAAATCAAGAGTGGAAGCAAAGGGATCAGATTTCAGTAGTGATGCAGACTGAAGGGAAGAAATTCTAGAAGTTCAACTGCTTCAAAAATGAGGAAGAAAAATAGGGGGATGGAAGGGAAAAAGAGGGAGGGTCCTCAAGCTCAGAAACACATGGGAGATCCAGAGCAGAGATGCTCAAGCTAAAGAGAGGGAGAAAGGACCTGCAGATGGTCTTTAACACCAAAGACTCAAAAGATTAGAAGCTTGATGGGTAACAAAAGTGGAGCAGCCCAAAGGCTTGAAGTCAGCAGAAAGTCCAGCCTTCTCAACAGAGAAACAACTCATTTTTCAAGAGTTATCACCGCCCGTTACTCCCAACCTTGGCATTCAGGCCCCTCACCTTCTTGACTTTGGCTTGTTCTGTTTTGGAGTCCTTTTCTGCCTTCTTGGCAAGCTTCTCCAGCTGCTTGGCTGTAAACTAGAGAGAGGCAGATGTTCAGCAGGCCTGTCAGCAAGAGCAGTCACCCAGCCTCAGTTCCTGCTTCCTCTGGAGTAGAGGAAGGTCACGGTCCCATAGAAAGTCAATCAAGTTTTAAAAGTCGGGGATATGTGCTGAAGGCATGATGGATAGAGAGGAGGCCATTTACTTACTCAGCTAAGCCTGCTATAGCTCCAAGTGGCATCAGAGAAGCAGCCATTCCCAGATTTCTTGACAAAATCAGATTAGAAATTGTTCTGCTACAAAAGCCAGACATTCTCTGCCCAAGGAGGAGAGTGTTTCCTAACCAGAGTGTTTATTGTGAAAGGGGTTGATTGTCTGTTAATTTTGCTACAAGAATTCTGATTTTAAGCTCTAAGGAAAGCGCCTTTCATGGCACAAGCACTCACCTTTAACTGAAAGAGCGTATCTGTGAAGAGAAAAATGAGAGTAGTTGGAAGATTTAAGGATAAAGGGAATCTTCAAAAGAAAAGGCAGATTTTAGGAAACTGATTCACAACATCCCTTCTGACCAAATTTGGTGCACTCCACAAAATGTTTCCATAGATTTATTAGAGGCTAAGAATATGAAAGTAAATAATTAGTTCTTAATGTTTTTTATATCCGTTACTATTTCTCAGTTCTGCAATATCTTGGTACTTATCCCTTTGGTCGCTTATGAGCAGTCGCAGCAAAGGTGGCCGAGGACCTTACACGACCTAATTCAAACCTCATTTTACATTCTCAAATTCAGTTTCGGGGAGGAGGGGGCGTCTTTGCTTGCCTTTCGTCTCACCTTTTCTACCGGGGCTCCTGCTGGGCCGCCCAGCCCCCCCTCCTGCCTGTGCGGGGTCACCCCTGGGGCTTCCGGAGCTGAGGGCGGGCTAGACCCGCGTCGCCCCGGTGCCGGTTTAACGCCTCGACCACGATGCCGCACGGCCTGCCCTCTTTCTTCGCCCGGCCGCCCAGCTTCCCTTCGCCACTTCCTGGTTTCTCTTTGGCGTGAGGAAGGGAGGGGGCTCCCGGGGCGAACCCCCTTCCTCCCCCTCGCCCCCCCCTCAACACTCCCGCCTGGGCGGCCCGAGGAAGCCCCTCCGCCCGTTCCATCGCTCACCACCTTCCCGGGCCGAGGCCGCCAGTCAGCCGCAGCTGAGATGACGGGACGTGGCGTCCCCACCCTGCCCCTCCCCCCGTATGGGCGAGACCCCGACGCCTTTCCGCGCCCCGGGAGGAGACCCCTCACCATCCATCCCGGCTGAAGTCCTCGCCCGCCTTTCCTTGCCAGAACTTCCGGGTTCCGGAGACACTACTTCCGGCTTCCTTCCGCTCTGGAGAGGCCCGTCCCTCACTGAGGCGGGGCCTTGGGCGCGCAGGCGTCGTCCTGCCAAACGAGAGGGCAACAAAAGGATCACGTGCCTGGGGCCGCGGTTGCCGCGGCAACGAAGAGCTCGGGTGTTGCAGAGTTTATAGCTCGCCTCCGTCTTGTTTGTATTTTATTTTATTAAAAGGGCGCTACTATAATTCTCGGGCGGTTAATAAGGTTAATTGTTATGCAGTTCAAAGCATCTTTCCCCAGGGTCAAGGCTGGAACTATAGGATCCCCGGGATCTGCCAGGAGCAGATTCAGCATCTCTTCGCCATCATCTACATCCAGGCATCTTTAGGGCTCCACAGCCACTCAGTGCACCTGTTCATCCTGCAGATGTATTTTAACCTGAGGCAGAGTTTGCTTCTGTGTGCCTGGAATTCCCTGTCACACATCTCAGTCTGCGTCAGTGTTCTATTCTGACACTCCTCTGATGCATCATTTTACATTGTAATGATGATGATGATGACTCTTTATATGAGGAATTAGGCTGCAACTTTCTGTATTTCCAGATATGTGAAAGACATCTGACATTTCCATACACGTAATGCCTCACATTTGCAAATTGCTCATCCCTTGGAAACTTGCAGTGTCAGTGGAGAGGGTCCCACTGATTGCTTGCTCTTCAAAATACCAAAAATAATTCTCCAAGTCTCCACTTTTATTCACTTTATGGAGTTCCTGATGTCCTATCATGATTAGAGGAGGGCTTTGTCTGGAATTGACAGAAGTTAAAAAGCCTTTGATCTGCCCAGCCACCCGTCTTTTTAACAGCCTTCTAATCTGGAGTCAGAGAAAGCCGTTTCCAGTTATAAAATACAATGTTTCCTTAAAAGCAATAGATCACTGACAGGAAACTGGAAAAGGCCCTGGAATTTAGCATCTCTGCCTGGCCAGGAAGATCTCTGCTTGATAAAGAAGATAACAAACAGAATATTTCTTCTAACCATCAAAACAATATTTCCTGCTTTCCCATAGTCATAAAAACATATTTCACTCACTTCAAAGGCTAAAAAATGTATATAAAGCTTGCTGGTGTGCCAGTCTGCTGTCAGCTGTTCCAGAAACAAGCTTTGCATAGTTTGTCACCCAAATAAAATAAAGAACCTTATTCCCAAGGAGCTGCTTTTTGCGTCTTCTTTCCTCGGAGAAAGGAACCCAGGAAATTCTCCCAACAGAATGCAAGAACTCCAGGCAGCTTTAGCACCTCCCTGTTAGAAAATGGAGCCTGCCTTCTCTCTTGCTCTCCCAGCCTTCTATTGACCATCAGTAGTAAGAAGCATTTTTATATTTCCTCCTTAAAATTGCCAAGAAGAAAAGGGTGAAAGGGTTATCACGAAGATCATCGCTGGGCCTTCTGATGAGCTCCCTGACACCAGGACCATCCAGGAGGCCCAAGATCATGGCTTGTGCACTGTGCATTCCAGGCCCAGCACAGCGGAAGAGCTCGTTGGAAGAGCAAAGACCAGGGAGTGCTGAAGACAGTCAGGAGACTGACAGCCCAGCCCCAGAGCCCCCCTCAATAAATGGAAATCCACCTCCATGGCCACACGTGGAGGCAGGGGATGAGGAATGGCAAAGCTTAGCTAGGTGTAAATGAGGGAGCTGTAACTTCTCTTCCAAATAGGCGTAAGTGTTAAATGCCAGTCACTAACAGATATGTATCTGCATGGGCAAATTAATACTGTGAATATAATTTTAGGGGCAGTCCTATTTTTAGAATTTCTTTACTTCCTAAAGTGGGTAAGGCTGCTCCATCAGAGAGCTGGGATGGAGGAATGGTGCTGGGATCAAGAGGTGATCCCTGCTTTTGAGGAAAGAAGGAAAAGACCCACTGTCTGCGGGGGCGGGGGCGGGAGGATGGTGCCTCTCTCTGAAAGAGAAGCCTTCCCAGTCCAACTGCCCAGGGCAACGGCTGCCCAGTTCCCAATCGCCCCGTTTTGGAGAGGCGGGTGGAGTGTCAGCTGCGGGGAACTGAGCGACCCCTCCCGGCTGGCAGGCGGGGCCAGGCAGGGGCGAGCCAGCAGCCTTGCTCGGCCTGTGCGGAAGCAGGCGGGACAAAGGGAAGAGCATGGCGGAGCAGGAGCCGGAGCCTCTGCGCCTGAAGCGGCTGCACGGCGGCTTCTTCGCTGTGCCAGCTGCACACCGGGTGAGCGGACCCCGACTACCCGAGCGCCCTTCGCGCTCCACTGCTCAGCCCTCCTTCCCCGCGCCCAGTCGGGCGCCCGCACCTGCCGGGCGCCGGCTCGGTCAGCCTGCATCCGGGACAGAGCTGCCCCCCTTCGCCCCCCTCCCACCGGCTGCTTCCCTAGCCCCGGACCCCCCCCCCGCCCCGCCCTATCCGGGCAGCAGAAACCGCTTCTCACCGGCTCTCCTTTCAGCTGGGAAGATGCCGGAGCGTCAAGGAGTTTGAGAAGCTCAACCGGATCGGGGAAGGGACCTACGGCATCGTGTGTGAGTCCGGCCTTGGGATCTGCCCGCCGGGCTGGGAAGTGGTCGGGGCAGTGCCCGCCCTGGCTCCCTGGGCGACCCAGGTTGGGCCTGGACAGGCTTCAGAATCCCCCCTCCCCCCGTGCCGCCCGCTGCTCCAGGGAAAGAGCGCTTACTGGCTTGGGATGTTACCGGGAGCCCAAATCTCTGTGAAGCAGGCCAGCTCCAAGAGACGGGATGAGGCTGGCTGGGGGAAGGGTCAGAGTCGTTCCTTTGTGAAATGCGCTCCGTGGGATCTGGAGGGGAGGGTCGGGGCTTCCTGGGAACCTTGGCTGTCTTGCTGTTTCAGATCGTGCCCGAGATACACAGACGGGCGAGATTGTGGCTCTGAAGAAAGTGCGGATGGACAAAGAAAAAGATGGTGAGCAGAATGGGCTCCTCGCAGGCCTGGCCTGGGGAGTAGCCCCAGCAGCACCCATCTTAGCTGGATCCTCTCCCCCACAGGGATCCCCATCAGCAGCCTGCGAGAAATCACCCTGCTGCTGAAGCTCCAACACCCCAACATTGTGGAGCTGAAGGAGGTGGTGGTCGGCAATCACCTGGAGAGGTAATTCCCTGGGCAGATGGGCAAAGAGTCTCCTTGCTGCCCTCTTACCTAGCCAGGAGTTGGCGCTCTCTGCCCTGGGCTTGGGGGGACAGCAGGTCCACCTGATGGGGGGAAAGTGCAAACATTGCAGAAAGTGCGGAGTGGAGGTGGGAGCAGCACGGGGGGGGGGGATTCTCCTTCGCTCTTTAAGCAGAGGAAGAAGCAAAGGGAAGCCTCCTGCCTGTCCTTGGGGCTCTTGGAGCAGGGTTCCTCTCCTGGCGGCTGCAAGAGTCCTGCCTGCCTCAATTCCCCTTGCAGCATTTTCTTGGTGATGGGCTACTGTGAGCAGGACCTGGCCAGCCTCCTTGAAAACATGCAGGCTCCCTTCTCAGAAGCCCAGGTGTGTCCGCGGGGAAGGTGCAGCGGTTGCGCTTTGTAGTGGTAATACCACACTGGAGGGGAGGCCAGATGGTTGGGGGAATGGCTTTCATCCCAAATACAGGTAGTCCTCTACTTACGACCACAAGTGAGCCCAAAATTTATGTTGCTAAGTGAGACATTTGTTAAGTGAGTTTTGCCCCATTTTACAACTTTCTTCCCACAATTGTTAAGTGAATCACTGCAGCTGTTAAGTTAGTAACCCAGCTGTTAAGTGAACTTGGCTTCCCCATGGATTTTGCCTGTCAAGAAGATCACAAAAGGGGATCCTGTAGCCCCTCTGGGACACTGCAATTTTAATAAATATGAACCAGTCGGCAAGCTGATCCAAATTTTGATCAGATGACTATAGAGATGCTGCAATGGTCGTAAATGTGAAAAACGGTTGTAAGTCACATTTTTCAGTGCCATTGTAACTTTGAACGGTCACTAAATGAACTGTTGTAAGTCAAGGCCTGCCTGTAGCTGTCCCAACGTTTAGAACTGGGCCAATATGGCAGGGAGGTGCATGTTCCAGTGTATGCAAGGTATTAACAGAGGGCATTGCCTGGTACACTGGCAAGAGCCAGAGCTTTCAAAATGGAGATAAAATACAAGAAAATGACAGAATAAACCCAACTAAAAACAACAGTGGGGCGAGCATCTGAAAAGCGCATTTTAAAACTTCACTTGATGCTCCAAAGTCTGCAGTGCAGAGGAACCTTTGGGGAAAGGGTGGTGTCAAGACACAGCCTGGCACATTGACATGCGATCTGCTTTGTCTGAATGGGCCTAATTTGTTCACACATTCCCAAACATGGTTTGCCTGGTGTGGGACAGGGTGACTGGCACAATGTATGTGATGCACGCGCAGTTTCTTAACAAAAGCTGCTCCTGCTGGCATCCAGCACAGGACAGGTGGTCAGAGGCCTTTGTTTGCCCACCTCCCTACAGGTGAAGTGCATCATTCTCCAGGTTCTCCATGGTCTTCAGTACCTGCACAACAACTTCATCATCCACAGGTGAGAAGGGCAGGGATGGGTCAAGCAGGAGCAGGGAGCGGTGCTAGCACTGGTGGCCTGAACTCGACATGCCCAGCCCCCCCCCAGCCTTCTACATACCTGTGTTTTGTCAACTAACAGGGACCTCAAGGTGTCCAACTTACTCATGACCGACAAAGGTTGTGTGAAGACAGGTGAGTCTTTGGCGACAGCATTTCAAGTGCCACATGCTCAACTCAGTTGCTGGAGGTATAAAACAGCAAGTCCCCTGACCTCTCTGTGCTGTCTTCTTCTGCAGCGGACTTTGGGCTGGCTCGTGCTTACAGGGTTCCCCTGAATCCGATGACTCCAAAAGTGGTGACACTGTGGTGAGTTGGTTCGACCTCTTTCCCCGGGAGCACCTCTGGCCCCCTTCCAATACAAGCAGGCTGGGCATTGGGTGGCTCTGAAAACTCTCCTGTCCGGAGTGCCCTCACTCTTTCCTTCCCCTTCCAGGTACCGGGCTCCTGAGCTCCTCCTAGGCACGACCACACAGACCACGGCCATCGACATGTGGTGAGGAAAAAAGACCCCCAACCTCTCCAAGCGCTGGGTGGGCTGCGGCTGAGGGGGAGGTGAGCTGAAACTTTTCTATAGGGCTGCATTGCAGGAGTCTGAAGAGCAAAGCGGAGTGTGCCCAGGGGGGCTGCTGGATGAGGGCCTCGACACTAACCCTGCGTCTGCCCTGTAGGGCGGTGGGCTGCATCTTGGCGGAATTGCTGGCCCATAAGCCTCTGCTGCCTGGGAGCTCCGAGATACAGCAGGTTGATCTGATTGTGCGTCTGCTGGGCACTCCAAACGAGACCATCTGGCCTGTGAGTCCTTTCCACCCGCTGCTCTTCCTTCCTTTGTGCACCGTCTCTGCTCCGGTGTTCACAATGAAAACACAATTCCACATCACAGTTTCTTTGGCTTGCCTTAGCATGCGGGCTGAGGAATTCTGGGAGTTGAAGTCCACGCCTCTTAAAGTGACCAGATAATGTCTCTCTGAGCTAAGCTGCAGGTGGCAGCCAAAGGTTCGCTTCCGGGTGTGTCCCCCCCCCTTTTCCAGGGCTTCTCCAAGCTGCCCCTGGTGAGCCAATATACCCTCCGCAAGCAGCCCTACAACAACCTGAAGCACAAGTTTGCGTGGCTGTCCGAGGCCGGACTCCGGCTACTGAACTTGCTCTTCATGTTCGATCCCAAGAAAAGGTAAGTGGCCTTGCCTGCCCTGAATCCTTTTGGGGGGAGCCACCCCAGCAGACTACCAGCTGTCCAGTTAAGCTGAAAATCTGCCCACTTTGACTGACCCCCCCCCAATTTCACAGGGGCTGCCCCACAGGGAAGATGATGTTGGTTCCTCAGAATGGGGCTATTCGGCTTAGGCCTTCCAGGGAGGGGGCAGCAGAGTTGCTGCAGGTCAGGCTTGGCAAGGAAGGCCAGGAGGGAGAGATCCCTCACTGCCACGTTTCCTTCACAGAGCAACAGCTGGAGACTGCTTGGAGAGCTCTTACTTCAAGGAAAAGCCATGGCGTAAGTGGCCCGAGCCCCCTTCCTGCAGGGCAGGGCCCCCTCCTTCTCCAGGGCCTGAGCCCTCTTTTTTCTTCCAGCCTGCGAACCGGAGCTGATGCCAACTTTCCCCCATCATCGCAACAAGAGGGCTGCCCCGAGCACGGGAGGGGAGTGCCTGGGCAAACGTAGCAGGCCCTGAGATGGTGGCTTGGAGGGCATCTAAAAGGTAGGGCAGGATCACAAAAGAACAGGTGGGTCTTCGCACATGGTATTTTCAGGGATGCCAACACAAACATCAAAAGTAAGTCAAATCAGGGCCAGTTGCTCCGTTAAAAAACTAGATAAAATGTACATTTTAGTTATCTATTCTCTGGTTAAATCTGCTGGGAATGTCTTTTTGAAGAGGGGGGTGTGTGTTTCTGTCTGCCTCATCTGCAATCAGTTCTCCTGTCACTGCCTTCTTTCACCCATGCCTGTTTTCTGCAAAGTGCTTTTCAGGGGCTGGAGATGGCCCAGCGATGGCTGGAGGAAAATGGCTGTGTCCAGGACCCTCTTGCCCTTCGTGGAGACTTGCGTCAGCAGCAAAGCACCATCCCCCTCCTCTTCTGCGCCCTGGAGGGGATCCTCGGTCCCTCTGCCCTGCGGCTAAAGGTTGTAGCTCGGCCTGAACCTCCCAGGAGCAACCAGATCCTTTTCTTCTCTCAGCTCTTGTCAAAAACAAGCAGCTGCTCTGGACGTTGAGAGAACAAGCAAAGCATTCCTGCTGGAGCAGTGAAGAGGGGAGAAAACCTCCAGGCCTGCAACATTTCTGAAACTGCTGCAAGTTAAAGGGCAGGTGGGAACCACCTTCCCCCTGGCAGACCTCAGGATGCCTCCTAGGTTTGGAGTGGGGGCCTCCCAAGGAGCTGCTTCTCGCCCTGGCTCGGCTCCCTGACCACTTTGGAAGAAGGGCCCTCGTTTCAATAAAGACTTTTCTACCAGCCTAAGGACTTCTGGATGCCTTGTCAGTAGGGATATAAGAGATGCCCAGGCCCCAAGTGGCTCCTGTGGGAGATGGGAGGCTGTGCCAAGCCCCAGCAGCTCCATCTCCAGATGCTGCTTTGCCCTTGCCACTCTGCGCACCAGCTGCGTAGGGCGCTGCTCCAGCTGCCTGCTTCCTCTCTGTAAATAGATTACTTGGGGGTAGAAGAGATTCACCTTTCTGCTTCTGAGGATGAAACTCTGGCAGCTCTGCAACTCACAAACGGAGGCCACCCACCTCTCATGCCCAGAGGTAGCAGTAAGGAGCTTTGCCCTCCCTGAGCCCATCTGCCAGAGGGAATTTTGCCAGGGCCCCCCAAAATGGCGCCTGAGCTCACTCTGGAAACAGGAGGTGACCCCTGCAGCCATCACCAGAGAACCGGCTGGTCTCTGCTGCTTTCCAGTCCACTTGGCCAAAGGGGGGGGGGGATAGCTATTAGGCAGGTCCAAGTGAGTGTCTTCTGGAGAGGCCGGAAGCGCTTGACCAGCTGAACAGAGGAAGAGCCTTCCAGCCCTGGAGCCGAGAAGAGTAGACAATGGGAAGGGGTCCAGATAGCTAGAAAATCAGGTAGCTTTTAGTTAAGTTTATTGCAACTGCATCTTTCTTAAGATATCAGCAAAGTCGCCACTACCACAGCGTCCATTCTGGTTTTGTAAAAATGCTGCCAGCAGTTCCCACCTAGCTGGCTGCTTGAGCAGGAGATTCTTCTCTGGCCTCTTCCCTATGCAGTTCACAGAACAAACCAGAGCAGCCTCCGGCCACACAGATCCCAGAATGGGTGAAGGAGAGTGGCCAAATTTTGGAATGTCCAAAAGGGCTTCACAGGAGAGACGTGCCTACAGAAATCCAATCCTAGAAATCAGGGTTCCTGGCCTGAGGTTGCTCCCTACCTGCCACCTCCAGACTTCACAGGCATTGGACTTGTCTTTAATCAAACCTGGACATAGCCATCCTATCTCCTTCCCTTCAATCCTCCATCAACAAGGGCTGCTCTGTTAAAAAAAAAAGGGGGGGGGCTTGCTTTTGACTCAGCCCTGCCACAGGCCAGAGAAGGGAAGCAGACTTGGGGGGCACGATCCTCAAAGGCCTCGCAGGCTGTGGGGCTCTGTGTTCCAAAGCCCAGCCTGGTGTCCCAGTCCTACTGCCAGGGCCCTCCTCCCTCCTGCAGCAGCCTGTCCACCTCTGTTCGTTGCAGCCACAGGCGCTGCTGCTTCTCGCTCTGCAGCTCTTCCACGAGGTGGTGGTGGTTCCGGCAGAGTTGAACCCCGTCGCAGCTGCTGATGTGCAGCAACCGGCAGGTGTTGCAGCAGGAGCAGGGCAGGGCCCCCGGGAGCAGGCAGGAGTGCATCTGATAGTGAGCCGGCTCCGGGCTGAGTCCCTGAGTGCTGCTGTGCAGGCTGGCTGGGCTGAGGTGGAGGCTCCTGGGTTGCCTGGACAGAGGAGAGGCCGGGTAGCTCGTCCCCTGCGAAGAGGGGTCGGAACTCTCGTAGCCCCCCAGGCCAGAGAATAAGAACGAACTCCCCAGCTGAGCAGGGAAGTCCATCTCGGAAGTCCTGCTGAGCTCCCGCCTCAAGGAGATGAAGGAGAAGGAGGTGGTCAGGTCACACTCTTCAGAGCCCAGGAGTCCATTGCCACAGGAAGACTCCCGGCTCCAGGGGGGCTCGCTCCTGCACTCTGCCGGCGGCTGGGGGCTCCGCCTCAGGAGCCTGGGGCTGCCACACACACTGAGAGAGGCGGCTTCCTGGCTTCCAGCAGGCTCCCTGTAGAAGCTGTGCCCTTCGGTGCTCTCACGGTAGAGATCAAGCCCGGCAGCCACGTCCGAGCGAGCCTCACGGCTCCGTGGCCACCGTGTCAGGCTCTGCAGCTTGGCCACACACCGCTCCAGGCTACCCTTGGCCTCCTTTCGAGCCTTCAGCAGCTCATCAGGGGGCACCACCTGCGGCTCCAGTTCTTCCACAATTTTTGCCAGGATCTCGCACTCCACTCTGGCTGCAAAGAAGCAGCAGGCTGCACAGAGCAGGTTGGCACCCGGCGGCAGTCGGGAATTCACCAGGTGCAGACGGTCTTGCTGCACGTAACCCAGTCGTCGAAAGCTCCGAGCAAGGTCGGCTTCTGGCAGGACCCCCTGAAGGACGTGGACGTAGACCCCCGAGAAGGTCTGCAAATAAAGGTATCCATCAGCCCCTGACCCTTCCAAACCCCCTCCTTTGTTGCCTGCCCCATCCCAAAACAGAATTCACCTTAATAGTGGCAAATTCTTTGCGCCAAGGGAAGAAATACAGATTGACTGCGGCCAGCTCCAGCACCTCAAAGGCCCTACCCAGATCCTGGAGGGCCCCTTTCAGGTGCAAGTGTCCCCGCAGGGCAGTGGCCAGCGTGGCCAGGGTGTCCTCCCCATCCAGGCTGCAGTGAAGCTCCGGGTCCTCCAGCAGGTGATGCCACAGCAGCTCTTTCAGGGAGGCATCGCTGCAGGCCCCGACGTGGCCCCGGCGGAAGTCCCTCTCCAGGCACCGGCGATACTCCTCCTGCAGGCCCGCTCCGGGCTTCATCCTGCGGCGGGGAAACGCCTCAGCCCACCTGCCCAGGGCAGCGGGGGAAACAGGAGGGGCAGACGCAGCAGGAGCCGGATGCGCCCCGGCCTTGCAGCGCCTCGGCCGGTCTGAGGCCTGGGAGGAGAGAGCCGCTGACTCCGGCCGAGCGGCAACCCGAGCCAGGCGCAAGAGCCGGGCGGTGGAGAAGCTCCGCCGCTCACCTTCAGGGGCGGGCCGGCCTCTTCCTCCGCCCGCCCGGCAGATGCCCAGACAGGGCAGGCGCCCTCTGGCTCCTGCCCGATGGGCCGAGGGCGCGCGCGAGGAGAGGGGCGCCGGGCCGGGCCAGGCGGGGTGTCCTGCGCTTCGGGGCCGCGCCGGGCGCAAAGCAGAGGCGGAGTAGCCGCCGCAACAAAGGAGGTTGCCGGGGCCGCGGGCAGGCGCCGAGGGGGCGGGCGGAGCAGCGGCCCCTTCCCCGCCCCGCCGGAGGAAGCGCCCGGGCGGCTGGGGCTCGTTGGGCCTTCCCGGCGCCGCACCGGGACCCCGAGACTCTGGCCGCCGCCGCCGCCACGAGTGGCCGGCCGGGCGAGGCGGACTCGAGCCGTGCGGGCCCGGCGCGGGGGCCTCGGGTTGGGGGCCGCGGCGGGGGGGAGAGCGCTGCCCGGGGGCGCCGCTGGGGCGGGTCCGCCGGTTGGGATTCGAACTCGCGCCCCGCCGCTCACCTGCCGATGCCCGCTTGTCGCTCCAGGCCGCTCTCGCTCCGGCGTCCCCGCCGCTTCCGGCCCCGCCCACGCAGGAGGAGGTTGCGTCACACGGGGGACATTAACTCCTTCGGCGCTCGTGGGCGCAGCCGCTCCCGGGGGCGGGGCGTGTCCCGGGAAGGAGGCGCCCGTTCAAGGGGCGGCTCCGCTCGGCGAGGCCCCGCCCTCCCGGCTGAGCGAGGCGGACCTGGAACGGGGAGGACGGCTGCCCGGGTCGCGTCTCCAAATGCGGCGGGCGGCCGCTCAGCAACCGGCCCTCGAACGCAAGAAGGCGGCCAGCCGGAGGGACTTATTCGCCCGAAACCACGGACGTCCTCGCAAGGGGAGGTGATGGCGCGAGGAGGACCCTCACTGCGGAAATGGGGCATCCCGCCTTTGCCACCCGCGCGTGAGATCTTTCAGAGGGCCAGTCTTCGGGCCGAGGCTCCGCTGGTCACGCCGCCGCGCGCCTTGGGACGTGGTCCCAGGGGCAGCAGCCACGGAGCCCCTGCGTCGCACCCCACCCGGGGCTTCGTGCCTGGTTGCAAAGGGGGTTCCGCTTCTGCACCACCCCCCCCCCCCGCTGCAGGATGAGGGGGAAGCCGTCTGTGGGGTGGGATTGCTTCGGCTGCCGAGCCCCCCCTCAGAGTGGCTCCATCCAGCTCTCATCTCTGGGGAAGCCGTCTCCAGGGGCAGCACGGAGGGCCGGCCCTGCAGGTGGTTGCTCAGGGGCTGCTGTTGCAGTAGACCAGCTCCTGAGCAGCCCAAATGACTGCCCCCCATGCCCCTCCCAGGGGAAGCCTGACAGGGCACGGCTGCCCACCCACCACCCCAAGAAGCACAGCCAGATGAGTGGGGAGAAGTCGAGCTTTATTCCCAAAGAGCGTCCAGGAGTGAAGCTGGCAGGAGGGAAGGAAAGATGGTAGTGCCGAAGTCAGTGGACGATCAGGCAGGGACCCGAAGGGCCCCCACCCAGGAGACGGTGCAGGGTGCCTGAATTTCAAGGGAGCCCCTGCTTCCTAGGATGCAGCGGAGATCTCTCAGGCCCTCCCATGGCCCTGCCCAACTGCACTCTGCAGGAGGAGGGCTCCGTCTGCCTTCCCCACCTGCCCCCTCATATGGCTGCCATTTGGTTCCCCCAAAGCTGGCGACTTGGCTTGTGCGAATTCCTGCCAGACACTCAGCCTTCCTGCTTTCTGTCTTCTCACGCAAGCTCTCCTCTACATCAGTAGACAACGCACCAGAGGAACCCAAAGAGCAATGCAAGAAAGGATGGGCAGCCAGGCCCATCCCCCTCCTTCCCTTTACTCAGTAAAACCCCCAACAGAGGCAAGGAAAAAGTGGTCCCGTGCTGTGCAGGCCCACAGGTTGAAGCAGCTGCCCTACAGGAAAGGGGCCATGCGGGGCAGGGGGGAGAAGGACACCAGGTCAGCAGGGTCCCGTCCCTGCCTCCGGCCTTCCCTCCCAAGGAAGAGGCTGCCAGGTGGCCAGGATGGCCGGCTTGCCTTGCAACTGAGAGAAGGGGGGGCCTACAGCAACTCTTAGTGCAATGTGAGAAATGAGATGCAGCCCACCCTTTTTTCATGCTCAAGGCAGAGAAGCAGAGGCAGGCTCAGCTGTTATGGGGGGGCAGCTAAGCATCTTGCAACACACCAGGACAGAAGCCACAGTGCCAGAAGACCTGCAGGGCAGGACATCTGCTAGTCAGTATTGGGCTGATACCAAAGTTTACGTGCACCCCCTCCCAAATTTTGTGCAAGGGTAGTCCTAGGAGGGTGCCTGATCCGGCTGGTCAGTTTCCCTTCACAGTCCTCCAAAAAGCATCCCCGAGGAGCAGCGAGGCAGGAGGGAGGGGCAGCCCCCACCACTGGGAGCTCCGCTACTTCCGGAGCACCGGTCCCTGCAGGCTCTGGACGTAGGAGAGGGCGCTCTGCAGGGAGGTCAGGCAGTAGCCCTCTTCCCCAATCAGGTACCTGGGAGAAAAAGGGAACCAGTCAGGGATCCACAGAAACAGTCCTCCCCCCCCCCGCTCACAGAGTCCCTCTCCTCCCTCAGGAAAGTCCTTTTCCACCCCACCATCACATACCTGCAGTGTGCTATTAGGAGCAGCAACTGCGCCTCTGGATGCTTATAATTGGCAGAGGGCAACGGAGTCAGATGCCTGGTGACAGGGCAGCCCAACTGCAGGGCAGGGCCAGCGGCCTGCCTCCCCTCCCGCCTGGGGCTTCTGTCTGGGCCCTGAAAAGGACCTCATGCCTACCCTTCATGGATGAACTCTTCCAGGGCGGCACACTCGGAGACCAGCTGGGGCAAGTTGCTCTGGAGGACCACAAAGGAGAGGATGGGCAAGAGGTCGTCCGCACCGCTGCAAAGGAAGGGCAGACCGAGTCAAGCCTGGCTCCACAGCCGGCCGTGCCGGGTGACAGTGGTGCCAAGGGCTCCTGCAGCACTGCTGCTTTCAGGGCGGGGCCTGCCCAGTGGGGGGCAGGGATGACTTCCGAGCTAGGCATCCCATCCGGATTGGACGCCGCAGTCGAGTACTCACATAGCAGCGGATGCCGGGTGGAGTCGGCTCCCACAGTATTCCTCCGCACATTCACAGATGACGCGCAAAGTCCGCACTGAAAAGACAGAAAGGGGGGGGATGAGGAGGACGCAGCACACAACTCTGTGCATAGGGAAAGTGGGTCGCTTCCCTTCACCCTCCGTCTAATTCCCACAAGCATGTCTTAGGGCAGCCCTTCCCTGGCCTTTCGGGCCACAGAGCAGGGAAGACAGCCCACTATTTCCAGGGAGTGCTCAGCCCCTAGTCAACTCGGACCTCTTGATCCTCCAGCCAAACCAGCTGGCCTTTCCCTCCCAATTAGAAAGCCCAGCGTGTTTGCGGTGGGTGAGGCCAGAAAAAGTTGCTGGGCTAACTGGGAGAGCTCTCAGAGCAGCTGAAGCACTGCCTGGAACAGAATGTGGGGAGTCCCCCCAACCCCAGTGGGCGAATCTTGGGCTCCCTCCGGATTCGGCCCCCTTGGGCTGCAGCTGCCACCAGGCCTCACCGATGCACTCCAGCTTCCTCTGCGGGCAGCTGCTGAGAGGGAGGAGCAGCAGCTCCTGCACGGCCGCAGCGTACGGGGAAGGCCCTTCTCCCTTGGGCAGCAGCTTGGATGGGATACCCATCTCAGTCGGAGCGGTCTTCCTGCGCAGCTCCATGCTCCTGGACAGAGCCTCTTCCTGGGCCCCGTAGACAGTCCTGGAGGGCAGGAAGAAAGGAGGGAGGAGCTGAGCAGACCCTGCTGGGCAGGCTCCCTCCCTTTCCTTTGCCCAGGCTCCTTGCCAGAAGATGGGGGGGAGGGCTTTCTGTCTCTTCCTGCCCAGCAGCCCCCAAGCTCAACTGCCCCCTTTTCAATGGCACCATCCGATCATGATGGCAGGCAGCTGCTGGCTGCCCAGTCCCACCTGTACACAGTCAAGAGGGGCCCCCAGAGTGGGCCAAAGAAAGCTTCCTCCAGCCGCGCCAGGCACTGATCCTTGGCGGCCGCTGTGTTGAGGCCTTCAAAAGCCAGCAGCATCAGGGACAGCAGTCTGTCTGCAGAGAGGAAGCAGCCCTCCTCCATCAGTGCGAGGGCCTAGGAAGGAGAAGTGCGACCTGCCCCCACTCCCATGGATTGGCCTGCAGCAGCCGGCAAGCTAGATTCCCCCCCCCCCAAGCAGTCCAGTCCCACTGAGGCCGCCTACACAGGGACCTCACCGATGGAGTTGTGAATGTCCTTCACGACCGCCTTGAGGGCCTCCTGTTGGGAGCCCTTCTTCCCAGCCAGAGGGCTTTGCAGGGGCCCTGCTGGATGTGCTTCAGAGGCTGACAAAAATTGCTCCAGGTCCTCAAAGGAGCTCTCCCGGTCAGTCGATGGGGGGGACACACGTCCTCCTTGGGGGGGAAGCAACAGGCTCTGGTCCTCGATGAAGGGGGTGCCAGAGATGCTATGACGGAGGTTCAACTTGTTGTGTTCCTGGACAGAAAACATGGAGTGCAAGCTTTGGGACGAGCGCAACCTCCGTCCCTCGGTGGCCGATGGCAGGAAGGCCTCGGCATCCAGTGAGGAGGAGAGGGACCAGCCACGCGAGACGTCTGTCCTGCTTTGGCTGATGAGAGGATAGACGCGGTTGTAGACCGAGCACTGCAGCTTCTTCAGCAACTGGCAGACAGGATGATCCGCAAAGCTGAAATCAAGGAAGGGGCCGTTACCGAACCTGGCTGGGTTCCACTCCCTCAGGAAACTGGGCGGCAGGAATGACCCCCCCTTTTCCCCTTGCTCTCTCTGCAGGGACCGCTCTTGTACACAGAGGAGGAACCCGCCTCGTCTGAAAGAGGCTCCAGCAAAGCCCAGCAGCTGAATGTCCTGTCCCTCCAGGCCAACTCAAAGGTCCGCTAAGGGACCCAGTGGAGTTCTTGAAATTATGGTCCCCACCACCCCTCGGTTTCATCCCGCACTGGGGGTTTGTGCATTTTGCCTGAAGGTACCTTGCAGACCAGAGGCTTCGAAAGTAAAGACCTTCCTGCTCCACACCTCCCTACCTGAGCAGGTGCGAGAGAAGCTTTGGCACCAAGGACAGATCACTGGGATGCTCCTTCAGCTGGGCCTTCCACATCCTCGGCCAGTCCTGGGAAGGGGGTAAAGCAGAGAACACTGAGCTACAGCCCCCCCCCTTTCGTCTCTCTCAGTCCCTCCCAGTCTCCTTCTTGGGGACTTTTGCAAATGAAGAAGCACACTGGAGCCTGCTTACTTACATGGTCCTGCTCATACTCCAGGATAGCCGCGTACATGGCCCGCTGCTCCTGCTCTTCTGGGGTCAGCACTGCATTACTGGAGAACCTCCTAAGGGGTGGAAGAACACAGGCTCGGAGGAGCAGTTGGGCCCCTGCCCTCCTCACCCGTGAGTGGAGAAAGAAGGCCAAGCATCCCAGGCCCAGCTGACTCGCCTGTTGGCAGCTTCCTGCAGCCGCAACCGATGCTCCTCCATCTTCCTCTGGAGCTGCGGGGGGGGGGGGGGGCAGAGTCAAGGTCCTCCTGAACAAGGTTTCAAAGTTCCCCAGATAGCCCCCACCCTGGGGCCTCTGGCCAGACAGCAAAGGCAGTTGGGCCAGCGCCAGTCCAGCTCAAGTGGGGAGAAATGACAAAGGACCAGCCAGCTGCAGGAACGCCAAAGAGAAATCAGAGGAGGCGGAGCTTAGCCGCCCCGGAGTGGTCCACCCAAAGTGAACTAGGATGGGGATCTGGGATGGGAGACCACTACGGAATCTCAGGACTATGGACTAGTCTCCTGTGGGTTTGCCGCTCAGCCTGGGGGCGTTCTCCCTTCCTTTGCCACAGAAGAGCTAGAAAGGATACGGCCTCTTCCCGGGCTTTTGCGATCACCAAATTCTCCATCATCTGACGTTGCAGAGAAAGTGTCTGTTGAGCAAAAATTAGCAATAAAGCACAGTCCCCAGGACTAAACAGAGGAATGGAGGACGAGGGAAAGGAGCATGCAACCAACCAACCAATCTTTGAACCTCATCTCAGCCTCCATTTCTTTGGCAAAGAGGGCTCCTGAAGTCTCCTCCCCCCCAAAAAAAAATATTTGTGGGCCACATTGTCTGGCTCACACGGGACCTCAGAGGCCCATCATCGTCCCAGCCAGCCCCACTTGCCAGAGAGGTCTTCTGCACTGCTTGGTTGGGGTTCAGCCGGGCCAGCCGGGCCTCGTAAGTAGCTCTCAGCTTCTGGTTTTGCAGTGACGCCTCTTCCAGCGGGCTGAGTTCTCTGCTGCAGAAGGAGAGCAGCAGCTCCTTCGAGGGCTCTGTCACCTGGACCAGCTCCAGGCAGCAGGCTCTGTGGTCCAGCCCCCCAGCCCCCAAAGCCCCCCTCCCAGCCCCCTCTTACTTCCTGGGGCTCTGCTCTTGAGCGATCTGCAGCTTTTGAAACATCTCAGGAGGCAGAAAAGGCGAAAGCTTCCTGCCTTCATCAGAAGAGACTCTGCGGTGCCGGGAAACCGGAGCAGGGCCCACCTTTTTCCCCCCCAGCTTGGCCTTTCCTGGAATTGGGGAAAAGAAAAACACAGACCAAGCCCCGTTATGGTCAAAGCAAACACTTCAGGACTCACAGAGGGGCAAAACAGGCCAAAGCAGCAGGCCAGAGAGCAGGGTCCAAGGGAGAGGATTGCGAACCAGACAGCCAGGAAGACAAACACTGGGGCCTGAGGGCAAAACCCAGCTCCTAACCTTTGCGTGAAAGCACTGAACACATTCCAATTATGAGGCAGCCCACGGGCTTCGGCATAACACAGATCAGATATCTGACCAATTAAAAAACAACAACCAACACTGGGTGTATTCTAGGCCGATCGGACCAATCTTGAGAAGCTAAGTTGGGTCAGACGCTGGAAGGACATGAGGCTAGTCTGGGAAACTGAAAAATCTCCCTGGAGGAAGGCAATCAAACACCATTTCCATACCATTGCCAAGGAAACGACTGGAAGGATTTGGGTAGCCAACGAGAGTGCGTGTCAGCTTAAAGCGGCAGTCTCCAAACTTGGCAACTTTTAAGACTTGGGCTCTTCAATTCCAGAATTCTGGGAGTTGAAGTTCACGTCTTAAAGTTGCCAAGTTTGGAGACCCTGACTTACCCTTTTAAAACTTTATTTTAAAATCACCCCTTAGAGAGCAAGCCCTGCTAAGCAGTGAGACAAATGGTCACTTTTCCGCCTGAACCATCTTTTGACCAGGTCCCATTGAAGCAAGGCAGACCCCCTTCTTTTGTTCTGCTTGGTGAGAGGAGGGGGCTGCCTATACAACAAACCGAGCTCACCTATTTTAGAAGCGCTGCTCTTGGCTCTTTCCAGGCACTGCTCCGCTACCTTGAGCATCTTGGGGGTGTCAGGCACCAGGTCATTTTCATCCCCTTCGGGACAAGGAATGTGTGATTGTGTCTGTCCAATTACAAGGGGATGCAAAACCCACCTCAAAAAGACCTCCAGGAGAGCTCAGTGCCAACCCTCTGTCCCCTCCGCCTGGCAGGACTTAGCCCTTCTAGGACCCCTCCCCAGTGGGATCGCCCGGCTCCAGGAAAAGCCATTTTTGCCAACCATTCCTTCCCCAAGAACCGGAGACTAAGGGCTTTAAAAGGCAGGTAGAGTTCCACTGCCAGGATTCCCCGCTCAGAATGGATGGCTTTGGTCCCGTCATCCTCACAAGACCTGACCCGCACAACATCCTTTCTTGAAGCAGCTTCACCACCCAGGAGACCAGGAGTGGTGTGTGATCAGGTGAGGGTCTTGAGAAGGGAAGGGCCAAGCGCTGCAGCTCCCCCAAAAATGATCTTGGGGTTATTTAACTCATTTGTCAAAATGCCCCTACTCGGAAGGGGGGTTTACATGCTTTCTATTTTATTATGCTAAAGACACCAACTCTGAAGTTTAGATTCCCTAAAGAAAAGGTGGGCTGCAACCAAGCCCATCTCTTTCGGAAAGTCCCAGGGCAGGGAAGGGTGGGAAAAGCGGGGGTTACCAGTCGTGGCTGCTGCCTCTTCCAGGAGGACCTGGGCGATGTAGCTGATGCTCTTTAGATATTCCACGTAGGCTTCCTGCCGAGGAGAACAGTTCAGTGGGGTGAAAAGACAGCCCTATCCTTAGGTCCACACCAGTTTCTGGCTGGCCTGGGTGGATAGCCTGTAGGCTGCAGGAGGCTTGCTTCATTGCCCCCCCCCCCAAGAGGTCAAAAAGTGGGTTAGTGTATGGGCACTCCCTCCAACTTGGACGTGGTTGACCAACTGAATTAACTTGAAGAGGCCAATGCAGAATACCAGGCCCTTCCTGGGAGGGGAGCCAAGAGAAGGGGGGGTCAGCAGGCAAGGGCTTCCCAGCGGTTTGGCTACGGGATGCTGCCGCTTGGCCCCAGCCTGGCCCAGGGACGCTTGCATCTCAGCTTCATCCATGATCAGATTCATGGGCGGCGGTGGGGGGGGGAGTTAGGAATCTGGGCAGGGCAGGAGTTTCAGTTCTCCAGGCAACGGGGCCAAAACACCGAAGGCCCCTGAGGCAGAGGGCGAGCGGGCGGGGGGGGGGAGGAGGGACAGCAGCAGAGGGGCTGAAAGACCCCTTGGCCTCCCTTGGCCGCTGTCGCGGAGAGATCTGGGACGCTCCCCCGCCACGTCCCGGGGAAACAAGGGGAGGGGCAGGGCAGCCCGAGCAACGCCAGCAGCCCCCAGGCCCTTTCCTGAAGGGTCTCCGGCGCGGACGAGCCCGCTCCGGAACGCATTCCCGCGGACTCGGCTCCGACACCGGCGAACTACCCCCCCCCCCGCGCGCCGCTCACCCGCGGCCGGTCTCCGGCGTCCAGCTCCAGGGCAGCCTTGGCCAGCTTCATGGCGCCCTGCAGCGGCTTCACCTGCGGCTCTGCGGCGGCGGAGGGCGCGGCCGCCATGGCGGGGCCGGAACTTCGCCGCCGAGGAGCGGTGGGCACTCGGACGGGGCCGGACTGGGGGCCGGGCGGACCTGCGGGCCGGAGCCGGTGAGGTCAGAAGGGGCGCGGCTGCCACCGGCCCGGCTCCACCATTGCTCCGCAGGCGCCGGGGGGGGGGGTAGGGCGCCCGACCGCCCGGGGGAGGAGCGCCCCTCGCTCGTGACAGGCCGCGCCCGGAGCGGCGGCTCGGCGGCCCCGGCGCGGCTGCCCCGCGTCTGGGCGGGGCGGGGGTCGCTCCGCGCATGGCAGGAAGGCCCGACTGGGCGCCGCAGCCCCTCCAGCTCAGGGTAGCGGCCCCCGCCCGGGCCTGCGGGAGACAAGGGCTTCTTCGCAGCGCCTCCTCTCCCGAGCCGCCCCGGTCTCCCCGCGGCCTTTTGTGTGCCCTCAGCCGACCTGGCGAGTCCCCAAATCCCGACTGAGCAAACGCGAGCGGAGGGCGGCGTGGGCATCGGCACCGAGCCATCAATCCCGGGGTCGAGTAGCCTGTCCCGCCCGGAAGCCCTCCGGGGCACCCACCCAAGCCCACCCCGGCCGGCGGGGATTTTAGGCGGCGAGGGGCAGCGGGCCGGCCGGCAGCCAAGAGGGTCGGCGGCCTTGGATCCCCGTCTTCGGGCTCGCGGGAGGCGCTGCTTGGGGGTTTCGTAGCGGGCCGGTCCTGCGGGCGCCTCCTTCAGGAGGGCGCCTCCTCCCGCCCCGCGGCTCCCCGGGGACTGCCCGGCGGGGCTCGAGGGCGGGGCTCAGGGTCGAGGCCGCGAGCGGGGCTGCAGCTGGTGCGGCCGGCCGGCCGGGCTCCTCCGTCCGCCAGGGGCGCTGCGGGCCGGGCCAGCCACGGGAGGGGGACCGGCGCCGGAGCTCCGAGCGGCGGCCGGTGCGGGCTCCGTCTGCGCGGCCATGAAGCGGGACCGGCGTGGGCGGTTCTTGCCCGTAGCGTTGGCGGCCAGGATCGGGTCAGAGCCGCCGCCGGCCGAGACAGGCAGGCTAGACTCCGTGAGCCGGACGCGCCGCAGACGCGCCGCCGCCGCCCGGGAGGAGAAGACCGCGCCGGAGCCCAAGCGCTGGGCCTCGCCGGCCGCTGAAGCCGCAGCCGCAGCGGCCGTGCCGGGTGAGCAGATCCCGAGAACTCCGCCTGCGGAGGGCCGCCGCGCCCCCCTTGAGCGGCGCCGGTGGCGGGCGGGCCCTGGAACCGGGGAGGCCACCGGAGGGCCCCGCGCGGCTCCCGCCTGCTCCCGCTTGGGCTTTGCCAAGGCGCCGGGCGCCAGAAGGGCGCTTTTCTCGGCCGGCCAGCTTCACCGGCTCCGAGCCGCGCCGGCGCTGGCAGGAGCGAGGGGGACCTAGAGCTTGGCGGGCGGGAGGCGCGGGCGGAGGAGCTGGCGAGGCCGGTTCGGGGCGGACGGTGCCCGGCAGACCCAGATGCGGTGGGCGGGCAGGCGGGCGGAGCGGCTCGAGTTGCGAGCGTTCCGGGGATTTGGGCACCTTTACGGGGCCGGGGTGCCTGCAGGATCCCCAAGCCGCTTCTGGACGCGGGACTCGCCGGGTAAATGCCCCCGCCCCCCGCTTCCTCCGCCGAGCTCGGTAAGGCCGAGAAGCCGCTCTGCGCTGAAAGGGCTTCGCTCTCCGATCCACGCCCGGAAATGCAACGCAACAGGCCGGATTCTGCTCCAGAGGCAGAACGTGCTATTTTGTATCAAGGCGAGCTCAGATTTCTCCTCTTGGATTTTGGCAAATGGTTCCTGCTTGGGGTGCCAAAGTGAGTGGCTGGGAAATTGCACTTCCTGAGCTGAAAACCGGATCTGTGCTTAGAATTCAGATCTGCATCAAAGAATAAAACCTCACAAGTTGTGCCCTTCTCATAGCCAGCGCCTTAAACGCCTGCTCCCATCAGGGTCCAGACTGTTTTGTTTCCAGAGAAAGGGGCCTTTTGCGTGAGGGAAATGGGGGGGGGGGCTATTGAAAAACAGAAACGTGCAGATTCCACTAAACTCCAGGTCTTCTTTGAAAGGACCAGGAGGTTCTCTTCCTTGGTTGGGAAGAGGATGACCTTCGGCGCAAGGAGCCTCTTTGGGCCGAGGGGCCAACTCCTCTCTCACAATCCCTGCAGGAATCCCACGGGCTTTGACCACGGGCTTCTGCCGGCTTTGCCATGGGAAGTTCTCCTCGCGGAGCCTGCGAAATGCCTTTGGGAAGGTCCCCATGGTGAGCGAGGACTCAGAGGAGCAGCGGCGCTTGGACCAAGTCTTCTTCACAGACTTCCAGCGGCTGGTGGGGGTGACCGTCCAGCAGGACCCCTCTCTTCCCCCGTTTGTTTGCAAAAAGTGCCACGCCCAGTTCTACAAGTGCCGCAGCATCCTGAAGGCTTTCATCCAGAAGGTGAACGTCTCACCTGTGGGACATCCCAAGCCACGAGGAAAGTACGTTGAGCAGCCTTCCCTACTCATGGTCTCTGTGTTGCCTGTATCTGCCCCCCCCCCCGCGCCAGAGGGACAGGTACCTTCTTATCTGCCCTACAGATTTCCAAGCCAGCCAAAACAACCCAGTACTTATTGGTGGCTTGCAAAGAAGCACGTTTAATCAAGAGTTTCCTGCTCTGATCCGTCTGCCGTCTCTTCTCTGTGCAGGAACAATCTAGCCCAGCCTTCACTGTCCACTGCTTCAGCTGGAGAAGGAGAGGTGCCTTGTCTGGGTAGGTGAGCGGCTGAATTCCTGTCAGTGGAGTTTGCCTGCTATTTCCGAGCTGAAGGGTGCTTCTCCTTGGCATGCCCTTCTGGCTGGAGGCCTGCCAGCCAAGGATGGTCAAGCACAGGCCTTGTGCTCCAGATGGACGCCAACAGTGAATCTGCATGGCCATTCTTTGTCTAGCTCGGACATAAATTTCTGATATGAACTGAGGAACAGAATGTATTTTCTCCACAATTTGAGTATTAAGGCTGCTAATAACTCCCATAGGGATTTTACTCAGCGTGCCATCTTAAAGCATTTGCGCTGGTCTTTAGGATTTCCCAGATGCTTGAAGGCAGCATGGTGACTTTCAATGATCTAGGAGATGCTTTCAAGAGGCTGATGATGAAAATTAGAAACTGAACTCGTTATAATACGTTGTTACTGATGTACTTTATGTCAGATGTGGCTAAGTCTAGAAAACTCCCCTTCCTTTAAAAGAATGGGGAGGCACGAGGGGTCTGAATGGCAGTGCATGGATTTCATTCCTGTGCAGGGAAAGCCCCCCCTGCCTGCCCCCAAGTAGGATTCTTGCAGGACTGTAACCATTAGTCTGCCAACTTCCACCCCCTAGTCTGATGTACTCTTGTGCCTGTTTAAAATTAAAGGTGAGCCTCACATCACACCTGCTAAATATGCAGATATGAAATAGACAATGCTTAGCTGGTTCATCCTGAAGAACACAAACAGGATCCATTTTCTGTTTTATTTTTTGAATGGAAGTGTGGCTGAGAGTTCTGGAAATGATCCAACGTCTTCCTAGCAGGGACTCCACATCTCTGGGAAGGAAGCTGTTGGCCAGTCCTCCGCCTGCAGCAGGCCCAGTCCGAACATGGCAGGCTGTCCTCAAGTTTAGATGGGAGGCTGGACCATTTGATGAGTTTTTGCCGCCGTAATTGGAACGGGGTGGCCTTGACAGTAGGCCATTTCTCTCCCTGTCCTGCAGACTTGATCACCTCCAGCCCACAGTGCCTTCACCAGCTGGTACGGTGGAGCCACGGCCACGCGGAGAACTGTCCGATGGCACCAAGCCTGCAGAGTGTCTTGTCGTCCAAGTACTGTGGGATCATCAGAGCTGTGTGGGGCTGCGAAGAGGGCCACAATTACATCATGAGCACGGATTCGGACTGCAGCACCTTGCTGGTAGACAGTGCCCTGGCTGTCCAGTGGGAACTGAAGAAGGACACTCCTCGGCACGTGACGGGCAATGGGGTGGCATCCGACAGCTCTGGGGCTGCCATTCCATCGCTGCAACACCAGCACGGTGCTGCTAAGGCAATGGCTGGCCAGCAGCCTGCAGACAGTGGGACTGCTTTGCCGGCATCCAGTGCAGAAGACCTGGTTCCTGAGAGCCGAGGTTTGCCTTCCTTGCAAGACCCTTTGCAGGAGGACCTGCTCCAAGCAGCCTCTCCCCAGTCGGGTAGCCCAGGTAAGAGAGCGGCTTCTGACAGCGATGTAAGCAGCTCCCCCACAGGAGCCGATGTGTTCAAGCTCAAGCTAAAGAGTCTCCCATCTGGGGTGCTGGCACTGAGCCTACATCTCCGGGACTCTTGGCCTTCCTGTGTTCCCCTCCTGGCAACGGACTCTTCTGCGTCCAGAGGAGAGGAGGCGGCAGCTGTCTAAACACTAGCAAATCAATGCTCCCATGTCTGCTTTATAGAGTGCTTCCCTTGTGTGTTTTTAGTTTCTGCCCTGTGCATTGGTTATTCACCCCTTTTAGTCCAGAGACCCCCTCCTTTTCAGAAAGAAGCAGGCTGTGGCCAGAGAAGGCCGAGACCTTTTCGTCTCTGATGGCCGAGGACCTCTGCATGGGAAAGTCACTGCTCTGCAGGGCTCTCTCCTCCGCCCTTTGTAACCGGTGCCATTTTTGTTTTTCTAGGACGGCCGAGTGAGAAGCTGTCTCTCTCTGCAGCATCAGATGAGCGGGTAAAAGACGCGTTCAGTGACCTTTCTGAGGGGTGAGAGAAGAGGGGGATTGAAATGTCATCTTTGCGCGCATGGAAATGGTGGTGTTGCAGGGAGACATTTATCACACCCCACTGAAAGGATTTGGTTGCTGAGACTGTTTGCAGGGAGGGAAGGTGGCTGAAGAATAGCTTTGGTTATAAGCTTGAGATGCCTTTTTTGGATAGTTTGACACCAGCATGGTTTTAACAAGTTCCACATTAAATTGGTCTGTCCTATTGTTTACACAAGAGAGAAAAGAACGCTTCCTTTTGTAGGAATTTCTAAGGCCAAATTGAAGCTTTAAAAAACTATTTGGGGGCCTGAGCCCTCACCGAATTCCATACCTGGCCATGTTGGTTGACTGCTGGAAGCTGTTGCATCTGGAGTTCCTATACTATTTTTTGGAGTTGCTGAAACCAGGTTTCTATATGCTGCTCCTGAGCTCAGTGGGGAGGAACTTCCACCTTTTCCAGGGTCCTTTTCAGGAGAGCCTGCAGCCTATTTGCCATTAAAGTCACCCTTTGTCCCATTGCCGTCTTCTGGACAGAGCTGTCTCCAGTATTGGAGCCCTGCTGATCCCAGAGAAGTCAGGACAGAATTGGGTGACTTATTACGGAGGGTGGGGGTCACTTGGTGAATAATCAGCTCAAGCCAAGGCAGAGGCTACAGTGGCCGTACAACTGCCTTTCCTCAAACAGCAGCAGCAGCTGCTCCTTCTGTGGCTTCCAGGAAAGCCTCATTCACTGCAGAATTCTGGAGAGCGGAATAATGGCTGAGGAACGGTTGCAGGCTCGGTTTGGTATTCAAATCTCACCTCTCCAGCTCGAAAGGACCAGCCAGCTGGTGATGGGGAAAATAAGAGCTGCTATAGCACCTGGGATGAGGGGCTGGCCGGTTTTATTTTTAAAATTTATAAACCGCCCCATATATTCCAAGCTAGGAAGCCCTGTGTACAGTTTCAAAATTTTGCTAAGAATACATAGCGGTCGGGGGGGGGGGGAGAGATTGATTATAGATTGGGACAAAACTGGGTAACCATTGCTGGTGGTTTTAAATATTAAAATGTTGCCTTGAGATACAATTAATCACAGTGAGTGAGTGAGATCTAGAAGCCTATTTTCTCTGTCCCAGAACCTTTCCAAGAATTCTCTCAGGAACATCTACAGGCATTTTTTTAGCTTCTAAAAGGGATCCTGCAATCGACGGAAGCTTGAATCCTGATTTTCATGAAAGCTCTGAATGCCAGCATCCAGTTATTTGAGAGACCAGGTTCTCGTAGCTCTTTTCAGACAGCCAGTTTTCTTCCTTGCCTTTGGGTGGCCTTGTGGTCTTTGCACGGCCCCTCATCAACCTGCTCTAAGTCGTTTTCTTTTGGGGAAGTGAAATTCGTTGATTCAGAGCAGCTGGCCAAGGAAAGGTAACTTGGCTACCAAATTGTATATTTTATGTATTAAATTCTTGTTTTGTCTGTACACTGGCAGCTGACTGAAGTACATTGTATTAACCATTCTATTTTAACCAGTGAAATGATTAAAAGTTTGTCTCCTTTCTCAGAGAGTCTTCAAATGAGGATGAAAACCACAAGAGAGCACAGTCTTCAGATGAATCTTTTGAGCCTTATCCAGAAAAAAGGTAGGCCTTTGCTCCAGACCGTTGCACCACCTGTGGGTGGAGATGCCATGAACATTTCCCTTCTCCCCACTTCCATCTCCAGAAGGACAGCACGTGGTGGCACCGACAGCCTCCCTGGAGAGATGACTCCAGCCACTTTTCCTGCTTTTTCCTTTCCTCTCAGGGTGTCCAACAACAGAAAAGTGGAAAGCAAGGAAGCAAACCTGGAGGAGCCGAAAACAAGGAAGAAGCCAGGACCCAAACCTGGCTGGAAGAAGAAGATCAAGTGTGAAAGGTATTGGGGGCAGTCCTGGTTAAGGACCTTGAGGGGAGCCTGCCCCAGTTCTGACCCAGCTGCACTTGTCTTCTCCAGGGAGGAGCTGCCAAACATTTACAAGTGTCCTTATCAGGGCTGCACAGCTGTGTACAGAGGGGCGGATGGCATGAAGGTAAGCCAGGTCGCCCTGCAAGAAAAGCCAGTCACAGCTGGGGAGGGGGAGGGGAGGGGCAGGAGAGTTGGGGGGGGGGAATGCCTTCCAGTCACTTTCAGTGGCCTTAGCCAGGGCAAGAAAAGGTCTGTCTAAAACAAATCTGGTGGTTGCAGTCTTGCAATTAGCTGCATTGGGGGACCCTAAAGAGAAAAACAACTGGCTTGCAACTAAAGCAGTGCATTCTGCAAAGCCCATTTGATTGACAGCGGGAGGGGGGGTGGATCAAAAGGCTCAATAGCTCCTGCCGATTCAAAATGCCAAGGCACGTGCCTTGAAAGAAGGGGTGGAGAGGAGAAGAGCCAGGGATGAGCCTGCCAGTGAAGCAGGCCAGAGGGTAACCCACTCACCTAACGCCCCCTCTCCCGTTGGGTCTAGAAGCACATCAAAGAACATCATGAAGAGGTTCGGGAGAGGCCCTGTCCCCACCCAGGATGCAACAAAGTCTTCATGATTGACCGCTATCTTCAGCGCCACGTGAAGCTCATTCATACCGGTAGGCCCTCGGACGCCAGCCATCGCCCTCCCACCCTCCCACCTTTCTTCCCTGGGATTTAGTCTGGAAAAGCTCAGGAAGGCGGCCTTGTTGCCCCCCCTCCCCTCCCCAGGCAGGACCAAGGACTGTCCTTTCCCTGCAAGGATCTCTGTAGGATGAGCAGAGACCACCAGGCCACTCCTGAGAAGAAACGGCTCCTCATCCCACAGGATTCCCAATAGATAAGGACTCTTGCATTCCTTCCCAAACCAAGTTATTAAAAGATCTACCAACTGCCTGTCAAAGGTGGAGCCTAAAAATGGTATCTCAGGGAGAAGCTTGGGATTTTCTTCAGCTTCCCCCCCCCCCCCCGTTTTCCTGGTTCCACAAGTGAGGGCACCTGCTTGCAGCCAATTCTAGAATACAGTCGAAAAAATACAAAGAATTTGGAATTCACAATCTAAAAAATCTCGTACAAGGCTCAGACAAGGAATAATGGTTTGTTTTCTTCTCCAACCAGAGGTGCGCAACTATATCTGTGATGAATGCGGCCAGACATTCAAACAGCGCAAACATCTGTCTGTCCACCAGATGCGCCACTCAGGAGCAAAGCCACTTCAGTAAGTGCTGGTGCCAATCCAGGAGTCTGCTTAGAGCTGCATTTTGGAGTTTTTAGACATAGGATGAGCTTTGCCTGTGCATGCACCATCAGATGAGAGTCTCTCTCTCTCCCCCCCCTTTCAGCCCTGAGAGGATTACTTTTATGCCTCACATGTCCTCTACTAAGATTGCTGCTTCTAGGAATAAGGTTTCCAAATAGCTCGGCCAGAGGGGCCTCCTTTCTGTAAAAGAAAAGCCAGGTTTCCTTTAGTGCAAGTATGACTGTCCTGCCGATGCTCTTTTTTTCACAAAAGGAGCTTTTTGAACATTTGATATGGAATCTGGACTCTTTCAGATATGGTTCAAAGACCAGCTAGAATGTAAAGAGCTGAGAACATTTTTTCCCACCTCTGCAAAGCTGGGTGAAAGCAGGTCCGCCTTGTCCTTTGTGCTCTGCTTTCCCTCTCCAGGTGTGAAATCTGCGGCTTCCAGTGCAGACAGCGAGCCTCCCTCAAGTACCACATGACCAAACACAAGGCAGAGACGGAGCTGGAGTTTGCTTGTGACCAATGCGGGAAGCGCTTCGAGAAGGCCCACAACCTCAATGTTCACATGTCCATGGTGCACCCCCTGACCCAGACGCAGGAGAGAGCCAAGGAGGGTGAGCCGGAGCCCAAGCCACTGCTGGACACTGTGGAAGGCCAGCCTATCAAAGTAGAACTGAGTGCACAGCAGGAACCCACCTGAAAGCGCCGGACGCGCCTTTGCATCAATCGCACAGGACAGGAGATTGTCTATCTTTTAATGGGGTCTTCGGAAGAGGCCCTGGGAAATAACTTCTGCTTGCCTGCAAAGAGCTTTCCCGTGCTGTGACCGCTCTCTTTGTGCTTACGTCAACGACGGCTACGACATCCTATGGAGAAGTCTCTCCTTTACCAAAAGGCAGGGTCCGTTCTGCCCTTCCCGCTGACGATGATCAAAAGGTATCACGCCTGTTATAAAGGTGTGTATAGCTCATAAGACACCCATAAATTCCCTGTGATGGATCTCAAGAATGATGGAGACTTGAATCCAGATGTTTTACATTAAATTCCAAAGCCAAACTCAAAACGAAGAACAGGACATTTATAACCTAATTTTTATTGTTCAAAGTCATAATTATGCTTGTAATAAATTATTTACACAGTACTCTGGACAGATCCGGCTCCAAGGCACGTATTTAATTTGTCCATCTTTGGCTGGGGGTGGGTGGGTTGCAGAAACTCCTTTGAGGCCTAGTTGGGGGGACTTCAGCCTTCAGAAAAGCAGGAGTCCTTCCTCTAGCAAATCCCCACCTGTGCTGATGAGGGCTGCTTTGAGCTCTGGATCTAGATCGCCACAGAGGTCCAACATCTGGGGAGGGAAAGAGGTGCAGATGTGGCTCTGGCCTTAAAGCAAAATCTTTAACTGCCAAGAGAGTGCTGCTAATCCTCTCTTGGGAGGAAAGAATGGCTGTTGAGCAGTGTTCTTTCCAAAAGCATCGCCTCTTTAGAGTCTGTCTACAGCAGTGGTTCTCAACCTGTGGGTCGGGACCCCATTTGGGGTCGAACGACCATTTCACGGGGGTCGCCAAACAAGGCTGTCAGCCATTTTCCCCCCTTTTCTTTGGCCACGCCCCTGGTACCTAGTGATGTATAAGTGGTTGGGGGTCACCACAACATGGGGAACTATATTATGGGGTCGCGGCATTAGAAAGGTTGAGAACCACTGGTCTACAGTTTCTGATCACTATAGATAAGAGCAGTCAGGGTGTCCCAGAGCAGCAAAACAGACAATCCTCCCTCAGTGAGAAAGATTAAAAGTCTGGGAAAAAAGAAGCTGCACGTCTAGCTAGCCCTTCGGGTCTGTTCTGACTGACAGCTGCTCTGCAACTGGCTTCTTTTGAACTAGAGAAGGCCTAGACAAAACTGAGAACCCCCCCCCCACATGCAAAGGAGAAGCTCTGTCCTTAAGCTACGCCTCTCATTCCCAAACTACATTTGCAGACAGCAAGTCTGCCTTACTGTCACAGAAGAAAGGGATGAAGAGGCGAGAGAGGTCAGCTGAAGGCAAACAAGACGTGCAAAGAAGGGAGATTCAGGTGGGATTTCTGTCTTCTGGGCTGGAAAGAGCTAAGAGGAAGGACTGGAAAACTCCTGCAGGAGCCATCCTGGGTCCACATCTCTGCCCTTCCAGTTTGCTAGAGCTGATTGACCCTGTTGCTTATGTCCTCCTTGCAGGGCTGCAAAGTTTCAGTAAAGGCTGAATTTGAAATCGGTGCAGCCCTAGTGAAATTTATAGGGAGAACTTTGTAAAGTGTGTGTGATCAAAAGTAGGAAGTGCTGTGCTATACACTCACAAAGGCTCAACAGCACCAGGACCAGCTTCTAGGGCTCCGTGTCTTTCAGATGTTCAGAGCAGGCACTCACCTCTTGGAGGTTGGAGAAGCTCTCTGGAGGACACCGGGGGATTGCCCGGAGTAGGAGTTGCCGCGCTTGCTGGATCAACATTAACGAATCTCCCTAGAGAAGACAAAGCAAGTTCAAACCAGCTTTGTAAGAGATTCGGAGTAAGAATTGGAGGGATTGCAGCTGGTAATGGATGTCCTTCTCCAGCCATCATGTGTCTGGCCTTGCTTAAGTCTTTCCTCAGATAGTGAGCAATTGTATCACATGTTCAAATGGACTGAATGTATTATTCTTGTTCAGACATCACTTTGGCTAGCTTTCTGCAGTTGTTTTTAAGTTTTCATCAGCCTGGGTGTTTGGAACGCCCCCTCCCCAGAATTCTCAGCCTTTGGCCATGCTGGCTAGGAACTCTGGGAGTAGCAATTCCGGCACATCCTTCCTGTGAGAGAAGGACGCTTTGTTTTACAGTGCCAGTCAACACAGAAATGCAACATTCTTTGCATCAGTTACATTCTCTTGAGATGCAGCAGCACCCTCTCTCCCCTCGTGTGTGCAAATGCACAGCAGCACCACTCAGCCCAGTTTGGGTGCTGTCTGGGTGAGCTGGGTGCTTCCCAGTTTCTGGATCGAGGCAATCCACCCGTCAGGTGGGTCAGCTATGGGTGCCAAGAAAAAGGAAGGACATGGGGGAAAATGCTGGAGGGCAAACCCAGCCATTCGAGGAACCTGTGTGCTCACGAGATTGCAGACGTGCAGACTTTGCTCCCTCTGGCTTGGTCCAACCACCACGGCCCCTTCTGTAAAGAGCTGGAGCAGTTGTGTGTACATATCAACAGCCACGCCGAGGAATGTTTGCTCTCTGATAAGCTCTTCCACATCGAAGGTGAAGAGGAGGCTGGGGGAAGTGGCAGATGTTAAGCAGACAGCAAAGCCATTCAGGACATCTCTGCATTACCCGGAAGAGAGAAAAGCTGCAGGCAGAGATCAAGCTGGTCTTTGACTGCCAGTGTGTGGAACCCTTGGAAGGAAAAAAAGAGCCCTCTGCACACTGTCTAGGACAGGGGTAGGCAACCTCGGCTTTTATGACTCATGGACTTCAACTCCCAGAATTCCTGAGCCAGCTATTTGCCTACCCCTGGTCTAGGACAATTGTTGGCCCAGAGGCTTGTGAGTACATTCGAGCAACTGTCATAGCACATCTGCAAAGAGAAGCGGGCTAGTCCCAAAGGCTAAGTTACCGTCAAAGGAAAAAGTGAACAAGGCAAAGGCTTCAACCGCACCCCAGAAAGCCCTTCTCTGCCAACCTCAGGGAGGCAACACCCTCCCCCCAGGTCAGAGTGAGCAAGGAAAGTCTTGTTCTTCTTTCTTTGGTAAGCGATGCCAACGGTTTTGAAGCAAATTGCCTTGACAAGTTCCTTCTACCATTCTCCCACTGCCCTCCTGTTCCCTGAAGTTCACCTTCTTACACGCAGAGAGCACTTCTGAGGTTTACCTGTAGAAGGCAACCGACAGCATCCTCAAGTGCTGATCGGACACAGCATGACGCAACATCTCATAAAGCTCACAGCCTGCAAATCAAAAGGGACAGGAATCCTTAGGCTTGTTTTTCAGAGCGCTGCCATCAGTCCTGCCCTGAAGCTACAGCAGAGCACAGTTTTTGCACCTTTTCCTGCCGGACAGAAGACAGCCAGCCAGCCAGCCCCTTCTTCCACCAAGCGCTGAAGCACTCTGGAACTCCATTCCAGAACTTGATGAACATCTGTCCCTTCCTAGAAATAAGAGACAAAGAACATTTTTATCTCTTGATCCTCGCCACAGACACTGTGCAGCTTTAAACAAACCTTAGCCTCCCGTTCCCCATCTGCAAAAAACTTTTTCACAAGCCACCTGCTATATTCTGTGGTCATTTTCTGTGAATAGGCCTCTAGCCAGTTTACAGAATAATGCATATTTAAAAGAATCTGTGTGGTGTTTTAGATGCAAATCCAAAAAGGGATTCAGAGCATGAATCCACAGCTCTTTGTAGCAGTTCAACTTTAACCTCAGTCAATGTAAGGCAAGGCAGAGTCACCATGTCTGCAAAGGTCAAGCCAGGGTGGGCTTCACAGTCACTTGACCTTCCATCATTTCCCCATCCCAACCAGCCAGTATGGAAGCAGAACTCGCCTCTGGTGCCACTTTTGCCGAGATGAAGTCCATGACGGAAAAGAAGAGGACATACGACAGGAACTGCCAGTTTGAGAACCATGAATAAAAAGAGCCACAATAGTTACTGACTTGAAGCTGGAGCACCCAGTCCCTCAACCAGATCACCAGATCCAAGGTCAACACTTCCCTTCTCCCTCCCCAGGCAGCACTTTTTAAACTTGCATTTGGCCAGAACTCTCCCCTAAGATTTTCCTCCTGCAAGTAGAAGCTGAAAGAACTCACCTGCTCTGCTTTGGGCCCCAACCTTTTCAGCACTTCTCCCTTTCCTTCACGATCCGCTTGCTGCTGGGCGGCGAAGTGGAGGAAAGCAGCAGAAACCCACATCGTGTTGGAGGGCGGGGAAGTTGCTTCCGATGAGAGGCAGCTAGGAAGCGAAGGCAGAGTCAGTGGGAGAGTTGCCCGGTCAATCCTAAAAACTGACCGCTGCTGGCGCCAGGAGACCTTTGTAGGCCACGACCCAGCTGGGTTTCTGCTCTCCAAGTACACGGGAAGCAACCTCTCAGGTGGCATCTCTTCCTGAAGGAAGAGGGAGGGAGAGAAAGCATCCCAGCCACCAGACCAGCAGGGAAAACAAGACCACTTCTTCAGCTTCTCAGAAACATGTCCCTTTGCAATAGCTTGCTTCTAGTGCTGCAGCAGTTGAACGGCACCTGAACTAAAGGTGAGCCACTTGAGGAGGAGGGGCAGCTGGTAAAGGGCACTGGTCCAGTTGGAATAAGGGCCTGTTGGAGGTAAGGGCCACACAAGGGCAGGTAGAGTTCATTGGATCCAGGGAAGATCGAACAGCAGCCGGAATATAACACACACACACACACACACACACACACACACACACACACCGGAATCTACTCTGCGCTGCAATTTGATCAGGTCTTTGCTGGGACAACAGATGTAAGCCCCACGGCTGCAAAGACACAGCTCCTTGGACTCACCTCTGGAGAGAAGACTGTAAATCCTTGAGGCTTTGCAGCCCCTGGGCCAAAGGAGCACTGAAGAGTCTCTTCCACTGTGAGCAAAGCACAAACTCCAGCCTGGGCCACCATCGCTGGAGGAAGGCAAACAGCAGATATTCACTGAATAAAGAAAACTCCAACTTTGTGCTGGACCTTCCTGAAGATCCTCTGTCCAGGGATTCAATGACTCCCACCCTCCTTCTCTTTACGATGCACGGCAACAGTGGCTCTCACAACCCCAGACCCACAACCAGCCTCTTTTCAAGCCTTTTGGGTCAGCCACTGTTCTGGCAGCCAAACCAATATTGAGGTTTTTATTTGTTTCTTTATTAAAACAGGTTCTGCATCACTGAAGAATCTTTGAGAAAAATTAGAATAATGCATTCATCATTATCTTCTACCCAACAGAGAAGGTGAATATTGGGGCTTTGTCCCCCCCGGGGCTGCTACTTCTTTTTTATGCTGTTTTCTGGAAAGTCCATCTCCTAATCCACAAACGGAGCCCATCTCATGAAGCCCCCTGCACCACCAGTCAATGGAGCTGCCCAGGATTCTTTTTAAGGAGAGCTTCAGAAAGGGAGTTGTGATGAAGGTCTCTTACCACAGCA